ATCACCTTTCCACCTGCACAGACAACACGGAAAACCAGCTACATTACAACTTCCCATCACTTTGATCTAATATGGGAATATCATCTTCACAGGTGTTGAGGCATTACATGTTGAAACCTTTATCATAGCATATGTGTCTTGATTTATGTTAAAGATCACATATACTCTAGGGGGTACAAATACATAAATCACTAATTGGCATCGTTATAAATGAAACCCAGTCATTAAAACTACTCATTTTGATCTTTATTTAACTTAAATCGACCTTTTTTGACAACAGTGCACAATTCTCACCCGCGAACGAAATTTCAACCAATCAGAGTGGCGCGTGTCTGTGACGTCATATGAGGAATAGAAATGAGGGCCGATGCAGAATTCATGTACATTTCAGGGGGTAAATTATCTTGTTTACAGGTTTGTATAAACCTGAAATCGTGGCAACTGTTGTGAAAAATGAAAGCTATATGTTCTCACAATCTACTGTCATTTAATTTTGTCTCTTGCTTTGCCTAGTTTCCGAGTTACAACTTGTTTTCATAGACGATTCTGTCAAAATAGCTTGGTGTCGCTAGGCCTTTTTTGTTCGAGCCAGACGCTAGTGATAGCGAAAACGATGATCAGCCTCACTCATCACGGTTACGGTTAATTTTTTCAACCTAAACAGTGGGACATTAACAAGGGTGGATGCCCATCAGATGCAGGTATTTGAAAATATCCCCAGTGGTTCTTGTCTGATTGTAATAAAGTATCAAAGCAGTGTGGGCTTTTTCAGGTTTTCTAATGCCTTGATGGTATAATGACTGATCCAAATTGATCCCATTTCTGTGGGTTTTTTTACCTCGATGTTTCATCATGTCATGCAAAAATATGATGTCTATTACGTATGATATTAATTTTTTTATTTATTTGAATCCGTAAACTAAACAACCATTGCTAGAAGAATCTGAAAATTTACTTAGGTACATACAGTTTTAGCACACAGCAAATGTTTATATGTATTTCTTATGCAACAATGAAGTTCTGTTTGTACACGTATTCTCAAAGCAGTGTCGGCCCATAAGTTTTCACATGCAATTAAAATTGCATGCAATGCAACAATTAATATTCTCTTGTTGTAACCCGTGTTAGATGGTATAAACCTACACATGTCATTTGTCATCATTCACTTGATGGTCAGTTAATTAATTTATAACAGGTATAATTAGTGGTAACACCACTTAGATTACCCGACAAAGGTTCCCATTTGGCATTTCTTGTGTCTGGAGTAAATACTCAACAATATAAACATTGATCAAAGGATTAACCGATAACACGCTGATTGATTAATTACCTTTATTTTGTCAAAAGGTAGTGTTTATGTATGTAGATTTACTAATCTATACTGAATACACTCTGTCGTGTCTGTGTCTGCGTAAAAACAACGTCCTTCTTTCAAAGGATTAACCGCCAATACATTGATTGATTGCTCATTATTGGCTAACTAAATTACTTTTTTTAAAGAATGGCGGACATTATGCAATTAGTTGCCAGGTGTGCTATCTTGGGTGACCAATGAGACTATACACCAATGTGAAATACCTGAAATGATATATGGATTTTTCGTATATTAGACTGTTAAAAGACACATCACTTGGAACAGCTGCAGATGAATGGCATATCACTTGTTTTTGTGGATATTGATGAATACATTCCTCGAACAAGGTAATAGCCTGACATTGTTCCTATAACTTTAATCTGTTTTAATTTTAATATTTGCATTTTGTTTTTATTCATTTGTCGTAGCATTCAACAGAATCATTGTTTTCGCCGTGAAGTGTAATGAGACAGACAACATACACTAGGGCGTGTGTGTGAATTATGATTCACATTGGCAAATTATAAAATGTCTAGATATTACAGTCCTGTGATAAATTAGGTGTAAGTATCAGCCGATCGTAAAATCAATTAAAATATACAACACAAGTATTTTTCAGATAGCACTGTGTTACAGAGGATACCTAGTCTCATTGTAAAACCACAGGTGTCAATATATTTCTACCAACACAAATTGATCAAAATGATACAGTCTAAAATTCACAATCTTGCATATTACTTCATGTCAATCTGAACTCAGGCTTGTCATCTATCTTGTCAAGCATCTTTCTATTTCAACCCAAAATGCAGACTTGCAATATTATGCCATACACATTAATTACATATTGGCCAGACAATGGTCACTTTCATAAAATAATGGTCAACACTGACCATCTTGAACGAAATACACTAGGAAAGAAGTGCCCTCAAGTTCAGTAAAGTGCTTAGAGACCAAATTGTAAGCAGATCCTGGCACAGCTCAAGGACGCAATTCTGAACATTGAGAATATTTGTATCTGAGATACTGTGGCTCCAGATAAGGAAAGTGACACAGTGTTTGTACACTAGACCTGCTCCAGAAACACAAGGTTTATGACCTTACAATACTGAGTTGACCTACCTCTCCTGGCCATATATAACGCTGCAGCATTGCCGATGCCTGAGTTGCCCCCAGTGATGATAACAACCTTCCCTTCCAGTTTGACTTCCTCCACAAACTGTGCACCACGCAACCATTGTCTGCAAACAATATACATAACTCTAGTTCACCATACACACACAAATAAAGGCACAATCTGCAATAACTAAGTCTGTCAATAACCATACTAAATATTGAAACCTACGGGGACTATGATATGTAGTCACCTTGCTCAAACTCAAGAGATTTTGCTATTTGTTGTTTAACGCCACACTCAGCAATATTCCAGCTATATGTTGGCGGTCTGTTAATAACATGCTGGAGCAGACAAACTAGTGATCCACTGCATGAGCAACGATCTACAAAACTGTGACATGCGTCACTGACTGACTGACTGATTTAGTATGGTTTTACTCAGGGGACACCGAACATAGGTTTCACTCACCGTACCCATGTGGGGAATCGAACCCAGATCTTCAGTTTGATGAGATGACACTTTAACCATCAGGCTCCCACCACTGTATTTAAGTGTCAATTTTCTTGTCAAAACAATTTGGAGTTTTTTTTAAGTGATGGCATAAAGAGTTTAAATTCTTCAAAGGCATTTAGAAGTTGGTGTAGTAATACAAGACAAATCTTATGGATAACAACTTCTTGATTTATTTTACACAACGTTTCTGGGCTAGTTCTTGCCCCTTCGTCAGAAACTAGCCCAGAAACACTGTGTAAAATAAATCAAGAAGTTGTTATCCATAAGATTTGTCTTGTATTAAGAGTTTAGTTAGGACTAGTTCATATGAATAAACTCGTATTCCAGCCATGGCCTACATCGAGTTTATACGGCGAGTGCATTTTCTTTGACGCACCTTTCCGCAAGAAATTTGAGTGGAACAGTTATAGGCAAAAACAAGAATAAAGACTCAACCTATCGACTAATGCATGTGCATGCATTACTAAAACAAACAATCGTCTTCAAAACGAGACACTTACCTCCACTAAAATCGATTCACTTTATTACTAAATGACCTGAAACATAAATCCCCCCACCAACTTTCCACCATTTGTCGACCATTTTGGTTATGGTAATTAGCAGTTGTATCAAAAAAAGGAATCGTATTAAACGGACCGTGATTACATGACGCTCTGAAGTCGGAGGAAGGGGGACAAACTTTTAGCAGTTTCTATTTGTTCCTAAATACGTTTCAATGCGTTTCCACTTTTTATTCAACCACTAATTACCATAATAGTATGGCCGACAAATGGTGGAAAGTAGGTGGGGTCTTTATGTTTCAGGTCATTTAAGTAATAAAATGAGTCGTTTTTAGAGGAGGTAAGTGTTTCGTTTTGAAGATGAATGAAAGTTTATCAATCCATGCACAAGTATTAGTCGATAGGTTGAGTTTCTACCCTCGTTTATGCCTAAATCTGTTGTGCCTCTCTGCCTAGTGAAGTGCGTCAAAGAACTTGAATTCGCCGGCTAGACGTCGAGCACACCTTGGTATAGTGCAAAGTCGTCTAGTTATATGCTGGACTAAGTTAGGACCTGCAACTTCAACAGTTGTGGGTCATGATGGCAGCCTGGATGTATGGCAGTGACTGTATATGATGTACAAACACAGTGTAGTGATGTGATGAACCCTCAACACCTTAGGCTACCAGCATGATCCTAATGGTAATGGAAAATAATCATGATTTTCTTTTTGTCATGATACAACTTAGTGAGTACCATTACTGTATTAGTGAGTGAGTGAGTTTAGTTTTACGCCGCAATCTGCAATATTCCAGCTATATGGCGACGGTCTGTAAATAATCGAGTCTAGACCAGACAATCCAGTGATCAACAGCATGAGCATCAATCCACGCAAATGGGATTTGATGACATGTATCAACCAAGTCAGCGAGCCTGACCACCCGATCCCGTTAGTCACCCCTTACATGACTGCATTACATAAACATGATAATGTAAGTCGTTTCATAATGTATACAACAGGTTTCTTCATGTATATGAAAAAAACTGGCAACTTTCTATCAGTGATAAGCAAATGTACAGTGTGTGCACCTTGCGCAATAAGGACTTGTGGCTTCGTTTGATATTAGAACAAACGGTATTTTACACTATTTCAAGTTGTACAATCTCACCTATAATTCTGAGTTCATTGTTTTTCGGGTTATGGTACAGAACTCACTGAAAAGCTAAAAATAATATTTACTGTTTCAAAGAAATGATTGGAATCAACTCACAACTCGATAAAATGCATAATGCATGAGAGCTTGCGATCGAAATTAGAACAATGGTTCATCAGTTTCGTCTATATTCGAACATTACCTTGCTGCATAAAATATTCCGACAGCAACACCGATGATAATTGGCCACCAAGAGGTAAAAATCTTCTCTGGGTCTGGGAATGGCAGCTGTGGTGTCGACATGATGAAGGATGAATGGATCAGCACGCCCAGATATGCACAACCGGTCCGGAACTCGTTTCGTGTAGAAAAAGGGGGAGGTAACTCTAATTTACTAATTCTCACGTTGACTTGCTGTGTTGTATATAAAACCTTCGGTGAAGATACTTTTTAGTGTTTAGTTGTTGGTATTCATGTTTGCTGCAATAAAATGGTGGTATGCAACGGCATGATCTTATTACAGCTGGACTAATGTCTTCAGATTGGTTCTGAAGGCGTATGACCCTGCTCAGTCGGTCACACATTGGCTTGAAGGAAAGGTCAAAATCTGACAGTGAGTGTAGTTCACAAGTTTATGTTATGTCCGTTAGTCAGGGAGTCAACTTTGTAACGTTCTAAAAGGTTCCTCCCATTTCCTGTTACTAATGACAGACTGTGTAGTACACCCCACGCAATAATGATTTGCTACTTGCGATCTTTCATTATTGGCAATATTGCGTCAATTTACCTGAAAAAATTAACATTTTGCTTGAGGAATTTTATGGCTCGAAATTATGGTCATTTTCACAGTTTCATAATGTTACCAGTTCTACACCATGTTTCAAACAGGAGATTACTTTTTATACTAGATTCTAATTAATCTATGTTATGATCATAATATTATTATGTTAATTATTATTATTATATTATGATATTCAGCATGTTCAGTGAACCTGAAAAAGTGGTCCTTAATTTTCTGCAAATGCAGTTACTATGAACGGAAAATCAAGCCCATAGCAATCGTCACACAGACCTGCAATATTGTAACTAATGTCACACTGCTCATAATATCAACCTCTGGTTCTTATGACTGTAATTATAGATGAATCATAGATCACTTGTTACATAATTGCTGGAGGAAATTAGCAAAATACTTTTACTTTCCTCCTGATCATGTTATGTTCTGTTTTGTAGACAATGGGGTCCTACAGTATGCCGAAGTATGCTGTACCTTTAAGTGCCCTTGGTACTCTCATGGGAGGAATATATCTGTTGAAGTGAGTGCAAGTATATATAAGGGTATATATAGTGAATCTAGTAAAATTGTCATTATTTTAAGATTAATGAAGAAGCCATGCAGTTGGCATGGGTTAATGCAGGCTTTGAATTATTGTGTTGCCCCATAGATATGAATACACTGAAAGGAATTCCTCGACATTCTATGGCATTTAATTGGCTAATAAGCAAATTGTTTTGCATGTAAGTTTGTATGAATCAAAATAAATAAGATCGTGTCGATAGTAATAATGACGATTTGAGCAGTCTTACTGTTGACTTATTTATTTAACAGCTGGTAGAATTTCAACTTGTTTTGGGTATTGCTATATTTTATGACTATTCAGGCTAGTAAATTGGTGTATTTCTATCCCTGATGGAGACATTGATATGTACCAACACGTACTTGGATAGTTGGTGTATATACACCAATCTGTACACAATGATGTTCTGTACACAATGATGTTCTGTAGACAATGGTGTTCTGTAGACAATGGTGTTCTGTAGACAATGGTGTTCTGTATACAATGATGTTCTGTACACAATGATGTTCTGTATACAATGGTGTTCTGTATACAATGATGTTCTGTATACAATGGTGTTCTGTATACAATGATGTTCTGTAGACAATGATGTTCTGTAGACAATGGTGTTCTGTAGACAATGGTGTTCTGTATACAATGATGTTCTGTACACAATGGTGTTCTATATACAATGGTGTTCTGTACACAATGATGTTCTATATACAATGGTGTTCTATATACAATGATGTTCTGTAGACAATGGTGTTCTGTAGACAATGGTGTTCTGTAGACAATGGTGTTCTGTATACAATGGTGTTCTGTACACAATGATGTTCTGTAGACAATGGTGTTCTGTAGACAATGGTGTTCTGTATACAATGGTGTTCTGTATACAATGGTGTTCTGTAGACAATGGTGTTCTGTAGACAATGATGTTCTGTAGACAATGGTGTTCTGTAGACAATGATGTTCTGTAGACAATGGTGTTCTGTAGACAATGGTGTTCTGTACACAATGATGTTCTGTACACAATGGTGTTCTGTAGACAATGGTGTTCTGTATACAATGGTGTTCTGTATACAATGGTGTTCTGTATACAATGGTGTTCTGTATACAATGGTGTTCTATATACAATGGTGTTCTGTACACAATGGTGTTCTGTACACAATGGTGTTCTATATACAATGGTGTTCTGTACACAATGGTGTTCTGTATACAATGATGGTCTGTATACAATGATGTTCTGTATACAATGGTGTTCTGAATACAATGGTGTTCTGTATACAATGGTGTTATGTATACAATGATGTTGTGTATACAATGGTGTTCTGTATACAAAGATGTTCTGTATACAGGGACTACATGGGGGGAGGGAAGTACACCGGGGAAGAGAGGTTGGCTGGGCGGACTGTCGTCATCACTGGAGCCAACACTGGCATCGGGAAAGAAGTGGCAAGGGACCTGGCCAAGAGAGGTATGTTACACTGCTCAGGATGGAGGTAATATAAGTGTTGGATAGTTGATAGTTGTTTGTTTATACAATGGTCAGGTATTGTTATGACATGTGAACAGCTCATTCCAAACTGAAAAACTCATGTTTCAGTGTTATCTCATTCTCTTCCCACAGAGGTTACTCCTGTCATATCTTCCTACGTAACCTCTGTTCTAATACGGCCCTTTCATGGTGTGAGCGTTCAAGACTCGTGATTGGAGGCAAACAGATTTAGTTGTGCAATCAATCAGCGACGTTGTTTCAAAAGTGATGATTCGCGAGGCCTCGGTAATTTCCGTATGCTTCGAGAAAACTAAACTTCTTCCCCTGTGCGATGCGAAAACGTTTCTTCTAGACAGAACTCAGTCATGTTATGGCGGATCAGTGGCGTGTTTATCGCCGTCGTTGACAACGGACAAGCTAGCCATTAAACGTCTTGTGTGTAACATCAACACAAGTCCCCGGCAGATGGGGGATATTTGTGGCCCCACCTTTGCTTGTGTTAGTCAAGTTGAATCTAAGTCGATGTAACACGTGTTCTGATTGGATAGAAAGAAGGGAGATAATTCGTGTTGCGATCCTTTGCCGCTAGGGGATTTTACGAGAACCGGGAAATATGGCTGTATTAGAACAGAGGTTCGTAGGAAGATATGACAAGTAACCTCTGTGGGAAGAGAATGGTGTTATCTGTGTTATGAAACCATACTGACTGACTCAGTCCAGTATTGATCAAAGTGTCAGATATTGTGAAAGCAACCAAATATTATTATTTAATATCGACCGCCTCCATGGTCTAGTAAATAGAGCAGAAGGTTGGTGGTTCAATCATTGGTGCCATACCGAAAATAGTAAAATATGGTACCATTTGTTAGATTATGTGATAACCCGTGAACATCCGGGGTTAGAATTGGTCTTCAGCAACCAATGCAGCTCTAAAAATACGAATTCAGTCAATATTTTTTTAAATCCTGAAAGGTTAATGAAACTCTATGGTTTTACTTATTTAAAGTAGTATTTGTCTTAGTAATTCTGATAATGTTTGGAAAATATATTTATTATGAATGAAACTGTTTGCGTGGCAGCAGAGACCATATACTAGTAATAGATGTGTCTCTGGTGGCAGGAAGTCGTGTCATTATGGCGTGTCGGGACCTGGACAAGTGTGAGCGTGCCCGGGCGGAGATCGTGGTAGAGACGGCAAACCGTAACATCAAGTGTCAGCTGCTGGACCTTGCTTCGATCGGGTCAATCAAGGCATTTGCAAAGGCAGTTAATCAAAGTGAGAAACAGGTCCTATAACATCTGGGGTGTGGTCAGTCGAGTGGTCAAAAGTTCTACTTACTTGAGTATGGCAGTGTTTTTCTATCCTGTACATGTAACCATATAACATCATTTAGTGTACATTTTCTGTATGAGTCAGGATCTGCTGATGTGATAGATTAAAGATTCATCATTATGAACCATTATCTGTGGGACAATCTCCTTGCTTTCTTATTGGTCCTGGAGCGGTGGGGTAGCCTAATGGTTAAAGCGTTGGCTCGTCACGCCGAAGACCCGGGTTCGAATCCCCACATGGGCACAATGTGTGAAGCCCATTTTGGTGTCCCCTGCCGTGATGTTGCTGGAATATTGCTAAAAGCGGCGTAAAACCAAACTCACTCAGTCAGTCTTATTGGTCCTATTGGTAGTGCTAAAGATGACCATCCTCATGAAGATCTGTGTTAGAATTGGTTTTCGGCAACCCATATCTGTTGTAAGAGGTGACTTTTGAGTTGGGTGGTCATCGTATCCCAATTGCATAGATCGATGCTCATGATATGATTACTGGATTGTCTGGCTAAGAATTGTAATATATAATGAGCAATTTGCTTGTCTGTTCTGTGCGATGTGTCTAACAAATCTTAATGAATATATTCAGATGAGAAGCGTCTGGACATACTTATCAACAATGCTGGTATCATGAGATGTCCGAAACTGCTGACTGAAGACGGGTTTGAGATGCAGTTAGGTGTCAACCATCTAGGTATGTTTCAAATGCAGGGCCCCGTTCCTCAAAGCGATCGTAGCGCTACAACAGTCGTAAGTCTATGTTAAAGTATGGGAGTTACGATCATCTTAGCGCTACGATTGCTTTGAGGAACGGGGCCCAGTTTAGCATTAGCCATATATATGATCTAGGAATGTTTCAGCTGACTGTAACTTGTTCAATGAGGGTGAATCAGTTCACTTTTTAACCATTTTGACATGCAAAACTCTATTAAAAGATCGAAATAGATTTGTGAAGTGTATTCAAATTTGTATGTACTGTTTCGGTTTAGCACTTTTTTGAGTTACCTGTTGTATCAACAATCAGGACATTTTCTTCTGACTCACCTGCTGTTGGACAAGCTCAAGGCGTCTGCTCCAAGTCGGATCATCAACGTATCCAGTCTGGCCCACAGTAGGGGCCGCATCAACTTTGAGGACTTGAACAGTGCAACCACTTACAACCCTTCTGGAGCCTACGAACAGAGCAAGCTTGCCAACGTCTTGTTTACTGTGGAATTGGCAAAGCGATTGAAAGGTATCACAGCCAGTCGTATGAAAATCTGATCTTAGTGCCTACTGCCACTACACAAACATCAGATCATGTGTCACATCATAATGATCTATAACAAACTATGACCGGTCAATGAATGAAGCTGACATTGCCAAATCAGAAAGCAACTTTCTCTAGCCTCCTGGCACTAATTTTAAACTGGCGACCTACATTCCAGACAACACTTAAAATTATTTTTGGACAAATTTCATAATTTGAAATTTTAAAAAACTGAATGAACTATACTTCTGGAATGTCTGACAGATAATCAATATTATATGGCAGTACTTCCGAAGGTCTCTACTGTTTCAATTGTTTTTATCTCTGTGAAGCAAAAGACGATGATTTTGATTCAATCGTACAGCCCTGAACATTGTTAAGCTGTCTCAAGGTTGCATGATTTGAAAGCACATACAACTTTTCCCTTCCCTGATAATGGTAAGTGACGAGTTATTTACTGACCATTCTGACGCAACCCAGAATGAGATGACCATAGATCTTTGTTAAGCTGTTGCAAGAACTGAGAAGAAGCAGAACTGAGATCTGCTTCTAACAAGATTGGTACCTGTATTGTTGTGCTAGCCTGATTCAAATGTTTTATTGATACACTTGAACTTCAGTTTGGACATATTTGTATGAGGGTTAATACTTGTTACTTGTTAGCGTCAACTGATGAAGCAGATGTGCCTGTATCTTGAAAGCATCTGTCCATCTGAGAACCACTTAACAGATGATGGTTATATCATATTGACAAGAAAATGTTAACCTGGATCTGATGATGTTTTTGACAGACACTGGTGTAACTTGTAATGCTGTCAATCCTGGGCTTGTGAAGACAGAGATCGGCCGGCACCTGAGTGTCACCAAGTCCTACATCTCCAGCTTCCTGTTGTTTCCCTTTCTGTGGCTGATGTTGAAGACGCCGCGGCAGGGAGCTCAGACGACACTGTACGCCGCGCTAGATCCCAAGCTGGCCACAGTCACAGGGAAATATTTCAGGTACTGTATGCATGTACACTATCAGATGACATTGTATGTCACGCAAGACCTAATCATGCCACAGTCACAGGGAAATATTTCAGATACTGTATGCAAGTACACTATCAGATGACATTGTATGTCACACAAAACCTAATCATGCCACAGTTACAGGGAAATATTTCAGGTACTGTATGCATGTACACTATCAGATGACATTGTATGTCACACAAGACCTAATCATGCCACAGTTACAGGGAAATATTTCAGGTACTGTATGCATGTACACTATCAGATGACATTGTATGTCACACAAGACCTAATCATGCCACAGTTACAGGAAAATACTTTAAGATTCTACTTAGTTATCTGCCTTTTGTTTGAAACCATGTGCTTTGAACATGTGATCACGAGCTACGTTGTGATTGGTTGAAATATAATCGAAGATTAAACGAGACTTACCTGTAAGTTAAAGGCTGACCTAGATTATATGAAACTAATCACAATTAGGAGGGATCACGTGCCCTCCCAAAACTTGACAGTTTCACCCACCCTTATTGTGGACACGGTTTCAAACACTTTAAAGTCTGACTCCTGGCTCGCTATCGCTATCTCACGTGATCCCTCCTACTCGTGATTAGTTTCATATAATCTAGATCAACCTTCAACTTACAGGTAAGTCTTGTTTAATCTTCGATTTCCGTACGGTTTACGGTTAAATGTGCTGGTAACGATGAATGTTCATGAATTTGTTACTTTGACTGCTTTCATGTATATTCAGGGTTTTGCATGACGCGTGATTCCTGCGTATTTGATGCAACAATTATGTTAATGACTCTCAAAATACTATCATATGAGTCATTGACGCAAGTTTTATAGGTGGCCCTCACAATTCAGTTCAATAAAATCGATTTGATAAGCAAAAAATGATATTGTTCGATGATAGTTTGACTTTTACAGAGCTGTCAGATTGTTCCAGAGAGCTCAGAGGACACAGTAATCCTGGCTGTGTGAATTGAACTATGCTGTAGTTTCATTTGGTGGTATGACATACACAGTTACATACTGAGAATGATGAACACAAAGATATATTACAATTTTCATGACTCCCAAATATTGAAAATGACTCCCAAAAATAAATATGGTGAGTCACCATGAATCCCATTTTTAAAAGTCTGTGTAAAACCCTGATATTTATATCTCTTCTATGTCTACAGTACTACATTATTACCCTGTAAAGAGGACTTGTTGTTCAGTACTAAAAATGAACTACACTCAAATTATTATTGCCTGGTGATCGTGTTTTCTTGTTTCAGTGACTGTGAGGAACAAGCCTTGTCACAGCAGGTTGTTGACGAAGCGGCCATGAAGAGGTTGTGGGTGATCAGTGAAAAATGGACTCGAATCACATGACATTATGTGTTACTTATTACTGTGACATTGAAAGTAATTGCTGGAGTGCTGAGAACTGTGAAAATATTACCCCTGTTGACACGAGCTCTGACTTCAAATACAGAGTGATGGGCTTTGTTTCAGATTTGAGACAAGAGTGTGCACTTCCATGCAGTCAAGTGAGGGGTTGTATTTTTGTGTAGATATCTGGAAATGTTTCATGGTGGTGTGAATAAAGAAACATTAAAAGAGATATCAACTTTTCAAGTAGTTGTCTTGTGAACAAGTCATTTTCAAGGGTTAGTACTCAGTATTAGTAGCTCACACAATGGTATGGTAGCACTGTTCCTTCATCGGGTGTAGTGGAGGGGAGGTAGCCTAGTGGTTAAAGCTGTTGCTCATCATGTCAAAAGACCAGAGTTCTATTCCCCACTTGAGGTGAGGTGAAATTGGGTTTAACGTCGTACTTGAGAATATTTCGCTCATATGACGACATGCGTGTGTATATGTATGTGCGGCTGCTTGTACTAGCCCAGACTGAAGCTGGTTTTATAGTGCTAGCCCACTGAGATACCATGTGGCAGTGAAGCATGAATATCCCACTCAGACACATTATTCTCACTCCGAGCTGAGCAGTCCTTGTTGTACCCATTAATGCCGAGCGCCAGGCAGGGACCAACAAGTACCATATTTTAAAGTATTTTGGTATGACGCGGTCGGGGATCGAACCAGCGACCTTCCGCATGTCCCACTTGAGTAAAAGATGTGAAGCCCATTTCTGGTGTCCCTCGCCATGACATTGCTGGAATAGTGGCAAGGGTGGATACAGCTTTTTTGAAAGGGGGATGCACAGTTCACCCATTTTAATGGTCATTTAATAAACTTTCAGGACTTCCCTGCAGACACACACCCCTCTCTGGAGCTGCCTGTGAGTGCTAATTGATATAACATACTCTAACCCTAACCCTCATTTATTCACTCACTCACTGTTCCTTCATCAGGTGCAGGGACAGTAGGTTAGCCCTGTGGTTTAACTTGTCATGTCTGAAGCTGTTGTCCTCTGCTGTGATATTGTTGGAATATTGCTAAAAGCAGTGTTAAAACCAAACTCATCTCTTCAGTTCCTCACTGGATCCATTCAAAGTGAGCCAAATATCGTGAATCATTTCATGAACATGAAAAGAGAGTTCAGGTGAAGGGGAATGTAGTGAATGAGTGAATATGATTTTATGCCACTTGTAGCAATATCACAGCTGGGGACACCAGAAATGGACTTCACACATTGTGGCTTATCACACCCAGGTCTTTGGCTGATGAGTCAAGGCTTCAAGCACTACAGCTTGTTCAGCTTGACCTGAGCTCCTCTACATAAGCATGAACCAGGAGGTCAAATGGCACAAACGGCAGATCGGGTTATCTTCATTAAATAGGGGTGCAGAGAATGTTATTAATGTTGCGTTCGTGCGAAGCATTTATACAGAGATTCGTTACAGAACTTGTCCCGGAAAACAACACTTCTGAAAAAAACAATCATGTCAAGGTTTAATTGAATTGTTTAAACACAGTCATATGCTATCTGGTTTGGTTTACTAACTTTACAACTTACAGACGTCAGTTACTTTCACAATCCGATTCACTCTCGCTATCACTCTCTACACCCAGTTCAATTATCACGTTTTCAATTTCATGTTCAATCGTAGTATTTCTGTCCCAGTAGTCGCTTTCCAAATTTTCAACATGGGCCCAGCAACCAGTCCACTCGTTTACACCAATCGTCTGACAAAGGTGCACCCCTTCACAATAATAGACCCAACCAGTTGGGCACCTAATCGCCAGTAAGCAAAGTCAGCTGCCTAACCCGCTCAGCGATTAGGTGCCTGACACTGAGGGTGTGAGTTCGAATCTCGGATGGGCCTCAACCAAAAAAGTACTAGAAAGTGTAATCCCAAATATGACACGTTACATCTGACCACTTTCTAACTGGCATTTTGTAATGAAAGAATTAATAGTGAAATCTTTTGTTGTGGACAAGGAATGCTGTCATTGAGGTACAGCTACTGAGGTCATTAAAGTGGAAAAGGCCTGAGATCTGCAACACTTCGGGCTGCACAAAACAATGTTAAACCCAACCCAGTGCCCAACTTCTTCTTAAACTGGCAGTTGGAGACCAATATGATCAATATTGTTGACTGGTTTCTTCTTTGTAGGGCACAATGTGTGAAGCCCATTTCTGGTGTCCCCCGCCGTGATGTTGCTGGAATATTGCTAAAAGCGGCGTAAAACCAAACTCAGTCAGTCAGTCAGTCTTCTTTGTAATAGTCCATTGTATTATGTATTTTCGTTTAAAGAAATTGGAGATTGGCAACAGTATACATTTTCTTAAACCACTCACTACACTTGATGTAAAAAACAATGTTTCCAATTTTCCCCATCATCCCATTGGCGGCCATATTGGATTTCAAAATGGCCGCCACATTCAATAATGTGCCACCCTTTTTTTTCACTTTTAAGATAAACTTTTATGAAGCATTGGCCTGCGATGGGGCGGGGGCACGTACTTAAACCTTACGTCATCGCATAAACTCCTCCTGCTGTACAATAACGTCCTCTCTAGGTTTAAACGGCACAACACACCTATAGTCAATAGTGGTATTAATTTGTTTAACGCTGCACTCAGCAACATCCCAGCTCCACCTACAACAACAAGTCACCTGCAGCCCCTACACGCTGGGATTATCCAGTCATTCAAGGCTCATTACGGGAAACATCAGCTCAATCACCTCGTTGAGTGCACAAGGCCTCTAACTGTCCTACCTTGTTATAATGCCACCCTGCATATAATGCCATATTTCTCCTGGACAAACCGTGGCATTATAACCAGGGTATACTGTATATGTCGGTGGATTATGAAAGTAATCTGGCCTATACCAAACATTCGACACCATGAACATCGATCTACGCAATTGGGATACGATGGCATGCATCCAAGCGAGCCAGACCACAGACCCATTAGTCGCCTCTTAGGAAAAGAATTGTTGGCTGATGACCAGTTCCACCCCTGAATGGACTGGCCATTGATGCCAAAGAGGTATACCATAGATGACAGAGGAAATTCAAAACAGGAACTGTATGAGTCAGAAAGGGTCTGTCAGAAAAGAATGTGCAGATTTATGGCTAGATAGATCAAGAACATACTGGGACTATTTAAAGGTCACATGCAACAAAAAAATCAAGCATAATTAAAACACAATTATCACTTGTTCACGACATATACTAGTAATATACATTGCTGATTATGAAAAAAACATGTAAACAAAACTATAAGCGTACAATCGCAAATCAAAAGTGCAATATTTTGTACTTTGGTTTACTTCCCTCGAAACGAAGGACCCAGGATACCAAACCCAGTCAGAGCTGGTGGGTGTGCACTCAAGTGTAACGAGGCCTTTCATTGGCTGGTTCATTTGCTGATGCCTTCACGGCTCATTGTATGTGTGTGTATGTATATAGTGATGTTGGGTTTTGTAAATACATGCTCATTTTTTTGGTATAACATTTTGGCAATCAACAGACATCATAACATGTCATGTGTACAAGTATCACACCTGCCTGTCTGTGTAATTACATAATGTAACAGAGACCGAACTCGGGCCATAAATCGATGCGTTTTGTTTATGGTGTATAGCCTGATAGGTGTTAAGTTCAAATTGCATGTGACACATAGGTGTCAATAAAACAGACATTGAGTTTTGTCTGTGACAACGACATATCTATATCACAGTTAGAAGTTCTGTCAACGCTAAATAATGACATTGCTTTTAAGTATCGAACTGAGAAAGTGACTCGGTAAGAAGAACGTGTGGTGAAATAGACAAATGAAATTATATAAACAGTTAAATCGGTAATTTACTGTCATAACATATAAAAAGCTCGCGCTTGTGAAATATCAGCAAAACATTAGAAAAAATAGCTCACATCAAAGCCTTCACCGAGTATTCGCCGCCAGCGAAGGTTTTCCGTCTTGAAATGTCGAACGCCTCACTGGTTGACACATAGCTGAGTAGATCTAGATCCTAACAAGGTTCTTTTATGTAATGAGTAGATTATTTGCTAATTTTTTTTTTAGACTACTCCTGCTCACGACCTTATATTAAATCCGGACATCCCGCTTCCAAGCTGTGCGATCCTATTTCACTGCGCATGCGCTATCAGCGCAGCCCAGCTCTTGAAACCACTTTTCACCCCAGGCGCTGGGGTGGATTTAGTGAATCGTTTGAACTCCGATTTTGCGGGGTTTTTTCCATCGAGTTATTTTTCAACTTTATAAGCTGAATTTGCATTTTTGATGATTTGTATCTGTAAGTCCATACCGAAAGGTATCAGAATCTGCAAAGTTGTGTTTTACGTTGCATGTGACCTTTAAGGTAACACCGTAGAATCCTGAATATCGGACAGGGAGGCAGAACAAAACCATTTAAAAATTGACATCAACATTTTATGGAGGTACTGGCTTGTGTGGTAAGGCAAATGGTTTATAGCATATACGCTAAAAACCCATTGAAATTACGTCAACAAAAATAACTCCAATCGCTTCTTAGTTAATCATTAGTAACAAGAAAATGTAGTGACAGTAGAAAATAAATGATGTCTTCCCGCGCAATCCATTCTTTTATTAACCAATCAGGAAAGAGTTATGTGGGCCACATTATTTTTCGGTTCATAGAAAACAGAGAGCCAGAATTGCCTTGGTTGGGCAATCAAAAGCCATGGAATCGCTTGAATTATTGTTCATTGAAAAAGAAAATACATAGAAACAGAAAGCGAAAGACTATGGGAGAGGCAAGCTTGAATGTAAAAGCGTATCCCAAATCAGGTGGTAGATTTCGTTCCTGATCTTCTCTCAGAACGAGACATGTGCCCCACACAAGTAAAACCAGTCTAAGTTATAGTCCATAATAATCAGATTTTGATTCCGCGAAGAAGAAACGCCGATCTGTATTTCAATAGTCTAGAACTTGGAGTTTTGTTTGCCTAAGTATGTCCTGTAGCTGTGACTTTGTTTGATGATGTAAACTAAAGGTGTGCTACTCGTTAGTAAATAGTAGGCAACTGTAGATCCAGAGTACAAATACCCTTTTTAGCTATATAGTGAGGAAGTAGATGAGGTCAGTGACGCTTTCAAAAGTATTCCAGTCACATCACGACACTGCAGGTTGAATGGGAAGAAAACCCAGAAAATCAGATTTTAACGGTACAGGCTAGCTATTCTCGAAATGTTCGTAGCCCTACGAACGTCTTAAGTCCATTCTTAACACATTGGCTACGATCAAAGTTAAGAATTCTTAGGGCTACGAACGTTTCGAGAATAAGGGCCCTCGTACTAGGCATATCCGTGAAAATCCGGGTTAGAATTGGTCTTCAGCAACCCATGCTTGTCATAGAAGGCGACTATAACGGGATTGGGTGGACAGGCTCGCTGACTTGGTTGTCATCGGATCCCAACAGCTTACAACGAGCAATGGGCGACAACAAACAAACAAACAGATTTTAACCGTACAGGTTTCTTGCAAGGCCTGTTAATTAGCGCTCACTGTTTTGGTGAATCCCACAAACACGGTCTTGGTGCTGACAGACCTATGAACATAATCAGGACGAACCGTGATTCGAACCCAGGATCGTCAAAGGTTATAACACGCCTCAGGGAACATTTTTGCACAATAAATGGCAATGTTTTAGACGAATGGAACACCAACACCCAAGAAAATCACGTACCGTCCAAGCGTGTACTCTTGCTCTATATGATCTACAGTATGTGGCGTAAAGTGCCGCTTACGGTGTTTCCAAACGATAGTGAGGAGGTAGGGTATCCTTGTGGTTAAAGTGAACGCTCGTTGCGTCGAAGATTCGGGATCCATTCCCAACTTGTGTACAACGCGTGAAGCCCATTCCTGGTATCTGACGTGATATTGCCGGAATATTCCATAAAACGTGGCATATAACAAAATTCACTCACTAACCAACTGACAGTTTAGGAGAAGCTGAATACACCGAAACCAATGTCTGGCTGTTAACTCGTTCCGATAGGTGGACTTTACCCAACACTGACATTTCTGCTGTGTAGGTCGAAACAACGCGTTTCCATGGACCGTAATCGGGTCCATGTGGGATTCGAACCGACGCAAAGCGGACACTGGCACGTCTTGTTGACGAAAACCTGCACAACGACCAATGCAGCACTGTGAAGTGTAATAGGATCTCCGTAAATACATTTCCATGTTTGAAACGTTGCTGGGTTGTTTTGCAGTGTGAATGTCGGTCAGGCGCTGGCACAGATAGATAACTATGGCTTTGCAGTAAACAGTTCTGTACTTGCCTGCAGCCAGTTTTCAAAACAGGCTTATTCTAGACAGCACACCGTTTTACGTTTGTATACAAACTCGTATCTGCTAAGTGTAGATGAAGAAAACAATTCTATAATTATATTGTTCCTTTTTCATCTATATCATCTTTCCGTGAAAACGCAAACAAAAAATTAAATTTGTTTACAAAATATCTGTATCGCAAAAAGCAAAACTTGACCACATTTTTAAACGTCGTAGAATTGTTTTGTAGACGGCCTGTAGAACAGGTATACTGTTATTTGGACATTGGTGGTAAGTCAAGGTCATATCTGAGTAATTATAATTTTTTACATGTTTGTAAATGAACAAGTGTCGGTCTGCAATTCGTTATACCGTGTTCTTTTCAGTTTCATTAACCATAGATCCGACCAGTGCTTGTAGAAATGTAACATGTTTATATACCCCTTTTCAAGTGCATTGTATACTGCCATGTTATTTTATAACCAGCTGCTGCCTCGTGTTTCAACAGCGGAACCAAATCATCGTTATAGCGGGGACGGAAGGGGGCGTGACTACCGATGCTGAGACATGCCGATACGGCCTCCATATGGTACGTATCTTAGATTAACCTTCGGACAATCGCAATTAAAGGTCACGGCTACCATCGTTGTAAGGGTGGACAGTTAGGATGTGAGTGTAACCAATTACTGACAACCCTCTGTTGTCAAAGAGCCGAGTGCGCCTCAATTCAAGGTACGTGTAACAAGGTTCTACTGACATTCTGTAACGAGGGCTTAACTTCGTGTGTATTTTTCGAACCTACATATATTATTATATGATCTGGATGGTGATATGGTGTAATATCGCTAATATTCATTATGATTTCGGAGCCAGGACCCGGCTGGTCTTGTGTGTCATCGTACCCAAATGTGTGGATTAAGCGTCTTAATATTCACAGGATTCGATGTCAGGTGCCCGTCCTTGTTGTCAGAGGCTACTAAAGCCACTGGGCTGTCAGACTCGCTAACTTGGTAGATGCATGTCACTTAATCCCTTTTGCGAAGATCAATGCCATTCTTATCAAACAGCGCTATTACATCCCGCCCCCTACAGAAGCTGACATCCAGAAATGTTAACTTCACGTGTATAGGTTATAAATACAATGGTGTCTCACGCAGTAATATTGCTCAAATATTGCTAAAAGTGGCGTAAAACCACATACACAAGCACGCACGCACGCACGTACGCATGTACACCATTCGAAAACAACAAAGTTTTTTTTGGCTAAACTAAGAAAAACAAAAATTATCATGATTATGAGAGGCTTTACAGGTCGTTACTGGAATGTATAGAGGAATGTAGCTTACGTACATGACTGGGCGGTGCAGTAAGGGGAACATAATATAAGCAGCTTCATTTCATCAGTGGTGGTGGAATTGGGTTTATCGTCGTGCTTGAGAATATTTCGCTCATATGACGACGTGCATGCGTGTGTATGTGTACGTGCGGCTGCTTGTACTAGCCCAGACTGAAGCTGGTTTTATAGTGCTAACCCACTGAGATACCATGCCGCAGTGAAGCGTGAATACCCCACTCAGACACATTATACTGACTCCGAGCCGACCAGTCCTTGTTGTACCCATTAATACCGAGCCCCAGGTTGTACCCATTAATGCCGAGCCCCAGGCAGGGACCAACAAGTACCATATTTTAACGTCTTTTGGTATGACGCGGTCGGGGATCGAACCCACGACCTTCCGCACTCCGGGCGGACGCTCATTTCATCAGTGATGAATGGTACAAATATGCGGCTATTATTCAATCCAGGTTTCCATCCAAAACGTCCTGATGGCGGGTTTCCTGATATTTATCACTACAACGACGCTGTTGCTGCTTCACACCTACGGACACAGGGACACTGGCAACGTTGTGTCGTGGAAGGAGTCGCGGAATGGACAAACCCCTGATGTCCACACCATTGGGTCTCCGGATCAGACCGGTAGAGACACCTCGACTCGTGGACATGCGTCATCAGACCGGATATGTACGAATCGTCATGGTGACAAGCGGTACAGGGTGTCATGCGACTCCGACAAGGTCCCGCCTTCCGCTCTGCCCCAAGACGCTACGGTGTTTGAGTTTGATAAGTAAGTTCCCCCATACAGACATTTATTTACTGAAACCAGCTTAAATACGACATGGGACAATTGGCTTGGTATATCATGAAATGTTTAGTGTGTATCTATATAATATATACCAGATGATAAAACTTGAGTTAAAAGAATAGTATCACAATCTTCGCCGCCCCGTGAAGGTCGGGGTTGGAATAACGGCGACTAACGGGATCGGGTGGTCAAGTTTGCCGAATCGGTTGATGCAAGGCATCGTATCCTAGCTGCGTAAGGCAACGTTCATAATGTAAATCACTGAATTGTCTGGTCCCGTCGTATATCCGAAACATTACTGTGTGCGGCGTTAAGCAACAAAGAAACTCTTTCATGACCTCTCGTGACGTCAAAATAGTAAACGGATGACATTTTTAAATTGCCTTGAGTCCAATATTCGCGGTAAGGGTTTTCTAAGAGTCTTTAGTTGTATATACCTGCCTGTAAAGGTGAGCTATTTGGTGCTGTCTCCTTGTCTCAGCCTACCCTTTGGTAAATTTTGCCCTTTCATGGTAACTCGGTATATTTCTGCCTGAAGTTCATCTACATGCCATTGATATTCATATATGTTCTCAAAATAGGTACCCCTCTGATGAACGTCTTTGGCCTGAGATTGGCAACGGTCATGTGGCCACGGTCGTCAAGGGCGACTCCATGTTCATGAACGGTCTTTATAACGGCAAAGAACGGGACAGTCACCGAGCCCGACTTCCGTCGACTGTGGCCGTGTCTATTACATCCATCACCCCTAGCAACGTCACTAAGAAATTTGTCCTTGACATTGGCAGAGGTGAGATTCCAGAGACTGTCAATATGGCGCAAAAAACGTTGGATTTGAGGGTATAAATACGTTTTTACGAGATAGATGTTCTATTTAGGTGTGAGTAAGTGGTTTTGGTTTCACCCCACTGTGCGCAATATTCCTGCCAGGACACACCAGAGACCGGCTTCATAAAATATACCCATATGTGGAATCGAACCCGAACGTTCGGCGTGACGAGCTAACGCTTAAACACAAGATTACCCTGCCGCTCCTCAAACTTATCAACATAAAGCAGTTACCAGTAAGAACCAATGGGCGACCGAAATAGGCATTGATTATTTCAAATGGTTTCGTTGTGTCGTGACGCCTGAATTGTGATCTCCAGGGAACTCAAAGCCTTTTTCATCGTCGGGCGCTTTAGCGTCGAGGAGTTTATGGGGTGGTATTTACGCAAGTGGTCATAGCGTTCGCTCATTACGCCAAAGACCAGATTCGATTCCCACATAAATACAATTCGTGGTGTCCCCCACTGTGACATTGCTGAAATATTGCTGAAAGCGAAGTAAAATTTACACTCACTCACTCGTTGAGTTTATACAAATCTATACACGTCTTTATGCATACATGTATACACATGAAAGGGTGACTTTCTTCCAAGATTTTGAAAAAAGTTTCTAGTGGTTGTATAGACATAATAATGAATCCCTCGCGTGAACCAGCTGTGGCATTGTTGTCTTCTAAATCAGTAAATTACAACCAGCTTGATTGATATACACGATTGATTATCGAAGATCGGTTAGAAAGCTAACAAAGTGTATGGGCACCTTTGATGAAACTTTCAGGGACTGTCAGGTTTCTGAGCCCGGTCCCCCTTTAAATATCATGGTGTCTGTCACAGGTGTATACTACGAGCGCTATAACGGGGATGGATTCTACGTGGAACTACGGATATACGCACACAGAGTGGTGACGAGCGTCCTCGCTATAGAACTGATCATAGCTGACACGTCCGGCAATCGTAACGGAAACATCACGGTGACCTTGAACGTCAACAACGGCACAGCCAGCGAGGACGTCACATGGACAAATGTTGACGACAACGGACAGATCACGTGAGTTTAATTTTGAATTGTTATAGACATATTTAAACCAAATGATAAGGGTAAGTGGAAATGTACTTTAGTGAAGCAGTTTGTGTGCGGTAACGGTGCAAAGATATATATAATATTCGTGTTGGATGAAGATCAGTATTGACAAATGTCTGTTTCTATGCCGGTGAGAATGAGTGAGTGAGTGAGTGAGGTTTAACTCCACGACCGCCTCCGTGATGTAGTGGTTAGAACGTCCGCCCGGAGAGCGGAAGGTCGCGGGTTCGATCCCCGACCGCGTCATACCAAAAGACGTTAAAATATGGTACTTGTTGGTCCCTGCCTGGTGCTCGGCATTAATGGGTACAACAAGGACTGGTCGGCTCGGAGTCAGTATAATGTGTCTGAGTGGGGTATTCATGCTTCACTGCGGCATGGTATCTCAGTGGGCTAGCACTATAAAACCAGCCTAAGTCTGGGCTAGTACAAGCAGGCGCACATACACATACACATACACACGCATGCACGTCGTCATATGAGCGAAATATTCTCAAGCACGACGTAAAACCCACTTTCACCTCACCTCACCTCAGTATTTCAGCCATGTCACGAGAGAAAATCCCAAATGATACGGAAACCCATTGATGCGGGCATGGTGCTGATTCTGGCTAGAAACAACCACGGTATATATGGAAGGAATTAAACCCCAAAGCGGAAGAGCAAATGGGTGAAAGTTGGTAAAGGTCGTATTCAACAATATTCCACATATGTCACAGTGGTCTGTACATCGACCTGTACGAGACTGGACCGGACAAACCTGTGATTGAATACATGAGAAGCAAAGGGGTGTCAATGATTCCTGGCACGAATAAGGGACGCAACTCTACACAGACAATAGAAAACCCTTGACGTTCAGAGCAGATATATGACATCAAATGCAGGGGAGGTGTACACGGTGTATAATCAGTTATGTTGTTTTCCACTAGTTTGAAGAGTGGACACACCAAAGAAGCGGAGTACGATGCGATGGCGCCAGTGACACCGGTGACAGTGTTTTCCAGCAACATTCCCAGCAGCCTGTCACTTCCGGTTGGCATCTCCAAGGAAGACGTCGTGTTCTTCACGTCTATCAACGTAGACAAAAGCAAGGCAATCGAAGGCTTCAACCAAGGTCAGAGACAAAACACCGTCTCAAAGTTAACATGGCGTCTGATGTGGCACGTGCTTAAGGCAGCGGTACTAACTGTCGTTCCCTTACCGAGATCCTTCTGACGTTTGGCTCAGACAGTCGGCTATCAAAGGTCATCCATTGCATTGAAGTTCAGACAGTCACTTGTCTGTCTGTAGATTTGATTTCAGTTTCAGACAGTTGTCTGGTATTCTGTAATGGCATATATTATATGTAAGTTCAGACAGTCTTCTGGCTTCCTGTGCTAATTCCCCAGATAGCATTCAGACGTTGGCCCAACGTTGGCAATGGTTTTGCCAACATTGCCAACGTTGGCCCAACGTCTGAATGCTATCTGGGAAATGTCATACTTTGCATATAGGTTTAGACAGCTACCTGCCAGTCTGTAATTTGAGACAGTCGTAATGCAATCTACACGTGAAAACAACCATATGTTTTCTGTAATAGTACATACAGCTTCAGACAGCCATCTAACTTTCTTTGACAAGCTCACACATATACTTGCCTTTGTGTCATGTTAAATATGAGCTCGGAAACAATCAAAGTATTCTGCTGATAAGTATGAAGTACGCTCATATGTAAATGCATACCTGCCAACTTTCACGCCTTTGGCTTATATTACTCACGTCACGTTCTCACGACAAAACTGAATCTCTGGACTCACTTAAAAATAATATAAAATCGCACATTTAGGTCTCAAGACATCCTTTTCAGAGACGTTTGTGACAAGGGAATTTCCATTTATGCGTTAACTTGAACCCCTAACCAGGTTCCACACAAGACTACGACATCTCAAGCTTTTTTCTCTCCTGGGTTTTGAAGCTCTGATAAATGTAACTCATTGTTTGTTAGCTATGGAGTTAATGGCGAATGGAACGCTGTATTCCTCCCACGTGGCTGCTTGGAGGGATGTTTGGGAGAAGGGGCGTGTGGATGTGGAGGGGAACCTCACCCTGGCCAGGATCAACTATGCCTGTCTCTACTACCTCACCAGTTCTCTCCCTTTGAAGGAAGATCCGAACTGGTCTTTCGTTGGGCTGTCACCAGGAGGACTAGCCCATGGCTCCCGGGGGGAGGTAATCGGTCTTTCGTAACAAATGCAGCTTAGTTTTTTTTATTGATGGAATGTTGTTTTACACAGCACTTATTAACAGTAATTCACGTTCACTCCATATCTATATATCATATTGGAGGAGCTAGTACCAGACAAACCAAGTGTTGGTAGATTAACGCTTAGTCTCTGAACCTTTATAATTTTGATAGAAAGAAGTAATTCCTTTCAAACTGAAAAGGAGCTCCAGTGAGATGGGAGTTTCGGAAACAGGGGAAAAATCTAGATTTGCTTTATTTAGAGCATAGCATTGAATAAAGGACTGACCTAGGCGAAAATAATGCGGTTCAAGGACTAAGACACAGACTACACCCGTCGGTAGTGTGAGCTGCGATCAGAGTTTGTAACCTCATGTGAGGTTGTGTAGTCTCCACTTTTCATCATCTGTGACAAGGGATTCCCAAATCCATTGACTTTTGTTCGATTTTCTTTCAACTTGTGTGAACGTAGCGAGACAATGGCGAGCGATTAATTTGGGGAGTATTCAAATCACGTTTGTCAAACCTACAAAGTCACAGAGCCATCAGAGAACTAAGCATCATATGACGCAAACACACAGCGTGTACTGGCATCTAAAGGGGCATAACTCTATAATATCATGTCTAAAACGTTCAGGATTAACACAAGGCCATGCATATGTCCAGTAGGTTCCGCTGACAGCTAACATCAGTTTCTGGTAGCCACAATTCATAATTTCTAGGTGACCAATGTCAGTCATTACAAAGGGTCCGAGTAAGTCAGAATTCTCGATACTGAGTAACGCCCCTTTGTTGAACAAGGATGGACTTATCGTAGGTTCGAATTTGATTATTGTCCTTGGTTTGTCAACACCATTTCCATACAGTTCAACCCTAAGCGTTTATGTCATACGTAAAGTTACCACAACATTACGTGACATTCGTCCGCCTTCGTTATAACAAATTTAAAACTAGATTTGTGCGTTCACATATGCTTGTATGCATAATACAAATATTACTAAAAATACGTTTAAGAAGATCTGATTTATTGATATGACTATAGTTCATCTGCCATGGCCAAAAAGAAGGTGTTATTCAACTTTTTTGAGTAGTATACATTATAGTTTCTCGTCCTCAGGATTATAATGGTCACGTGTTCTGGGACCAGTCCACGTGGATGTTTCCACCAATCATGATGCTCCATGCTGATCTTGGCCGCACATTGGTTGGAACCCGCCTACGGACTTTGAAAGCAGCCCAGATACTGGCCAACACGACTGGCTACCGCGGGGCCAGATATCCGTGGGAATCAGGGTTTACAGGTGACAAACGTTATTATAGAAGAGAGAAGAAAAAATCTTTATTACCCTGAATGGGAATTTGCTGTACATCAGCAGTAGTACAAAATACAAAACGCAAAGAAGAGAATAATTCAAATTAAATTTAAACATTAAATTTAAATCTAACAATAACATATTCTTATTTACAATGCCATGTTAAAGCTTGAAAATGAGTCACGAGGAAAACATTGAAATGTGATCATGCTTCCTTGTCCGTCCATTTCTCTAAATGACTCGTTAACGGTTAGAAGAATGTCCCAAATACAAAACTAAATGTAACAAATGTTTTTAGTTTATTCTTTGGTTTTAAGACAAATATTGTTTCAGGTATAATAAAGTTTTCAGAAGTTACCGTTTTTCATTTTCTAACCATTTGGAGATTTTAATAACACTGGAATTTAAGGTGTCAACCATATTCTTTATATATTTCCTTTTTTAACAGAGGTATATCGGTACTGTAGCTGTTATTTATCTTCTTGGCTGCATAAAAAGATTTTTCATGGGCACATTTTAGTTGATGGTCGACTTATTAAACAGTTCTTTATTGAAAAGAATATTGTAATGCAGGAGGAGCATTTTTGTTTTTTTCCCACAAGGAATGCCAACAAACACTACAGGGAACATGCTGATCTCTGTTCTTCAATGGACAACAGAGTATGATTCTCATGGAGTAGAAAATGTCAAGTCCGATATTGGAGACGGTACCATCATGCACGTGTATACTATGTATTTCAGGATTGGAGACCAGTCCTTCCGTGGCTTGTGGTGATCTGGAACAGCACATCACCGGAGACGTGTCCCTGGCGTTCCGCCAGTATCTGCAGCTCACAAACGACACAGACTTCCTCACCCAAGGACGGGGCCTTGACGCCATCACCAACATGGCCGAATTCTGGGCGTCGAGGGTTGTCAAGAACACCACTACAAAACTGTGGGAAATAAGGGGTACGTCTGCCTAGACACTAACACAAAACACTCCAGGACAAAGGACACGTAAGTCTAGAAACACATGATATATACCACAGACAGTTTCTTTTAAAACAAAGAACATTTTTGGAGACAACGGGCTTGTCACTCTAGAAACGCATGACATATACATGTACCTAAAATGTTTCTTTTGAAAACAAAGACCAAGGGACAAGTCAGTTTAGAAACACACGACATATACCAGGACAAGTTTCTTTTAAAAACAAAGAGCGTGTCTGTTCTTAAACTCCTGTTTACATTATTGGCCTAATAGACGCGTGATTCAGCTCATGGGGTGGCGGGGTAGCATAGTGGTTAAAGTGATCAGTCGTCACGCAGAAGACCCGGATTCGATTCCCCAGATGGGTACAATGTGTGAAGCCCACTTCTGGTGTCCCCCCACCGTGATATTGCTGGAATATTGCTAGAAGTGGCGTAAAACCAAACCCACTCAGCTCAGTTTATGCCTGTGTTCTTGTCCCGGGTCTTCATTTGGCAGGATGTATACCGTGACAACTCTTGTTCCACAGGTGTAATGCCGCCGGACGAGTACCACTACAACGTCAGCAACTCTGTCTACACCAACACCGTCGCCAAGCTGAGTCTGCTGACGGGGGTGTACGCCACCAGGATGGCAAGACAGACTCCCCCCGGCTACTGGCAAGACATCGCCGACAACATGTACATCCCCTTCGATGACAAGCTACAGTATCACCCCGAGTTTGACACCTACAAGATAGGTATGGACTGTGCATTTATGAAGAAGGTCCGTATGTTTTCTGTATTTTTTCAGCCCGCCCTGAATTTTCTGTCCGTCGTGGAATAAGAACGTTTTCTTTTTTTCAATCGTTTTTATCATTTCAATTCAGTAAGGGTACATTCAGATCGGGTGTGTACAAATATAAATAATATGTATGAATAACTTTATACAATTTATATGAAGCAGCAATACATTGTTTGACATCAAATTGAAAAACGTTTTCTTATCTGAATTATCCTCACCGCTGTTAACATTTTACTCACGTATATGGATCTCTTGTCCTTTCACGCTCATAAACAATACCCCAGGTTAGCTTCAACAATCGTCATCTACAAATTACAAAAGTTTGTTTCCAAAGCAAAGCGACTCGTTCTACTTTCATAGAATAACGTAAAAATTGAAAAGCGATCTTGATATTTCAGAGAAGTTACACAACGCCTGAAAAACATTTTATAAAGAAATACGTAAGCTTTCTTACTATTTGAGGTTGAGATGAGAACATAAGAAACTATGGATGGCCTTACTATCATATGCATATAAGTAACACCCTTGGGTTGAACGGGCATGGGTAAGTAGGTCATTGCAATTTAAAGACAATTACGATTTGGAATTTTAATTTCTAAAAAGGGATTGAAGGTGGAGGTCTGAAAGGATGGCAAACATTTGAAGGATCGTCTTTTTCCACAACATGGGATTTCGGGAGACAACTATGGTGAAGACTGCATACTTTCTTAACTTTCTGTACTGCTGTCGACCACTTGTTTAAATAGATTTTTATTATTAAGAAAGCCGCGACAGCTGAAATATTGTGTAAATTCAGTTCACTAGTCTTTGAGTTACTCAGGGTTTATTCAAGCAGAGACTGGTTATAGGTCTATTGGTGGTCTGTTTCTGATGCCCCAGATAGGTGCATGATTTTGTGTGTCTGCAGGCACCGTGGTGAAGCAAGCGGACGTGGTGATGCTGGGGTTCCCACTCATGGCGAAGCTAACACAGCAGGTGCTCAAGAATGACCTCACTATCTACGAGAAGGTAACCAAACTTTAATGAATGCGTGGAGATTAACACCGCTTTGAACAGTATTCCAGTTAAATCAAGGCGAGTTAGCTGGAGTGGAGTGAGTGAGTGAGTTTGACGCCGCACTCAGCAATATTCCAGCTTTATGGCATCCTCGATAATCTCCAGGGTATACGTTACGATAACGCTCCACTATAACCTGGACGCATCTACGGCTTGGTTGGTTGGTTGGTTTTATAGTTTTAGGGCGACGTGGGCCAATAAGAGGCCTATTTGCGCCCAACACATTGACTTGATTTAATAAACAATCATACGTAATTTCATTGCCAAAAGGAATCGTTTAGCTAAGATAAAAGAAACGACAACACTATTAATTTGGATAGATGTATACATATATGGAATAACCTCTGCTTCGTGTTACGGATTAAAAACCTAAGTAATCACTTCCATTTCTGAAACATGAAATACTCATTCAATAAAAAAGAAGTAGGTTCAGATGACAGAGTGTTAAAATGATTTAAAACCACAGAACTAAGTCTGTCTAAGCCATTCGAGAGCCTGTCTAGATTACATCATATTTTCCAGATGACGAGACAAAATCTAAAACTGCCCGTTGCACAGACCCATACATGATATTGGGGCCCAAAACTGTTTCTAATGAGAATACATCATCAACGCATCTACGGCTTGGCCCGATGATTTTATTACCTCCCTTGGCTGGCTCCGCATACTCACAGTAGCCAATCAGCTAAGCCGCCGTTACAACCGAACTTGCCAGTGTCAACAAAGATAGCGGTCGCAGTCGCGAAGGTTTGTTCGCAGTGCGACTCAGATGTTTGGGAAATCATACAGACAAATTTACAGGTCTGAAACTGTAAAAAAATATATGCAAGAACTCCTCCAACCTCTTTCAGAGTACCTCTGCATCAATTGTGTTGCCACGTTTAATCGGCTAGATAATTTAAGAAGCGAAAGTGAGTTGTGATTGGTCCGCTCAACTTCCCAGCGTAGACACCTGATTGGATAAGAGGCCAACCAAGGGAGGTAATAAAATTATCCGGCGGAACTGTAGATGCGTCCAGGGTATAGTGGAGAGTTATCGTAACGTATAGCCTGGAGATTATCGAGGATGGCTTTATGGCGGCGGTCTGTAAATAATCGAGTCTGGACCAGACAATCCAGTTATCAACAGCATGAGCATCGATCTACGCAATTGGGAACAGATGACATGTGTCAACCAAGTCAGCGAGCCTGAGCACCCGATCTCATTAGTCGCCTCTTACAACAAGCATGGCTTACTGAAGATCAATATTCCAACCCGAATGGAAAGTCATAAGTTGTGCAAGTCTGACAGGATTACCCCCTCAGTGAAACCTCTCACTAAAGGGCTAAATGTGTCAGACAGAAGACGGGACACCAGAAGTGATGGAGAGAATTATCATAGTGTATGCCCAAAAGATTATGAAGGAACTTCAGCGATCAAGAGAATTAGTTGAAACTAATTTCCTTATTGTATGTCATTCAGTGAATATACACTGAACATCATTGAAAACGCACCTATCTAAAATTGTCCATATTTTCATCAAGATGGATTTCAGCATGACAATGATCAATGAATATAACTAAAATGAAGTCGAAGGGCATGTCCAGTTGAAAAAATTCTTTAGAAACAAATTCCTGTCCACAGTGTGATTCTTAATTCCAAAATGCATCAACATGCAGCCACGCCATGAAAAATGCGCGAGTTTCATTCTGAAATCATACTGACTGTGACATTAAAAGCAGATGTATGAGAACCGATTCTCATTTCTTCACTAACTATTGTGAAACGAGGACAGATCGAGATGCCGAGGTTAACACCTCACGAAAGAGAACGTGCACTAGGCATGATTCAGGTTGGCACCAGCAGCAGGGATATTGCTCGACAACTTGGACTTGGCCACTCCACCATCGTTAGGCTTCATAGACGACATCAGTAGACAGGCAGCACCCGAGACCTTCAATGACCTTGGCAACAACGTGTTACGACGCTCCATCGGGATCGCCATATTGACCTTGTCCATATCAGTGATTGAACACTGCCGACTGCCAGGACTGCTGCATTAGTTCAAGGTTGACGTGGGGGTCATCAGCGCTGACTCCATGCGACGCCGTCTACACGCTACAGGGCTCCATGCTCGACGTCCTTACGTTGGACCAATTCTGACAGACAGACACTGTAATGAACGTATACAATGGGCTAGCAGGCATTTTCAGTAAAGGTTACAACAATGGCATGGTGTGGTAGTCACTGACGAGTCACGTCTTCATCTACGTAATGATGACGGTCGATTACGTGTTAGTCGTAGACGTGGTGAACGTTATGCTGATGGATGTGTGGTTCAGACAGACCTTTGGGTGGTGGGAGTGTCATGGTGTGGGGTGGTCACAGGACTGCCTTCATGTCTGTCAAGGGAGAGTTAATGCCCTTTATTACAGTGAGCAGATTCTTCAGAATCACATCGTATCTGTCTTCAATCACCACCAAGATGTCCATACGTTTCAACAGGACAACGCGCGGGCACACACAAGAAGACTTTCCATGCAGTATCTGGCCAAGCAACACATCCAGGTTATTCATTGGCCAGCACAGTCAGCACTTGTGGGACGAATTTGGTCAAAGTCTTTCGCGGCGACAACAGATGCGAAACATCTGGGAACTTGAGGCTGCACTACTGCAGAAGTGGAATGCCATCCTCAAGAACTCTATTCGGACGCTTATTGACTCAATGAGGAGACTTTGAACTGCATGTTTCAATGCAATCGGCGGTCACACGCGATATTGACTTTTCGATTTGACCCCACGTGTGTTTGATCCTTTCTGACTGTGGAACATTTCAATGAATGAGCGTCTTTTCTGTGTTGGTGTTTTTGTCAGTCGCCCATCTGTTATTATCCACTCAAAAAATATCAATTCCTTACACGTGCTTTTAATAATCTGAACTTTTATAACTGGTGCGTTTTCAATGATGTTCAGTATATAAATCACTTATTCAAACATGACTTTTATTTAATAATGTAAAGCTAATTAGCTATTTGGATGTGACATAACAACGCGTGTCTGTGCGTGTTCACTAGGCGACCCCTGGCGGACCGGCAATGACGTGGGGCATCTTCACTATCAACTGGTTGGAGCTAGGTGACAAGGTCAAGGCCGACTCACTGTTCCAGCGCACCATCCTAAATGTCCAAAAACCTTTTTATGTAAGTAGAAAGAAAGCTGGGGCAATCTAGACTAGCCCAATCACTGACTGACATCTCTTTAATTCATTTTGTTGGGTCAGGTATCATCTGTCTCACAGTCCTTAAACCAGATTATTTTCCCCCTCTGCTGAGCGCGGAAAGTCGAGATTTCCTCAGGTTCTAAATCTCCCAACTTGTTGGGGCTTCTTTTCAATTAAAATGGAACTATCTGTTTCTTTCAAAATTATAAGCATGAGCCCGGGTCTGGGAGAAAGACTAATGATTGGTTTACCCGGTGAGTGGTTGTAAGTTATGGCTGAAACAGCAATCTTAACGCTATTTGAGGCTTGACAGCTCAGTGCAGTAGATAAGCAATTTAGATGACATTAGTTAGTATGTATACGTTTACAGCTCTGGTGAGAGAAGGTTCCAGAAAATTCAACACAACGTAAGAGTCATCAAGGAAATTTGGGGATTCAAACCTATAATCGTGTATTGGGTTGCAACGTATTTTCTACTAGGAAAAATATAACTATTCACCGTCTATTCTCCTCAGATCTGGACAGAGAACGCCGATGGCAGTGGCGCCGTCAACTTCCACACCGGTATGGGAGGATATCTCCAGGCGATGATCTTTGGCTATGGGGGATTCCGGATTGAGGATACACAACTAGTGTTCAGCCCCAACCTCCCTCCGTCAACCTCACGCCTCTCCATCACCGGAATCGACTACGGCGGCAACTCCGTGGATCTGACGGTGGACGCAGCCAATATGACAATCACAGCAACATCACTCGCCAAACCCATGACTGTCACCGTGTTTAGTCTGGGCGTTACTGACACTCTACTTCTTAACCAACCTCGGACATATACCAGGCAAAGGGCGGCTTTACGTATAACATCAAAATAGTCCTTGTGGAAATAATGTTAATTATTCCAAGAAATTTTACATTTTGTAATAAATTGTTAAGAACATTTGTTGTTGTGTTTTTTATATCTTTTTGACTTGAGTGAGTGAGTTTAGTTTTACGCCGCATTCAGCAATATTCCAGCTATTTGGCGGCGGTCTGTAAATAATCGAGTTTGGACCAGAAAATCCAGTGATCAACAGCATTAGCATCGATCTGAGCAATTGGGAACCGATGACATGTGTCAACCGAGCCAGCGAGCCTGACCACCCGATCCCGTTAGTCGCCTCTTACGACAAGCATGGGTTACTGAAGGCCAATTCTAACACGGACCTTCACGTGTCTTTTGACTTGGAACAACTACAGCATCAACAGTGAGTGTATGGCTATTGACGTCAACGGTATTTCATGGAGTCAGTATATAAAGTGAATATTTGTCATCGGAACCGTATTTGTAACACCTATTTAAAGGGGTACTCAGTACCCCGAGTACGTGTTCTGTTGTCCAACATCAGTTTTTGCGGAACCCTGGGTGGCTGGATGGGTTACATCCCTGACTTTGTGTTTTGGCGATTAATCCCTTACTCTGAGGGTGGTTTCAATTCCCTGGTAGGACTCAACCTAAGACGTGCTCAACTAAAAATGTGTAATTCCAAAAGTAACATGTAATAGGTTTCTCATAGCAACCAACCCATCCCAATTTAGCCATTCTTACTAGGGACAGTTCTAGAATTGTGAAAGCCAACCACATGTCCTGTTAGACATCGGTCCACACCTTTGGCGTGAGTGAGTGAGTTTGGTTTTACGCCGCTTTTAGCAATATTCGAGCAATATCACGGCGGGGGACACCAGAAATGGGCTTCACACATTGTACCCATGTGGGGAATCGAATCCGGGTCTTCGGCGTGACGACTGATCACATTAACCACCATGCTACCCCGCCACCCCATGAGCTGAATCACGCGTTGGACGTTACAAAGATGGACATTCTGAAAGCTTCCTTCCGGGAAACACCATTAGATCATGAGGCACTAGATTTCACCATGCCCATGAATATAAATATGGTCCCATAAAACTTTAACCCCTGTGCATCGTTTACAACATGTGGGGAATCGAATCCGGGTCTTCGGCGTGACGACTGATCACATTAACCACTATGCTACCCCGCCACCCCATGAGCTGAATCACGCGTTGGACGTTACAAAGATGGACATTCTGAAAGCTTCCTTCCGGGAAACACCATTAGATCATGAGGCACCAGATCTCACCATGCCCATGAATATAAATATGGTCCCATAAAACTTTAACCCCTGTGCATCGTTTACAAGGTGAAAAATTCCCAAAGATTGGCTCCTCGTTATCCATGGCTGACTGACTGAGTTTGGTTTTACGCCGCTTTTAGCAATATTCGAGCAATATCACGGCGGGGGACACCAGAAATGAGCTTCACACATTGTACCCATGTGGGGATTCGAACCGGGTCTTCGGCGTGACGACTGATCACATTAACCACTATGCTACCCCGCCACCCCATGAGCTGAATCACGCGTTGGACGTTACAAAGATGGACATTCTGAAAGCTTCCTTCCGGGAAACACCATTAGATCATGAGGCACTAGATCTCACCATGCCCATGAATATAAATATGGTCCCATAAAACTTTAACCCCTGTGCATCGTTTACAAGGTGAAAAATTCCCAGAGATTGGCTCCTCGTTATCCATGGCTGCCTGACTGAGTTTGGTTTTACCCCGCTTTTAGCAATAGTCCAGCAATATCACGGTGGGGACACCAGAAATGGGCTTCACTCATTGTACCCATGTGGGGATTCGAACCGGGGTCTTCGGCGTGATGAGCCAACGCTTTAACCACTAGTCTACCCCACCGCCCCTCGTTATCCATGGAGTTACGTGGAGTAATATTCACCTGTGCCTTCTGTGACCTAGTAATGCTAGTACCCATACAACTAATTACACGTAGTTGGCAGGATTTGTGAACTACAAACTTTCAACACTCTTCGTTTATGTCCACATTTGATGTTCCTTTCTGAATTATGCAACACGTAAAAATGTTAAGTGTTAAGACATGCAAGTGTTCTATGATGTCACAACATTTGTTTTTTGTTTGTTGTTTGCATTTTTCCATTTGTAAATATGTGAGTCTGGACATCATGAGCATCAGGGGCAGCATTTTTTTTTTCTGTGTTTCTCATCACCCGACCGACCCTTCTAATTTTATTTATTTGGTGGCTACGTGAAAATATAAAAAATAATGATGCCCCAATCGACGCAATTGGGATACGATGACATGTCAACCAAGCCTGACCTCCTGATCCCTTGTGTCGCCTCCTATAACAAACGTAGGTTGCTGAAGAGCAATTCTAACCCAGATCTTCCAGATGTGATGACGTTACAACAGATAGCTGAAGTGTTTGTCAGCTTTTGACACTGAATTACATGCAGATCCTATTTTCTACACACCATGGTACAAATTACTCAACCTGGTCTGTTGCTGCCAGTTAATCCATCATTAATTCTAAGGAGAAAAGTATTAGAGTGAAATATCAATGTTTCTGCGGGTTTGTCAGTAAATTTCAAAGGGAAACCTAATTTGTTAATGAATTTCTGTGTAAATTTAAGTAAAAACAAATGAATAATATCAAAACTTTTAACATCTGTTTAACGCAATATACTTGACCACAAAAATGTTGCGATATATCTAAAAATGCAACAGTGAGTGAGTTTAATTTTACGCTGCTTTTAGCAATATTCTAGCAATATCACAGAGGGGTCACCTGAAATGGGCTTCACACAGTATACCAAGGTGGGGAATCAAATCTGGGTCTTCGGCATAATGACTGAACACTTTAACCAGTAGGCTACCCCCGCCCATGAACAACATCATTGTTGTCTGTTAGGCATGATATAAATCAAAGAATCAAAATATTGAACAAGCTAAAGTTTCTATACACTTGACTCATTTCCAGAACAAAAAAAGTCTATTCATGAACATATTGTGGCACAATCCAGATAACATATACACTATAAACATATATGTCAACAGCTGGGAACAGTATGTGCTGACCATGACAATGACAATACTTTATTACCCGGGAGGGAATTCTTGTGTAAAGTAAAGAGCTCAAACATTGATAAAACGATGAAATTATTTTCATACAATAAATAACACACACATAACATGCTAACAAGGAATCATTTAAGAGATTAATACTGGCAGGAACAAAGGATTTCATGGCACGATTGGATCTAAAACGGGGTAAATTATAACGGCGCCCAGAAGGCAGTAATTAATACTCATAGTAGATGGGATGATCTGGATCAGATATAATCTTACGGGCTGACTTGAGAACTCTTTCTTCATATATTTCATTTAGGTTAGCAAAATATACACCTGCAATTTTACTGGCTAATAAAACTATTCTGGTGAGACAGTTTCTGTTTTTAAGGGAGAAGGTTCCATACCAGCATTGTACAGAAAACGCCAGAACGTGCTGTATAAAACACTGATAGAAAAGACACATAATTAATTGATTAACATTGAAAGATCTCAATTTGCGCGAGAAGTGTAACCTTTGTTGACACTTATTGAATATAGCATCTGTGTTTACATCATAATTCAGTTTGTTATCAATATATGTACCAAGATACTTGTATTCATTAACAGTTTCCAAAGGTTCATTGTTAATTATAACTGGCAACTTGGTGTTCTTGTTATTTCTGAAGTCAGTAATAAGTTCGTTAGTAGTCTTCACATTCACTTGAAGATAATTATGTTCACACCATGATACATCTGCCGAATCAGATTCCACTTCTTCAACAACAGTCAAAGAACAGTGGTAGTCAATGACCACAAAACACAGTGAAATACAATCACACAGGTTTATTTCTTCATTCGCTATCTGACAAATCTGTACCCCCTCCTCCCCCATCCTCTCCCTCGTCGCTGCTGTTGTCTTTGTCCCAGTCCTTCATCTTGGCACCCATCATAAAGTCGTCTCTTAAAATCTTCCACTTTGTGGGCTCCTCTTCCTGTTTCAATGTCTGAAACATGACAGAAATGTGATCCAATCTCAGACACAGAGAGGTAGATATATTAGCCAAATGATCCCCTAATACAATTTACCCCTCAAACTAAAGGCCAGTTAAAGCCTGACCAATTACGAGATTGATCAAATGGATTCAAGCACCACTACTTGCAAAGTTGTCCTGTATACAAACACTTAAATACCTCTCAGAGTTTATAAATATCACTTTGATTGGCAAACATGGTACAACATCCTTCTTTAACTATGATATAGGCCCATGAGACACTGCATAAAGTGACAATGGTATAATATACTATTCAGCATTGCTAAAGATCAAACATTGATTCAACAGAAACTATGATGTGGGGTCTAATTTGGTTTAAATATCTAAGCTTATTGTAAGCATGGATACTAGGTTTCAGTATATCACCATGGCACTGCATCTAGTGGATCCCATACCTGCTATTCAGAGGTGTTGTGTACTTGTCAATCACTCGTTCCATGATTTGAAAGATGGTTGATTGGTGCCATGAAAACCATTTTTATGGTTACTCATGTATCACTGACTGACTGAGTTTGGTTTTACACCGCTTTTTTTAGCAATATTCAAGCAATATCACAGCGGGGGACACCAGAAAATACTCATGTATCAAGTTAAGGTTAGATTAAAGTGGCTGTTTGCCTAAAGAGGGGTTACCATATCATAATTATTTATACAGTTTTCAATGGATACAATTTCAAATTATAAATCTATGTTTAAGTAAAGTTTGGAATTTTTGTGATCCTTAGCAAAGTGTGAGTAGTATAACTAGTGCAAAAGTGCCTGATTGTTGGCTATACATAGTGGACTCAGGCAGTTTATCATTCCAAAATTCTGTAGACCAGTTCCAATTGGTATTTGTGTTGTGTTACCTATATATAATTGTGGGTAAAGCATCTTTTCCAGATTTATGATAATGATGATCATGAATCTACACTTAGCAGACAGAGTTTTGTAAAATTTCTGAATACCATTGCAAAGGTGGAACAATGCATATATTTTGGACCAGTTTCATATATCAAATAAAAAAGTTTGAGAACATATAAATTATAGTCCAAATCCATGTGCTAGGTTCATCGTTAATGTAACAAGGACATAAAACAGTGTATAAAGCTATGACACAAACACCCCCCAAGTATCTGCTGATGACAACAATAGAATATGAAAGCTACAAACCGGTTCTTTCTTTGTAACTTTTTTAGAGTCTTTTAACAATGAAGGTTTGGAACCCTTCAACAAATCAAGGAATTTTCCTTTGGTCATGGACTCCATCACTTTTTCACTTTTCTTGATGGACGAACCAGCTTCTGTGAGTTTCTCCTCCAAAACTTTCTGTTGTTGACGGACAGCATTGAATAGCTGGACGACGCCCTGTAGGGAGATAAGTTGAGGTGTGATGAAATGGGGACTAACTTTTTGTTCATTTTTCTCTTTCTTTGTTGTTGAATGCCGCACTGAGCAATATTCCAGCTATATGACGGGGGTCTGTAAATAATCATGTCTGACGAGACAATCCAGTGATCAACATCATGTGCATTGATCTTCGCAGTTTGGATCGATGACATGTGTCGACCAAATCAGCAAGCCTGACCAACCAATCCCATTAGTCACCTCTTACAGTTACAACAAGGATGGGTTGCTGAAGACCAATTCTAACTTGGATTTTCATGGGTAAACTTTTTGTTCAAGATCATCACACTTATCACGATTATATACAGATGTGCATGCTTATGAAGCTGCTAGCACTTGTTCAGACTTATGACAGTTTTACATGAGATACCATGTCACAGTTTAACCCTGATATCCCACTCGGACACAATATACTGTCTCTGGGCAAAACAGTCCTTTTATCCCTGTAAGACTGAACGTCAAGCAGGGTATCAACAGATTCCTCTATTATCATCTTTTGAATGACATGGTTCTGGATTGAACCATTGACCTTCTACTCTCTGGACAGATTATCAATCTGCTAGACCACAGAAGTGGTTGCAGGTAGACAAACAGTCTGAGAGCAGAGGTACAAATAGATGGACCACACATGTAGGTAGAATAACACTGAGAATAAGGTGTAATCATATTAAAGGCAGTTATTAGTGCATAACACAACATGAGATTAAGCTGATACAGTACTGTCGTACAGGCATGATACAACAGTATCTGCGTAACTGTCACTCACCGTGTTGCTATTCGCTGCAAACGGCGTTCTATATTGCGTTCCATTGGATCTGGTTTCACCCGACACAAGTTATTCCACTCTTTCCTCTGCAAATGAAGTTTACTCTTAAGTTTGAGATTATATGCTATGAGAACCACTATGGGACATTTTATTACAGGTGACATTGCTTAGATCGTATGGGCTGAAGCAAGAGACAAATAATGATTTTGATGAAATCAGTGGTATAGCCAAAGTAAGGAAATCAATGTCTTTGGAATGACAAGCAAATAACCGTGGCAAATGGACTAGAAATCAACAAATTTCATTATTACAACGTATGCATAAAAAGAACCTTTTCAAATTTTTCTCTTTTATTCTCAACATCAGAATCACTGTCATCTTCGATAACTTTCCCTTCTTCTTTATCTCTCTTCCTCTTCCGAACACGGATTTCTTTATCAGTTTGACCTTTAGCCAAAATAACTGCACCCTTCTGAACAGACTTGGTTAAAATGGCTGCCATGACGTCTGCCAGGCCAGATGGAGGTGGAGCGCCATCTCCTGTTGTGTTGTCATTCTTGGTGTTATCTTCGTCGTCTGAAAATGCCACACATCAGACTGTTACATTTCTAAGTCAAATGTTATGTGGTGGTCATAAAATGAAACATAAATTAATATTCAACACAACAGACTTATCATCACAATATAATCATTTCAAATTACAAGCCTCAGCTTGTTAACCCCAGACTGGGGTGTCAGGCAAGAGGTAGCTGCATCTAGAAGGATCTTCTAGTTTGTTCATGAGGGCCCATTTTTTAAGGTACACTTTTGATACTGTTAATGTTAGTATACCTGAATCAGTGAATGTCAGAATAAAACCAAAGGCTAGATCTTTATCATGTTATGTCACACAAATACAAAGAATATATAAAATCTGAATGAACTAGATATGTAACAGAACTATTGTTTTTTTCTGTTGGAACCTAATTACAGCTGTTTCTTATGAAAACATCTCAACAATATGTGAACTTAGCATCAAGCCTGTATCAGTGTGCATGTATCTCTTCAGTGACTTCAGAAAATTGCATTTTTTATTTTTATTTGATTTCTTATCATCTGCGGCTTAGTAATAAAGTCTCAGTAAAAAAGTAGAACTGAGCTTGTTGTGACTTCATTATGAAATTTCATAACTAAAAACTGGTTCGTTTTACATGGCCCATTCCATGTTGTCACACCATTATAAACATGATCATCTGAGTGAGATTTACATCTGCTACCTCACTGGTCCTATTGCAATATATGCAGACAAGATGATCAGGCTTGGTGAGGTGAAATTGGGTTTAACGTCGCGCTTGAGAATATTTCGCTCATATGACGACGTGCATGCGTGTGTATGTGTATGTGCGGCTGTTTGTATTAGCCCAGACTGAAGCTGGTTTTATAGTGCTAGCCCACTGAGATACCATGCCGCAGTGATGCATGAATACCCCACTAAGACACATTATATTGACTCCGAGCCGACCAGTCCTTGTACCCATTAATGCCAAGGGCCAGGCAGGGACCAACAAGTACCATATTTTAACGTCTTTTGGTATGACGCGGTCGGGGATCGAACCCACGACTTTCCGCTCTCTGGGCGGATGCTCTAACCACTACACCACGGAGGCGGTCTCAGGCTTGGAGTAAAAAAACTGATTTCCCGAGCAACAGTCGGTAAGTATGGTGAGTCTTTTACGTTGATTATCATGTTTTAGACCTTGTAACGCGAAAACTAGCATCAAGGTATATATTGTCATGGCCGGGGTTTTGGCACTATATAAAACCATCCATTGGTACAGTGCTGAGACTCCAACAGTGACAACATCTGTATCCTGATTGCGTTACACTAACATACGCTGAAGTGGTCGTTGTCGGCACAGGTACTACAGATATGTACCCCAGGTACGTTTCTGTATACAGATATGTACCCTTAACAAAGTCAAACTACAGAAACGTACACGGTACCCCTAAAGGACGGACGAGTCCATATTCCGCAACCAATACCGAAACCGTATGTAGTTAGTCCCTCTGTTTGCGATCAAAACGGTAGGACGAGAGGAACTCGATGAGGAGTTCTAGCTAATGTCGATTAATAGAACTGTCCAAAACGACTCAATCCTGATCACACTAGACATCTGAGATTATGATGGCTAGTACAATTACCCACCTGTCGTTATTTCTTCTTTAACAGAGATAGAGTCAGAGTCTGATTCTGATAAACTTTCTTGAACACTCACGTGGGCCATGTTTATCCCGGAAGTACTATAAAAATATGTAAAGCAAAAATAACGGAATATGATAACATATTATATTCTTTGACGGGTTAATCAAAATAGGTAATGTGCAGAAACCTAACCATGAACTGCCCATAATCTCATGAAAAATATTTTTTTGTATAAGATAACAACATTTTTCTTATAAACGACAATCATTTGTTTCCGTATTAAATCACATTCCACTTTACACTATACATTCAGTGAACATGGGTTTCATCGTTTTCTGTGTTGTCAGTTCATATACGTTCTGAGATAAACATGTAGTAAAGTGTTTGTTGTATTGGATCAGTAAAAGTAACTCTAGTTGTATCGGTAAGCATGTTATTCATCTATTTTATTATTTCTCTGAAGTGGCAGCAGACAGGCATACTTTTTAAGCCAAGACTACGTCCTGATATAGCGTACAGGTTCAATGAGGTTGCTGTGTCTTGGTTTCAACTTTCATTACCTGATCACTCTGCTCGCAATTATTCTAGTTCTACGTACTTGTGTGTGGTTTCATATGATTTTCACCTCTTCACAAAATTATAACCATTTGAATACATTTGTGTTTTATGATTAAACATTGCTATAAGCTGCATGAATTATGGTGAAATTACAGAAGTCTCTGCCTAGGTAGTGCTTATTCTAGGGTCAAGAGTGATGTTGTTATCATGCTCACTGAACATATTGAAGTATTATGTTTGACTTGATCAGTTTAAATAGTCAAAGTGAGCATTGCACATTTTAATATATTTCAGATAAGTAAGCTATGGGTAAAGACCGCATTCCACCTGACACCAGCTCCCCATCAACAAGTCACCACCACACAGAAGGTAAAAGGAGACAAGCAGCTGCTAATGCTGATCACCAAGGGTTTAAAAAATGGAAGAAGAAAAGAAAACAATATGTCGCCAACAGTTCTGCATCCCATGGAAGACACTGTGACCAGTCCAACAAAAGGAGTCAGTCTACCATGTCATCTCAAAGGTATCACAAGAAGAAAAGTAAGTCTCGCCAGGAGACAAAGAGTGTTGAAGACACCTCCAGTGATGCATATTCTTCAAAGAGCCAGGCTTCACAAGCTCCTCATATCCTTTACATACCACTGTTAAAAGCATACAGTGAAAGTGTAAAATTGCTGTTGTGATGTAAAGCAGTATTTTTTCATTATACGTTTTCAATGCATGCCATGATTATTCCAGGAAAGGAAAGGTCCCAAGTAGTATGGGGACTCCCTGGTACTCAATGGTAGTCATACTCAGGAAGAGCTGACAACATGAGGATAAGGCAGTAACAATATGTGGCTAGTCTAGTTATTTCGTATACATGTTATAGTGCACTAACAGCTTTGTCTGTCTCATGTACTGTCAATCACCCATTTGCCCAAACTGTTGTTTACAGGTCATCTTGGTATAGTGAGGTAGCAATATTCCAGCACTGTCACTTTCGGAGAACACCAGAAATGGGCTTCACACATTGTACTGATGTAGGGAATCAAACCTGGGTCTTTGAATTCAGCGTGACAAGCAGACACTATAACCATTATGCTACCCCACAGCCTCCGTCGTGATGAAACTGGAATATAGCTGACTAGAAAGTAAAAAAACCCATTTGTTCAAACTTCATGTTTATTTACTGCTCCTGTATAAGATTTTCAAAATAGAATAGAGCTGATTTAAATTGATGATCACAATAAAGTTACCATGTTGATTATAGTAGAATACTGAAAACAACTGGCTTGTCTTATTCAGTTTTGATAAGTTGTGATATTGTTGGAATATTGCTAAAAGCAATGTAGAACACAACTCACTCACTCCTGCTCAGGATCTACCTGGCTAATTGTTCCAGCTTTATTACAATGGCAGATTGTCCTTAACACTGAGCACAGATACCAGGCTTCTACTACGACCCTGATCAGAAGAAGTACTTCAAGATCCTTTCCAGTAATAACAATGTGAATGTTGTCACAAAGGAAAAGATTGCAAGGGATCAAGCAGAAAAACAGAGACTTAAAGATTTGTCTGAACTTGTGTCTTCAAATCGACTTAACTCTAATCCTAACTTGCCAAAACTGACAAGCAATGTAGTTCACATACTCTGTAGAAATGAAAGAGGTGGTATTGGTCGGACACAGCTTGAGAATCAGATGGTGGTGTCAGACATCAGGTCTCTGAAGCCAGCTGGGTCTTGGGTTGTGTTTGATGATCCTCATGGAGTTCATGAAGCCCTGGAGCACATGATCATGATGGACACTAGCAAGGAGAAGGACAAGATCCTTGGACTGTGGTCGGTGAAGGAGACGGTGATGCAGAGGCTGCAACTGTTGCATCTTGAGGAGAAGCAGAGGACGGAAACCAGTGCTACACTCTCGGTTGATGTCGGTGCTACAGGGACTACTGTTCTTCAGTCTTGGAATAAAATCTCTAACGTATGTTGGGCTCCATTTATCAAGTCTCCCGATCGAAACCATGTGTTGTACACCACAATATGCCATACTGGCAACTCATGTAGTTTAGCTTTTATCAGGAACCTGGACAGGACTCGGCGCCAGGAGGAGTACTTTGATTTTGATCTTGGGCCCAGGGCGACCTGGACGTGCGCGTGGAACTATCCCCGGCAACAGTTTAGTGTGGGCAGTGAGAAGTGCTCACTGTTGGTGGACTTGGAGACGAGGAGGATGTGGGAGTTTCCTTGTTCAAGTGATCCCTTTGCCCAGATATTCTCACCCAATGTGAGTAACGCAAATGATCATGTTGAGGAGGGATTTGTGTTGAATTTGTGAATAAATATTGTGATAGAAGAAGAATATACCCAGTGTCCCTACCATCAGCAATTATTAACGAACATTGTCATAGTTTACTTTGAAATCAAATTTCACGTATGTTTTGTGTCTTAACATCTTAAGCATTGTATACAAATATAGAAGCTCACCCAAATGTCTTTTGATATATGTTGATAAAAAGTCAAAATGGTAAGCGTGGTAACATTCTAGATATCATCCAACATGTCCAAAATAATTCCTCCAACTTTCTCAATTTGTAATTGGTGATGTGCAGTGTCATTAGTGTGAAAAGTACATCTAACCAGCTTCAGTAACAGTGATGATTAATGTCATTTGATTGTGGCATCATGTTAACTGATGTTAGTAATGTCTTCTGTTTGTGACATCATGGTAACTGAAGATAGTATTAATGTCATTTGATTGTGACATTTAACTCATGATATTATTAATGTTCTTTGATTGTGACATCATAGCAACTGACGATGTTATTAATGGCATTTGATTGTGACATCATAATATCTGATGATAATGTTATTGAAGGAAAACCGAGTTCTATGGATAGTCAACTTCTTTCATTGCAATGAGTGCGACGTTTCGTTGCAATAAAGAAGTTGACTATCCATAGAACTTGGTTTTCCTTCATCTATGCAACTTCTAAAATGCCTCTCAAAGAAGATAACATTATTGTCGCCAAAGCATTGTGATGCTATTCCACCATAGCAGCATCGCTTGAGAGATATCGCTTGATCCCAAGCAAGTGATATTTCCTGTGGAAGCCAGTGTTTTGTGATAACTGTATCACCTTCTACTATGTTACAGTCAGGACAAATCCTGTACAGTGGTGGGAGAAATGGGGCCATCTTGTGCCATGATCTTCGCAACCTCCCAACTCAACCAAACTCCTACCTCGGACACAAAACAAGCATTTCCTCTCTCAGGATTAGCAGTTCAGAGAATGAATTGTTCTCAAGTGACATTTCAGGAAGGGTTAGTATTCTGTTTGCAAAATACTGATGAATTGTGCTTTTAGAAAATTTCCTCTTTTTCTCATGGGTATTATTGATGGTTGTTAAACAGAAGAGCTGTTCTTCAATGTAGGTGAAGATGTGGGATGTACGCATGCAGCAGGCTGTGATTGAGTATTCCGGACTCTTCAACCGATACAGTCGGATACCACTACACCTGGATGAGACAGAGCAGGTGTTGTATGGAGGTGAGTTGATGAGGGAGCAGGTGTTGTATGGAGGTGAGTTGATGAGAGAGCAGGTGTTGTATGGAGGTGAGTTGAGATAGCAGGTATTGTATAGAGGCGAGTTGATGAGATAGCAGGTGTTGTATGGAGGTGAGTTGATGAGATAGCAGGTGTTGTATGGAGGTGAGTTGATGAGAGAGCAGGTGTTGTATGGAGGTGAGTTGATGAGGGAGCAGGTGTTGTATGGAGGTGAGTTGATGAGATAGCAGGTGTTGTATGGAGGTGAGTTGATGAGATAGCAGGTGTTGTATGGAGGTGAGTTGATGAGATAGCAGGTGTTGTATGGAGGTGAGTTGATGAGATAGCAGGTGTTGTATGGAGGTGAGTTGATGAGAGAGCAGGTGTTGTATATGGTGAGTTGATAAGAGAGCAGGTATTGTAATAGAGGTGAGTTGATGAGAGAGCAGGTATTGTATGGAGGTGAGTTAATGAGAGACCAAGTGTTGTAGGGACCTGAGTTTATATGAGAGCAGGTGTTGTGTAGAGGTGAGTTGATCTCTTGTTGATAAGAGATCATGTTGGAGGTGAGTTTATTGGGTATCAGGTATTGTATGGAGTCGGTTATCATTTTGACAAAGACGTAAATGAAGTGATTTGTTTCAGCTGGACAGGATTGCTACACCAGATTCTGGTCTGTGAAGACTGGCCAGTTGCTGAAGACTGTGCCTCCTCCATGCCCAGTGACAAGGGAGACAATCCCAGCTGTGCAGTACTCAACACGATGGGCAGACAAAAAAGGGAACTCAGGGCTCATCATGGGTATTGGAGATAAACTGTATTACTACTGTAGGTCTATATGACAACACCTCATCATCTCTGCTTCTTGCAGACAAGGACTCATCACCAATAGGTGCTCTCACCTCTGCTAAAACATGCTGTTATTTAATACTACACATGGTAGAGGCAGATTATTGGATAGCTTTAATTTGTTTGCTGAGAAAGCAAAGTATTGTCATGTGATGACTGAGAGACAGAGGTGTATTGTTAGTGTTGGCAACTTGTAATATTTAAGTTAACTTGATATAACTGTACCAGCCCTCTGACACTAGTTCTGTGGAAGTATGGTGAGAGATGCAGTGTTGTGGTAAACATGGTAAGATTAGCAGAACTGTTACCATGGTTATACTACATTTATTATGAATGTTGTTAATATGTTGTGCATGTTAATGCAGAGATAACCATGGTATAGTACGTAACCTGTACGCAAAGACAGGTTACCCATTATGTGTAAAAGTGATTACCTGAGAGGGGGTCACACATTCGTGTGCCTCTCTGACCACAGGCAGGGGAATTTTACATAACTATCAAAAACGTGTCGAAAAGTGTTATTTTTGAAAACCATGTAACAAAATTTGGTATTATCATTGATAGTTATTGAACACATACTTGTCGAAGACTGGTGGTAGTGTGTGTGTTATGTGCCAGCATACAACATTGTACCATAACATATTTGAGCTAGTACTTGTTGTTGCCCTGGCTGGTGCTGGGCTTAGGGGATGAAACAAGGCGTGGTCAGTATTCCATGTCTCAGTGTGGTATTCATGTCGAAACTACTGCAGGGTTTTACAGTGGGCGAGCTCAACAAATCTACCCTAAATCAATATCAGTATAATCAGAGAGGTGGTTGTGCTATGTAAGTACAATAATGTGATGTGATGTTAAACCCAACTTGTCCATGTATTAACCAAGATTGGTACCGCCTCCGTGGGGCCGTGGTGGAGTGGATCATGGTGTAGTGGTTAGAAGAGCGTCGCTTTGTTGTTGGCCGAGAGCCGGAAGGTCAGAGATAGCTGGGTTTGATCCCCCACCGCGTCATACCAAAAGACGTTAAAATGTGGTACTTGTTGGTCCCTGTCTGGCGCTCGGTATTAATTGGTACAACAAGGACTGGTCGGCTCGGACTCAGTATGTGTCTGAGTGGGGTATTCATGCTTCACTGCGGCATGGTATCTCAGTGGGCTAGCACTATAAAACCAGCTTAAGTCTGGGCTAGTACAAGCAGCCGCACATACACATACACATGCATGCACATCGTCATATGAGCGAAATATTCTCAAGCACGACGTAAAACCCAATTTCACCTCACCTCACCAAGATTGGTGGATGCTTTGTGCAAAGTCTTGAACGATGGGTCATTGTGATGTCACACGCCGACAATGGTTGATCCTGTAGATGGGTTTCATTAAGCCGAGATGGGTCTGTGTGCTTTGTTCGATATATTTGCAGATAAGTGTTTGGGACCAAGTCTAACCAGCTCTTTCCACAGTGCTGTGTACTACCACTAAACCTGTGAGGATATTCGGATGGAATCCACCCCATTTGCCATGTTACTTGTTGGTGACTTACTTGTCTGATTGTGTGAATTATTGTATAGGTTCTTGCTCAATCTATTATGGACTTAACTGCATGGCCCAGACTTAACCATTTACAGGTTGACGTTTAATTCTGGAATATCTTTAGACTACTGAGTTAAACATTCACTCTGCCTCTTTCACCAGTTGGGTGTGAAGTATAGCTTGTTCAGCTTGACCTGAGCTGCTCTACATATGCATGACCCAGGAGGTCGATTGGCACAAACGGCAGGTCGAGTTAACTTCATTAAATAGGGGAGTAGATAATGTTATTAATGTTGCCCTTGTCTCGGCTGTTTGGACATATTGACAATCAACTGACATAAGGTGCACCCCTTCACAATAATAGACCCAAACAGTTTTGACACGGTCACGCAATGCATTAGTATTCACTTGATCAGGTCAAGCTGAACAAGCTGTAGCCTTGTGGTTAAAGTGTTTCTTGTCATACTGAACACCCAGGTTCAATTCCCCATATGGGTACAATTCATGAAGCCCATTTTCTGGTATTCTTAGCTGAATATTGTTAAAAGCTGTGTTAAATAAAACTCGGTAATTCATTCACTAACATATCAGTGCCATTTCACTGTCACAAATACAACAATGGATGAAGTACTGAAACTTATTTTATTGCAAAATATTGTACAAAGTTGACAGGTACTATTCTCTGTAAGTACAAACACGGACATAATTTTACTGATGTGATATGAAATAAATAATACAAAATCAAAAATAATTAGTTGTGATTGTTTTTGTATGACATGAAACTGAAGTTAAAACAAGAAACAGAGACATCTGCTCTCAGAATAATATTAAACAAGTAGTGACTGGTTATCACTGACATGGCACCAAAAGAGGATGCATATCAATTACCAGTATCTGAGATTCTTAAATGGCTTGGTATCTGCAAAGGTGTCAGGTTATGGTTAAAAGGGTTAGGGTATCCAGAAGTGTATGATTATCAGATAACTTGGTATATTTCACAAAAGTATCCTTTACAGGAATCACGCAGATGGAAGTCACCCCTTTCTGATGCTGTGTACTGTGATACTCCCCATCTCATTTGTAACAGATTCCTTCTGAAGGATGTGCAGAAGCTATCATCATAGTTTGTGTTGGAGAACAATGGTTTCCACAGATGTTGTGAATCACAGAGAATTATATGTTATATGTACAGAAAACCATTTCCAACAAATATGAACTGTGTTCATTCTATATTACTAGTAGTGACAGACAGAAAGTGGGAATTCCTAGATGCAATAATGCTGCAGTCTAAGATGGACAGAGAAAATGTACTGCCACATGACTTTGAGACACTGTACATGACTACTATTTACAAAAGAATACCAACCTCTTGTTTGACTTCACTGGCTACACAGTCGATACACCAGTTATCACATTAGTACCGGTATTGACAATACATGCGATACAAAATACTTTATTGCACATGCCCTTGTAAAAAATAAGTTATATCAAAGATGGATGGAACTGATGAGCGTGAGGACTGGTCATTCATTACAGTGGTGGAGGAAGGTGGATTGGTCTCAGGACTGCTTCATATTTACAGTTATGACCCTTTGAGACCCATTTCAGGTAACTATTTTTTTATAACGCCCTCCATTTCTCCATAATAAAATATGAGTCTTTGTGTAGAGTTCAACTTTACATTTATTTAATTTAAAAAAAATAAGAACTGGGTCTTTATACCCCTACACTCCATGAAAGTTGTCATCAATCCTCCCCAGACTCGCTCCTCACCCAAGACAGATCTCCAAACCAACTGTCTGACCATGCCTTCTTTGCCAGCCCTCAACTGTGGAACTCTCTTCCAACGGAAATCAGAAACACTTCTGTTCACTGCTGCCTTTCTGTAAAACCTATATGAACTATTCCTTCCCCAATGTTGTCGCATCGCCACTGAGCATCTCTACAGTGGATATTAGGTGCTTTATAAATATATTATTATTATTGTTATTATTATTAACACCTATTGCTGTCATTTGTATCATGACCTCAACCCACCAATCTCCCCTGTACCAAATGACCAGTTCCAAACAAGGGCATTCCGTCCATCACCCAATCTGTCATTTCCATCATCATCATCATCAGCTATCAGGTATCAGGTATCAGGTATCAGGTATCTACCCACAAGGAATCATTGATATTGTGTGACTGACGTACCTCTGCCTTCTTCACTAGATCAGCAATGACTATTCACAGATAGTACTGTCATCCATATTTTAGCCAGGAGCATAGTTTTTACAAAAAATAATACATGTACACAAATTGTCCCAAGCTGCAGCCCTTGCCTCAGAAGTCTTAATTATATCTATTCATATGAAAATAATACAGACATAAGTGGCACTATGGGCAGTGTCAAACAATCAGAATATGTAAGTAGAGATCAGTCAAATGAAAAATATGGTCCCTTGTGTTAACCTTAAATTTTGTTCGAACATATTTCGCCACACCTGTTCAAAATAGAAAATACCCTCTGCTTATAAGTCCATATTATTCCCAGTGTCATATTGTTACTACATATTGTTGACTAATCATGTATTATTTGAAAATGGCATATTTATCATGTTGATGTTTCAATTCATAAAATCTTGGATGCCTTGGCTAAGCCATTTACAATATGATGACAATGGGTAGATTATTGTACATGTGACTTATGCACCAATATTTCCCCACTTGGTTCCCCGACCACCGATGTGGTGGCGTTAATGGTTGATGCTGCTGTAGGTGTGGTTCATCATAGATGTGTGTCTGTAAACACTGTCTGTTCCCGGGTATAGCTGTACGCAGGTCCATTCAGACTTTCTGCATCCTCGTCATACTGCAATACAGAAAACACATATTTATTACTTGCCCTTTGAAGATACAACTGTATAAGTACAATCAGTTGGAACACAGGCAAACTGTAGTGCAAATAGGGTTGCGCAACAAAGAAAAATTACCAGTCTTTCAGTATGCGAGCGAAGCGTTCAAAGGTTGGCAACGTGCTTCTCTTGTTTTGGTTCGAAAAATATTTTTAATATGAAAATAAAATACCACCACCATCAAGTATTAAAAACTCTCAACATTGTTGGGCTTATTCAGTAACATTGTGTGTGGAGATGACAGATCACTGAGAAGATTGCTTAAGGACAATTGATGGCCCGGCATGGAGGTATGTAGAAATCTGGATCAGAAAATCCTGTGATGGAGATCTTGAGTATCGATCAATACCATTGATATAATAAAATCCATCAACTAACTCGGCACAGCTCACAAGCTGGATGCTGAAGACCCATTTCAACCTTGCTCTTCATGAATCTAGTACAGAAGTGATGCTGGTTACAACGATCTTTCACTCTGTATGCGCTGACCTGTGGATACCCTGTGAACTTGAACTCGAAACATTTAGCCTTTGTGGCTTCTTGGACAAGCAGAGCGCCTCCGTGGTGTAGTGGATAGAGTGTCTTCCTGGAGAGCAGAATGTTGCGGGTTCGATCCCCGGCCGCACCATACCAAAAGACGTTAAAATATGGTACTTGTTATTCCCTGCCTAGCGCTCGGCATTAATAGGTAAAACAGGACTGGTCGGCTCGGAGTCAGTATTATGTGTCTGAGTGGGGTATTCATGCTTAACTGTGGCATGGTATCTCAGTGAGCTAGCACTATAAAACCAGCTTAAGTCAGGGCTAGTACAAGCAGCCACACATACACATGCATGCACATTGTCATATGAGCGAAATATTCTTAAGTATGACGTAAACGCCATTTCACCTCACCTCAAACTAGATTTTCGAAGCTCTCTTAGAGCTAAGACAGTCGTAAGTGCCATACTTTAACATTAACTTACGACTATCTTAGCACTAAGAGAGCTTAAAAAATCTAGGGCCTGCCATTTAACTCATACATCAGACTCACCCATCCACTGTCAAAGTTCTTGTCCCAGTAAACATCCTCCTCCTCTTCTGTTTTGGAGGAGTGAGAGAGTTTGTCGAAGGAATACCGCTCGTTTGTAGGATGAAGGAATGCAGGGTTGATGACACCCATGTCTGGGCCCTGGTAAGATGCTACATTCTCGGTACGACTTGGGTTGCGGACTTGAAAGTCCTGAAAACAAACATATAACAACTTAGATATCTTGAAACATCTATACAGCAGACAATATGGTGACTGACATGGAGACCGACTGGATGAAAATATCAGTGTAATAATGTTGGAAATTATCCATAACTTGATCATGCAAATGGGTAGAGTTTCAGAAATACCACAAACTAAGGAATATTAACAATTTTGTTTTTGTTTCAGTAACAAGCAGTTTTAGAAATAATCACAACTAAAGAGTGTAAAATTGTTCTCCTAAAAATTCTTTTTGGAACTAATATAAACATACCGTACATATCATATTCCCTAGAAATATAAATGTATATTTTGGATAAAATTGTCCTTTCCTGGATACCAAGGTGCCAGCACATTGAGACACACTTAGAATAACACCACCAGCTCTATAATCGCTCCTTTATGGCTGAAATAATGCTGATGAAACGTTAAATTTTATATTTGAAAGATTAGTTCGGTAATCAATGGCCATTAGGTAGTTTCAGATCAATCCTGGAGTGAAGGCTAAATGAGTCCTTGCAAAAGAACTTACCGTTAACTTCATTTGTAGTGAATGCATAATGACATAACTTACCGATTCTAAGACGCTGCCATTTGAGGCATCAATGTAGTAGGGTCTTGTTGTCAGTGGTTTCTGAACTCGGCTGTGGAGGGGCGCCCTCTCTCTCACATAAGCCTTCCGACCTCCGAATGACTTCACGCAGATGAAGAGGACGAGGAAGATGAGGAAGAGTCCCAGGAAGACCATGATGATGATGAACCAGATCTCCTGGTAGAACGGTAGCTCTGTCACGACCTTGTCTGTCTGGGCGGGGTCAGGTGGTAGAGTGGTGCCTGAGGTACAAGGTCAAGGACAATGATCAGGCAATGTTGAAGAGACTACATTTCATCATAATGCCCATTTCAGACACTTTAATCCACTGTGATATAGAACCATAACATTAAAATTGAATGGTTGATAAATGTTTTGTCTTCCTCAGTGGGGTATTAGTTGAAAACCCCCCAACAACATTGGTATATATCTTACATATTTCCTCGTGACTTACCAACTCAAGTCAGTGACTTACCAACATGTCGTGACTTACCAACTCAAGTCAGTGACTTACCAACATTTCCTTCAACACGATGGTGACTTACCAACACATCCTACAACATTATGGTGACGTACCAACATTTCCTACAGTACGATGGTGACTTACCAACATTTCCTACAATATGATAGTGACTTACCAACATTTCCTACAACACGATGGTGACTCACCAACATTTCCTACAACAAGATGGTGACTTACCAACATTTCTAGAACACGATGGTGACTTACCAACACGATGGTGACTTACCAACATTTCCTACAACACGATGGTGACTTACCAACATTTCCTACAACACGATGGTGACTTACCAACATTTCCAACAACACGATGGTGACTTACCAACATTTCCAATAGCACTGGGATCAAACACAACTGAGGGAGTCTCAGCCTGTCCTGTCTCAGTCACGGCCTGGACGATGAAATTGATTACTGAAACAGGCCCAGAAACAGTGTCGGTGAGATGAGCAGACGCATATAAATACAATCCTCACACAAGGATACACATGCCCATATAAACTACTGGGGAAAGAAAATATCCACCAATGAAGTTGGCACGGTATTATAGTTATGTTTTGGACCTTACCGTTTCTGGTAATGTTTTGATGTTTGTAATGCTTTGATCAAATTCATTTTCCAAGTATATACTTTCTTTTGTTTGGTAGGTTTTACGTAAAACATTCCTTGATGTGATTCCGATGGATATAAAATATACCAACCTGTGGACAGGTCATTTTCCCCTAGGACATATACAGTCGAGCACTGTTGTGTCGAACTCTGATAACTCGGTTGTCTCGATATAACGTCTCGGTTCCGGCAAAATCCTTCATAATTTATCATTAATCAAGCTCTTTTAACTCGAAATGGATGTCTCGATAATTCGGATATCTCGATATAATTTCATGGTTCCAACAAGCAAAATTACCCTTTTTACTCGATCTTTGCAAAGAACTTCGATATTCACCTACCTTTCATGGGCAAGTATCCTCTAAACTGGGGTTGTTTCCACACGTTTACACTCAATTATTTACAGACCGCCACCATATAGCTGGAATATTGCTGAGTGTGGCGTAAAACTAAACTAACTCACTCAATCCAGTGTTTTGTTAATGATGTGACTCAGGACATGCTTTCCTTGCACATAGCCCCCTGTTTGTGGCAGACCTGGCACAACCTAGATGAGAGCATTGCAACTTGTCTGCCCACCACTTGACTCTGTGACAGTAACCAGCTGGCAATCAGGGTATATATATTTTGTGTACTTATCAAGATGTTACCATGATATACTCGACAATGAATTTGACAGTAACTATTTTGTTCTTTAGCATCTCTTTCGTCATGTGGGGGCTGTTTAGTAGCCTAGGGGTTAAAGTGTTAGCTCATCACACTGAAGACCCGGGTTTGATTCCCCACTTGAGTACAATGTGTGAAGCCCATTTCTGGTGTCCCCCGCTGTGATATTGCTGGAATATTGCTAAAAACGGTGTAAAACCATACTCACTCACTCACTTTTGTCACGTGATCAATGAATGGAGTGGAAACTCCAGTACTCTTTCAACAGATTCCACAACAGAAAAGCTTCTAAAACTTCAGAGTGTGAAATATATATTCTGCAACTTAAGTTGAAGCAATATTCCATACCTTGTTTCTTAGTCTCCCTCTCTACGCCATGGCTAGTGCTGATTCCACGGAACACTACCTTCCCGTCAGTCATTACGATGTATTCCCTTAAGCGACTGTTGAGCTGAAAGCTGCCCGTCCAATCAATGACTGCCTTGGTGTTGTTGGTAGACAGTCTTGGGAAGGCCACATATACTGGTACTGCAACATAATATGAAGGTGAAGATTTGCTAGATAATATTCTTTGCTTAGTTAGCATCATAACAGTGGTTTGGGTTATGCTATAGTTCTCTATAAGACCTTCATTACTTTGGGCTTTTCTCCACCCTAAAGATGGAACACCACTTCCGTACTTTTCAAAGCTCATTCACACTCATTAACATTAGGTGTAAGTTTTAGAATTCTTATATATAAACACGCAAATTACAAATGATTAAGATTTTAAAAAAATGTAAATTGTTAGCAAAGCTCAAGTTGATTGTTAGTAAAAGTTTCATATAACAGACAAGAAATGATTCCAATCCCCACGCTACAGGCACCTGCACGCAACTTATTTTTCATGGCATCCATTTTCTCTTTACAATTTCTTCATAACGTGTTCACTACTGTTTTGCAGCAGTCATATGACATATGCATATGTGTGTTAGTTGTTTGATGCTGCGATCAGCAATTTCTGCAGTACGGCAGCTGTCTGTAAATAACTGAGTCTGGACCAGACAATCCAGTGATCAACATTATGAGCATCGATTTTACATATTCTATAAAGGTTGGAATCACCAAATGTCATCAGTAACATTCTGGCTAAGTTGACGCCACTGTCACTCCTTTTTAAATATACACACAAGAGCCACTTTAACAGGACTGGTTAAATTCCTTGATTCCAATACTGCCACCTACTTGCTGGCTCTGTGATGGTGGACACCCACTGAGGGAAGTCCACCCCTCCTGCTTCATTCTCAGCCTGTATCTGGTACTCGTAGTTTGTGTAGGGTGAGAGGTCACGGGAAGAAGCAAACAGGTCAAGGCCAGCGTACACCTCCTGGACATCCCCTGTCCTACAGGTCTGGTCGAACGGTTGGTCAGTTGGGGGACATGCTGTACGCTGATACAACAGGTATCTGAAACATCAACAATCTCCCATGACAAGACAGTAAAACAGAGTATTGCTTGGCATGTAGACTAACACTTAATCTCTGAATATATATAATTTTGATCGTTACAATAAACCCATTTAAATTGAAAAGGAGCCCCAGTGAGATGGGAGATTCCTGGACCTGATGGAAATCTGGAAAATAATGTGGTTCAGGGACTGTGAGACAGACTATTTGCTATGTAATGCAATTAGGTGCCATACTCTGAGAGTATGGGTTCGAATCCTGGATGGGACTCTACTCAACATAAGTACAAGAATCTGTACTTTACTGAGGAAGTGTAATCCCAAATATAATATAAGTTGTTCACTGGTCACGAGGGGGGCATAGGTTGATGTATCCTCGATGTTTGTTAATGTTATGTTAACAACCTTATTGTTAATTTTGAATTGTTTGAAGCATGGGTACAAATCCTTTTGTAGTCATCGCTAGATTTTGCTGACAAGAAAAACAGATTTAGAGTTATCTCCCTTCCATTGATTTGCATTTCGCAAAACATCGGTAATTTGCGTACATCATACGCGATTCAATGTTATTCGAGATAAAGAATTACTACCACGAAGTACCAAATGAGTTTCCATTGACAGCCGGGTACATTGAAAATAATAGAAGAGTGCTCAGCCAATCAGAAAGCGACATTTAGGTGTGAGGTAAGATAACATATGTTACATGTCATATGTTGTCATGTCAAGGGAAGTAATTCTTCCCGATGACTCCTACTGGTCATAGTGCTTGTATATATAATTCCTTCTATATAACTGAATAGAGTTGCCTAATTTAATGTTGTAGTTAAGTCTTTTACTTCACACAAATCCACTAGCACAAGACTATTAAATTGTTATGTTAGTTCCCCAGTGTCCAGTAGCTTTTGAGAACTTTTGAAATCTGAAACAGTTTTTCATGTTTAAAACTTTGTTTCAAACTGAAATTGAATATAACTGACCATGCTGATAGGAAATGTAGACCTAGTATATATTTCTGTTTTGTTCAGGCATGACAAGCTATACTCTCAGGACTAGTGAAACTGGTAGATGTAACATTGTCATCAGTGTTAACAATAAATAACTTTGATCTGTATCTAAGAGTGTATTCCAGATGTTAGCATCTTACAAAAACATTGTGAGGTTTCTTTTCATCTACCATAAAATTAACTTTGAGATTAGGTCACAGCATTTGAATTCAGAATCCAAGCATTATGTCGTCTGCCCTGGTGAGGTAATGGTCTAAGGGAGATAACTCCTAATTGGTTATGCATACCCTTGGGTAAAAGGGGGATAACTCTGGAGTTTTTCCATTATGGCGTTCATGTATGTGCCCATTTTCAAAAATGAAGATTTAATTTCCTGATTCTTCATCCTTTATACAACACCAGACAAACATAGGCCGCCCCTCCTACAGTTCTGATAGTGCTCACCTCTGTATATGTCCGTTTGGCTTCTGGGGTGGCTCCCAGTTGAGAGTCACACTGGTGCTTGTTTTCCCAGCCACTACCACCGGGGCCAGTCCACTAGGCTTAGCCGTTGTTGTCATGACCTTGATCCCTGCACTGTCTGTGCAGCCGCCACTTGTACAAGCACGCACCTGCACCAGGTAGGTCGTGAAAGGTGACAATGGTCGAGCATTTCCAGCCGTCTGCTGTAGAGTCACTCCTGATGATTCCTGAACAAAGGAAATTAATTTCGTGAAATTTTCATATTTACAAACCTGTGAAGATCTGGATAAGAATCTTCAGCAACCCAAGTGACTAACAGGATTGGCTGATGAGGCTTGCTGACTTGGTTGACACATGTCATTATATCCCATTTGCGTAGATTGATGCTCATGACTGTGATCAATGAATTTTCTGGTCTAGACTTGATTATTTACAGAATGCCGCCACATGGCTTGAATATTGCCGAGTTCGGCTTTACACACCAAACAAACATATTCTCCAAATGCTGAGGCTTTTGAAAACTGTAGATTTGCATACAACACACAGCACAATAGATAAAAGAAATTCAGCAGCTATTTCAAATTTGTTTAGTCTTTTCACGTCTCTCAAACCCACTGTTAAACAAAGCAACTAAGTTTGATGTTCAAAAATTATCTGCCAGAAAATTCCTGAGACAAAACCTATCTTAGTTATCCACTGCTCAAGATAAGTGGGGGTCAAATATTGGGCCAAATGTCTTCCACTCTGGTGGTCTTGAAAAATATCTTGAATTAGAGAAGTCTCATGGATATAAATAACTAATATCAGTTAAGAAAAATGAAGTGGAAAAAATCACCTTGCTGATAAACATCCTACTGGAATACATATGTAATTTTCTGAATAAAATTGATATTTTATACTTATCCTGACTTATTGCTTGCCTCCTTCTCCTTGCTAATGATAGTGTAACACTTGAATCCCCCTTTTGAAGCTCCCTTAAAAAAAAGCGGACGTAAAATCACTCACCCAGTGTCACCTCCCATACGCAGTTTTGGCGGGAAAATAGCGCCACCCAACCGCCATGTCTTCACTCTCTCCGTATGTTCAAGCCCGACACCCGGATTTACTGGGAAATCCAGAGTGCCTTGAGGGGAGGTTGGGAGGGTTCACCTCATGAGTCAGGATAAGTATAAAATATCAATTTTATTCAGAAAATTCAAATATTTTTGCTTATCCTGACTCATGCTTATTGCTTGTAGAATCCAACAGAGTCGGTGGTGGGTCAAGCCACTTCTGGATTCCTAGCTGATGATTTACGTCCTGCATACCCCCCATGGGAACTTCTGATGGCACTGCTGCTGCTGCTGATCCTTTCTTCCAGCTTCCTCTGATGAGTCTGGGGGGACCACAACTTGTCAGACCTGCTGGAAGCATCTTCTGCTGACATTATGTGTGGATTTATGCAACTCCATCTCTTGATGCTCGCATCAAGTGGAGAAGCGACCCTTCTTCATGTATGAGTAAGTCCTTTACAAGTACAGGGTCTGTCACTCATGCTGGTCTGTCCTAGACTAGGTGCATGGACTCTAAAGCTCTAGCTCTCCAGAGGGTTTGGCTTTTGCAAGTCACGTGATAAAAGGGTGAGATCCTCCTCAGCGCCTTTGTGGAACCGTCAGTTGTTGTGCTACAACAAGAGGCCCAAACTGGTGAATGCCGGAGAAGTCCTCGGTAGCGACGTCTCTGAAGTAGTGGTTGGCAAACACCCTCAGGCTTCCAAAAGCAGCCCTCCATTATCGTCAAGATGGAGCAGTTTCCATGCAGAGCGAGTGTTGACACCAGAGCTCTGGACTTAATGAGAGTTGGAGGCTCGTGGAGGCTCAAGTCTTGCTGCTTTGTAGGCCCTTAAGATGACGGTTCTCATCCAGATTGATATGAAAAGACGCATTGAGACATCTGTGTCTTAGACCTTTGTAGGTAGACTTTCAATGCTCTGACTGGGCATAAGGATAGGTCCTGGATATCCTGTAGCCCAAGGACTGTCGATGGTGCTGGGATGTGGAACTGTCTGTCCGGTTGACCTGGCAGTTGGTTCTTTGCTATGAAGTCCCATCTCAATCCCAGATGTACGATGTTGCGATGCGCATCAAATCGTGTTCGTTCGAAGTCCAGAGCATGTATTTCTGACATCCGTGCTGCTGTTGCCGAGGCGATCAGGAAGAGAGTTTTCTGTGTTAGAAAACTCGTTGGATGTCCTTTCTAGTGGTTCATAAGCGTCACTGGTGAGATGCTGCAAGACTACGTTGTGATCCCAAACAGGCGCTTTAAACTTCTTTGTTGGTCTTCCAACTTGAAGGAGCGTATTTGGGCCAGTATCTCTGGTACTTTAGTCAGCTTAACCCCCGTATTTATCTCGATAACTGTGCTGAGGACCGCTAGGTATGTAGAGAGTGTTGAACCTTTTAACCGCCTCGTTTGTCTTAGATGACAAAGGTATTCCGCCACTTGAGGATGTGTTGCCTTCATCGCTGTGAAGCCCTTCCTCAGTGCATGTCTCTCAAAACTCTACCACTTGTCATCGTACAAGTTGCAGGCAGATCTGCGTAAAGCTAGTGTGACTGCTTTCGCTGCTGTGGCGGAGTATCCTCTTTTCGTCAAGCAAGTCTTGATACACTCCATGCGTGTAGCTGGAACACTGTGGGGTTCCCGTGTGCTTGCTTGGTGTGCGGATGTATCAGTAGGTTCGGCCACTCTGGGAGTTGCAGTTTTGGACTTCCGAGTTCTTGTATGAGAATAGGAAACCACATTCTCCCTCGTCTGCTTGATTTTCTGCCACACCTGCGGTATTAGAGCTGGAGGTGGAAACGCGTATGCGTTTAGTCCTTCCCAGGAGATGCTTAGAGCATCTGTTGCCCATGCTTGTGGATCAGGAATAGGAGAGATGAATGTTGGTAGCTGTTTGTTGAACTTTGTTGCAAACAGGTCTATTAGCGGAAATCTTATCGTCTGTATGATGCATCTGAAGGCTTCTGGATGTAGCATCCATTCCGTCAGGGATGGTTGTGTTGGACGAGATAGGGCGTCTGCTATCACATTCTTGGCTCCGGGAATGTGGCATGCTCTTATGTAGATGTTCAGGTCGTCTATTATGCTGAACAGATGAAAGCTGAGGCCTAGAAGATTTCTTGACCTTGTTGATCCTTGTTTGTTGATGTAGAATGCCACTGTGGAGTTGTCCATGTGGATCATCAGTTGTGCGTTCCTTAGTATGCTGGACCAGTGTAGTAAGGTGTTTACTACTGCTTTCATCTCGAGCATGTTGATATGCAGACTGCTCCTGACTCGACCATTTCTCTACTGCCACTTCATTGTCGAGGTGAGCTCCCCAGCCTCGAAGTGATGCATTTACGTAGAGATGAATGTTGCACTCCGTTTCTGATAAATAGGTTTCTCCGCAAACATTTGACTTCCAAGTCCACCCTAGAAGATATGGTTTCAATCCGTCCGGTAGTCCGAAGGAGTCCAGACTGTTGAGATGGGCATTCACGAACACTTGTAGTGGGCGCAATTGTAGTCTTCCTCTGCGAGTCATGTCTTGTGCTGACGTGAGAAGACCGAGTAGGCTCTGCCAACTTTGTAGTGGTAACAGAGAGAGTAGTGCTTGAGATACGATGGCTTGTATCTAGACCCAACGATCCTCTGAGACGACCATGTGATTCTGTGGTGAGATGAAACATTTTCCCAGAAATCTGCTCATGTTCTACGTTGTAAGTAAGTAGACAGTGGAACCCTTGCCATGTCCGTAATGGAAGCGAAGCAATATCCGGATCTGGGACTGCCATCGTTGTGAAGTGTATATATAGTAGACTGGCTGCCGCGAGCAGAATTCATCAAACGTATGTTGCTGCAATTCGCCGGATAAACAGTCTTCAATCTGCTGCCAGGGAAAGTCCCTAAAACCCGTGAAGACAGTCAAATCATGCTGTACCCTGCTAACTGGACTATAAATGGAGCCCTCCTCCCACGTTGAAAAGTTGTTTACAACTGTAGACGACTTCCTGACACGTGAACGAGGTCCTACTTCTGCTTCTCTCATGGACCAATCAAAATGCAGCATTTTGATTTCTCTCAGATTCCTGCAATGTGACGTCACCGGTGTTGCAGGAAAAAGATCCTTGTAGAATCTTGTGCAGTCGTTGATTTCTTCATCAACAATCGGCCTTGTCCATAACCTCCCGGAGTTACACGAGTGAACACGTGTATAGAGGGCTGAATGGCAAACGGCGAAGGATTTCGCCGCGTAATTCCGATGTAGGTAGACTGTCTCCCAGGCTGCTGTGACTGCTATTTCGTTCCTGAAGATAATGCAGTCGTCATCTTATACAGATGATCAGCTGAAATTCAATACTTGCTTAACGCTGTTACTTGTAGACTGTATTCATCGGTCTCAATGAAGCGCCATAAAATACCCCCTTTGTGTTGAATACACAAAGATTCTTGTAGAGTTGATACTTGCAGCTTCAGTGTAAGTTCTACAACGGGAGTCGTTGATGATCTTGTAGTTCACATCAATCTCTGGAGCCTTCATGAAGGGTTCCATGTGAAGTAGCGGGAATTCCCTGGCTTGGACGTCGGGGATATGTTGACTGTGGAACTTCATAGCCTTACCAAGGCTGCGCTGAGATTCTCCGCTATTATCTATCAAGTCGTTAGCTCTGAACCATGACAACGTGACTGCCTGAAGATCTGCATGCAGGTGAATGATCTCTATATGGACATGAGTCCCTCCTGGATTCTTAAGATGCATCTCTAACCTTCGTGAAGGTGTAGGTTCTCAGTCCCGAGGAGTGCTTGTGTGCAGTTAATCCCAATACCATCTTCTGATGTAGACATATCTTGTTCTGAAGATCCTCAACGATGTGAATCCCTTCCTGGAGATCAGCCTGAAGACCTCCCTGACGACGACCTGAACCTTGGTGATGAATCTCGGACAAGACTCTTCCCCTCTTGACCCCTTGAGGCTCACAACCTCTGTCTGAGCGTGAAGTGGGATGGTCCGAAGATTATTTCCTCCGTGATGAAAGTTTCTTGACCTTCCGTACATCTCTGCATCCCTCATTGTTGAAGTTGTTCAGATCTCTGGAAACTGCAGGTGATGACCGTCAAGTGCGTGATCCTTCACGCAGACTTCCTTCTTCATGCAGGTTACTTCCCGCAGGCTTCTTCTTTCACGCAGGTTTCCACTCTGCGTGGAGACCTGCGTCATGATCTGCCTGGCAACCTGCTGTGTAGAGATCTGCATGGAGACCTTCATGGAGACCTGCGTGGAGACGTAGACATTCTTGAAGACCTTCCTGAAGACCTGCGCGCAGGTGAGCGGCTCTGATGAGGGTTGGAGTCTTGAGATGAATCTCTGCGCCTTCGTGAAGGTGTAGACTCTCTTCTCAGTGATGTGGAGCTCCTGCGTGCAGATTCCTGATGACTGTCGGCATCTGAGGTGAAGGAAGATCTGCGTTGATTCGGTGAACGTCTGCTTCTTCTCCTACGTGAAGGTTCCTCAGGGACATCTACTGCAGGCTCCTTGTTGGTAGCTGCCAGGCTCATGAAGTCGCCGTAGACGAACGTCGAGTGCGGGATTCGTCATGCAGGGTTGTTCCTTCATGCAGGCTGCTGACTTCAACGGGACGTGATGTGCAGACTGGCTGTCCTTCATGCAGGCTCGTCGTTGATGGGGTCTTCGTAGCAGCCCTCTCCTGCGCGAACCGTCGTTCCATCAGGTCCAACATCTGCTGGGTGAACTGCTGCATGAAGATGCCGGGTTGAAATTCTGCGATGACTGCTGCTGCAGGGATGACGCATCTGAGAGTGATGAGGCTTCCTCCAAGGACCGCTACACCTCTCTGGACCCCGATGTCTGCGTCGATAGATCATCTGACTGCGTTGAGATGACTGCTGCCGTCACAGTAGAAGATGCCCTCGTCTTCTTCTTAGCTGTGATCTCAGGGATGAGGATGGGAGGCTCATCGTAGACATCTACTTCCTCAGGAGGGACGATCTCTGCAGAGAAGGACCTCGTCTTCTGCGTTGCCCCATGGGAAGACTTGACGAAGTCTTAACTACAGATGACTTCTTCCTCTGGGAAGACGATGCCCTGGTTTTCTTAGACTGCGATGAGGAATTCTCAGATGTAGATGACCTCTTCCTGGAGCCAGCGCTGCCGTCTATCACAGCAACATCCTCCGCAGACGCCCCCGGTAGATCACTGGAATGGTGTATCTCCATCAGACACCAACAGACGGTTCTCAGCAGACTCAGCCGGTTTAGACATGACTTGCAACTGCCGTCTGGACTTGTCCTTTGCATACGTCTAAGCAGAGAATATAAATAATTGTTAAATTCAAAATCAGACAGGTGCTGACAAATTTGACAGCGAAAGCTGGAAAAGCACGTAGAAGTGCAATTAGGACATAGTTCGTGCGGATCAGCAGCAGACAACCTGTACCTGCAAAAATGCAAGTTTTCATCAAATATAAACAATCTGAACAATCACGTAAAAACGTGAATAAACAGACAAATTTGACAAAATATTTCAAACCATATTGTAGATAAATGCTTCCTAAAGCCTTATAAGCTAATTTAGTAATCAGGCCTAAATTAGAAAAGGATATAGTGCCGTGTTGGGGACCCAGGCGCTCTCTCAACCGACCACTCGGGCGAAGAAGGAGAGAGTGAAGACATGGCGGTTGGGTGGAGCTGTTTTCCCGCCAAAACTGCGTAAGGGAGGTGACACTGGGTGAGTGATTTTACGTCCGCTTTTTTTAAGGGAGCTTCAAAAGTGGGATTCAAGTGTTCCACTATCATTCACAAGGAGAAGGAGACAAGCAATAAGCATGAGTCAGGATAAGGAAAAATAAATTATATTGTCTCAAATAATCAGAAAAAGATGTCACTGTTTATGAAATGACCATAAACCAAGAATGTGCTAATTCTAAGCATTATTAGAGAATGAGGCTGTAGCTTAAGAAGTCTACCTACCACAGTACGATTAACCAGAATGCTGTACTCCCGGATGTCTCCATTAGGCTGCAGTGGTACTGTTATGGTGACTGTGATTGTGGTTGCTGTGGTGCCCTGCAACAGAGACATGAGTAATTAGTCAGTATTGAAGTTCATGATAATCATAACCATGACAGCCTTAAACAATATCATGTTAAAGAAAACAACATCATTCAAAACATAATTTCATTTGAAAAAGTTATTCAACTTTTTTATTAAATGTTATTGGGTGAGATTGAATAGTTTCACAAATGCAAAATGAATATTTTATTTCAAATTTATTTACACATGGCATCAATATTTAATGATGTGTGTGTGCTTATGTATGTGTGTGTATGTGTGTGTGTGTAGGTGTATGAATGTGTGTTTGTGCATGTGTGTCTGTATGTTTTCACTAGTATTACTGCCTCCTAGCTTGCTACTGTCATTTTCGAAATGATGACTGCTTTTCCAAGGAACAACTTTTGTGTCAGTGCATGGGTCACAGAGCCATGTCACTTCAGGTATTTTTCATTATTTTTGTTTTGTTTTTGACAAGGTGTAGAATATATACATTTGGGTCACAAATGAAAAATATGCATCAATCGGGTTACCTAAAATACAAGTGTTTCTTTATGGCCTTTGCGTAATTTCTCCCTACATTTTCATTAAATGCATTAAACTTAATTCAACAGGGAATAATTCCTGGCAGGGATCAGTGAACATGAACACTATATGACTGCTACCTATTTTGTACTCATACCAACACTTCTATATCTATGTACACTGGTACTCACATCTACTGTAGGAGGAGCCACAAAGGTGGGCGGGGCTTCCTTGGTGACAACGAGTGCCCACATGCTACCAGCCCCGCCCACACTGTTGAAGGAGGTGACCCTGTACTGGTAGGAGGCGAATGGCTTCAACTGTGGGTCGGAGTCAGTCATCCGGAGCTCTGTGTTGTTGTATACAGATACAATGTTCCCGTACACCGTGCCTAGAAAGATCACATGTGAGACATTGTTAGGTCTGGTATGTTAAACAAGTCTGGTCTAGTATGTGGAATATATACTGGGACACAACTTTTAAAGTGATCAAAACGTTAGTAAATAGGAATTTTAATTCAATTAGTAATTTCTCCCTAAAACCAGCTCTTGCACTACAATCACTTAAAATAACAAAGGTCTCGTTTATCAGTAACAAATTTTGAATCATTTTAGCCAAATGAGCAATATTTTCTCAATATGAAGTCCAAAAAACTACCAATATATATTTTAAGACAATTATGCCTTTTTATATGTGAAACATTCTTCAAAGTGATTGTAGCACTACAAGTTTTGTAAGTCTGTGTTAACATGGAGGTTACAAGCGTTTTAGCAGTATGACCCCATTTGGGAACAAAGCCCTTTGACCGTCTTGATCCATAAAACATATCATAGTTAACACAGTCTTGGCGCTATATCTGCTTTCTGGATTTTAAGAGTACGATTGTCATTAGTCTGTGTTAATGCACTGGAGTTACAATTGCCTTAGGGGGCGGTGGGGTGGCCTAATGGTTAAAGCGTTCGAAGACCCGGGTTTGATTCCCCACATGGGTACAATGTGTGAAGCCCATCACTGCTGTCCCCCTACCGTGATATTGCTGGAACTTTGCTAAAAGTGGCATAAAACGATACTCTCTCTCTCACTACAACTGCTCTAGCACTATGATCGCTTTGTGGAATCCAGCCAGTGTATGTGAAACATATAATCCAGCTTATTTTATAGGACTGGACACATGTATACATGATATTTCAAGTATTATCAAACTCACCTGCTGGCTCAGTGACAACACGCCGTCTCAGCACTTCGTATCTGGTTATCACTCCATTAGGCTTCGTTGGTGGTGTCCACGTGACTAAGACCCCACTGTGAGCCCTCTGTTCATTAGCCAGTGCAAGCAATGTCGGCGCTGCCTGTTCCTCTGGTAATGCCTCCATCGTCCTGGCAGTCACGCCCCCACTGAGCTCACACCCTCGCTGTGTGCACGCCTCAACCCTGACTGTGTACTCTGTGTAGAAGAGGAGGTTTGGGATTGTGTAGGTCAGCTGACTGGTGCCTCCTTCATACACCTTATCGGTGCCTGTGTAGAGCTTGTAGCTGATAATGTCCCCATTGGGGTTGATTGGGGGCTGCCAGGTGGCTTGGATTGATGATGGGGAGATAGGAAGGAGGGTTGGAGGACTCAGACCTGTTGGTGATGAGGAATATGTCCTTGCTTTTGCAGGTTGACTTTCTACACTTCCCCTTCGGTTCCTTGCAATGACGATATATGTATACTCTGTCCCTGGCTCCAAGCTGTAATCTGTGTAGGTTGTTCGTAAGGCTCCTGTGACAAGACTGTCGGTGAATATAAGCCTGCCTTCTCTTTTGACATCGTATGATGTGATGATTCCATTGGAGTTATTGGGCTGACTCCAGGATACTTCTATTGATGTGGAGCTCATGACTCTCAAGATGGGTGTTTCCATTCCAAGCGGAGGTGCATCATTTGGTCTAGCAGAGACTTCAGTACTTTGAGAACATCCACCACTGGTACAGGCTTTAAGGATGAACTTGTACTCCTGATACGGAGTCAGCTGCCCTATGACAAATTCCTTAGCTAATCCCTGATAAACAGACACTCTGTCCATCAGCAGCTCATAACTGCTGACCTCTCCGTTGGTGATCTGAGGAGTCTGCCATACGGCCCGTAGGGTAGTGGAACCCATTGGTGACAGCTGTGGTGGGAGCACCTGCAATGGAGCTGCTTCTTTGGTCCGGATGATGGTAGCATCACTTGTGGTACATCCTCCTCCGGAACATGCAATGACAGTGTAGGAGTAATATGTATAGGCCTCCAGACCTGTGTCCACATGCGTGAAGGATGTAGCTGCAGGGAAGCTGAGTGGAACGCTGCTGTTTCTCTGGATCTGATAACTCTGCATGACACCATTAGGACTGATCGGTGCAGTCCAGTTCACCTGGAGAGAGTTGACATCATTTTCAACATGGACCACACTAGGTGCAGCCACTCCTTGAGGGGCAGCTTGATCAGTTGACACTGTTTGCCAGGGTGAGTCCACAGACCCCTTGGGAGTTGCTGGTCCTCACCATGTACTGGTACTGGGTGTAGGGTTGGACATCCGAGTCCATATACTGATACTCTGGCTTGTCAGTATCTGTGGTCATGTACACAACTGTTGGGTCACTCAAGGCACGCTTCCTACGGGAAACTGTCGGGGTATTCGTACGTCTCAGGACTTGATAGGATACTATCTTCCCATTTGGATTGGCTGCTGGTTTCCATGATATGAGGACGTTTGTGGAGTTGACGAAGGATTGCGATGGCGGCGGTTGGCTGGCTGGAGCTACTTCGGCTGTGGTGAATGTCTGCTTCTGACCCAGAGTACACCCTACCACAGTGCATGCTTCTAGTTGGACTAGGTACTCGGTGTAAGGGAGGAGTCGACGGAATTCAAACTCTCTGTTCAAGCCCTGGTATATGGCAACATCAGATCCTACTTCATAGATACGGAAGTTGGTGACCACCCCATTGGGTTTGGCTGGCATGTCCCACCTGAGAATGACAGCTTGTCCATTAATGATCTTCTCAACCTGGAAGACGCTTAATCCTGAAGGCGATGTCTGTGCAGTTTTCACTGGTGTTGCTCCGCTTGTTACGCTGCCGGCTTTGTTCACTGCTTGAAGACTTACTTCATAGTCGGTGAAGGGTTGGAGCCCACTGATGGAGGTCAATGTTTTGGTAGCTTCCACTGTCAGAGAGTTGGTTGGGTTCTGGATTGTCGGGTCTCCTGACACACTTTTATACAATATCTTATACATGGTGAGAACACCATTTGGTTTTGAAGGAGGTGTCCATTGAAGAGAGAAGCCATAAGGGCCAATTGTGGAAATAAACGGAGCACTGAGCTCCTCTGGAGGTGCTTCTAATGTTCTGACCCGAGCCCAGTCACTCAGACTCTCGCCCTGTGCGTTGAGAGCCTTTATCCTGTATTCATATATAGTGTATGGTGTTAAATCTGTTCCTGAATGAGTGAACGTTCGAGTGGACCCATCAACCTGGTTAATGAGAATTTCAGTGGGAGTTCCATACTTTCTCTGGTAGATTCTGTACATTGTGATCAGGCCATTTGGATTCCCTGGTTCTTCCCATGAGATCAGGATAGCGTCGGATGACCGGGCAAGCAACAATGGAGGTTTCTGGTTCAAGGGCGGTGCTTCATGTGTTGTGACAATCACACCAGGGCTTGTACCGCACCCATTCTGCACATTCTCTAGACAAGCCTGAAGACGCACTTCATACTCTGTGTATGGTTTAAGGTTGGACACGATGATGGATGTCTGCGTTCCAACACCCTGTTCCACCTCGGTGCTCTGACCAACATTTAGCAACACCCTGTACTGGTCAATGATCCCCTCGGATGATATTACCGGGTCCCACGACACAGAGATCTCATCGGCACCAAGCACCCTCAATCTCTGAGGAGGGGGGATGTTCAGGGGTGTTCTCTGGGGCATGATGACAGCGATGTTGGAGCTGGTTGTTTCGCCAGCGCTGGTGCGAGCCGCCACAGTGTAGGAGTAGACGCCACTTGCTGTCAGGTTGGTGTCTGCGACGCTGAGGTTGTGACCATTGTATATGATGATGACACCAGACAAACCGATGCGGGTGACCTTGTATCCTAGGAGAACTCCATTCAGGGTAGTTGGAGGTTTCCAGTAGAGATGCACTGTTGTAGAGTCTATGATGACAACCTTTGGAGGATCCACACCTGTGACATAAGACATCTTTTTATGATGGTATTTTCTTTAATGAAGGAAAAGCAATAGGTCACTCATATACTCTGTTGTTTCATTTTTCTTTCATTTCCAATATAAGACATATTAACTTCATATCAAACCACAATAATTTGATGGAGAAATTTCATCAAATATCAGCAGAAAGCATTAATTTATTCTTTTGATTGATAGATGTTTTTCCTATACATAAAATTTTAAAATGGCCTGTTAAAATGTCTAAAATATCAGCAGAAAGCATTAATTTATGCTTTTGATTGAAAGATGTTTTTCCTATACATAAAATTTTAAAATGGCCTGTTAAAATGGCCTGTTTTTTATAAAACTGGCAGTAAAAGTGTATACCAAAAGATGTGTGTTAAAAACCTAATACTCAAGTTTTTGTGCAACCCAGTCAATCATAATAACAAATCTGACACATGCATACAATATTTCCTTCATATTTACACAACTTTACGATAAGGCCTGACCAATTTTATTTCTTGTTTTACGGATCTGCCGGTCGTACTTTTTCAAGAATAAGAAAAAAAATAAAAATTAATTTCAATAAAAAAAATAAAATCCTCATGTTTCTATTGGCCAAAAATGTAAACTTGCAATAAAAATTGTTTTGGATTGTTTTTCGCCCCATATACACTTCATGAATTGCCAAAAATAAAATACTTTTAGTATTTACAAGGAATATTACTTTGACTGGTGATTTTTATTTCTTTCTTTTTTTTCCTCCTGCCTTTAGGTTTTCTGAGGACTAAAATCCGTAAAACAAGAAATAAAACTGGTCTGGCCTAACAGGTTACAACATGATTTGTGATGTCATTGACCAAACCTTCTGGAGCTGCCTCCTCTGTTGTCACGGTAACGTTCTGGCTCTGCGTGCATCCCGCCTGGGAACACACCTCTAGGACAGCAGTGTATGCCGTGTATGGCGTCAGATCTGGAGGAAACAAAACCACACTCAGCACGGACAGCTGAATGTCTCAGTATGTATAGACAACTGTTTTGTTAATTCTTTCTTGGTTGATAAAATTGCAGCCACCAATGTATAATTACAATTTCTCTCTCGCAGAGGGTATTCAAGACTCAGCACTGTATATCATTTTCTAAATAGCATCCTTTCTCTGTACCTTTGAGATTTGAGTTCAGTAGTATCCAGATTCAGACTGATTAAAGAATCCACAATATGACAAATGCCTATAAACCTCTTTTTCACATTTTGACATGTAATGTTTACCATTTTAGTCATCAACTTCATGTATTTCAAAGATGATTACCTTTCTCCCTAACACAAATTAATGAAATAGTATTTGCTAGTCAATCATATACTGAGGGGAAAAAATAAGGGATCACATGAAAGCACAAGTGTTCCTTTATTTTTTCCCAGGTTTCTTCACAAGCTATGCGATACAACGCTTGTGAAGAAACCTGGAAAAAAATAAAGGAACACTTGTGCTTTCACATGATCCCGTATTTTTTTCCCTCAGTATATGTCTACATATATGACAAATACCCAATCCCTCTCCATCTCTCTCTGTCTCTCAGACAGTAAAAAACAATATCCTGAAGACTAGAAAAGAAAACTGGTTGCGAGAGTCCCCTTACTTGTGACTGTGAGATCCCTGTCAGTCACAGACTGGTTGTAGCCTCGGTCCAGATCAGGGAAGATAACTCTGTACATGGTGACAACACCGTTTGGTTTGCCTGGAGGTTGCCACTGGATACGCAGAACAGTGGGACCCTCGACTATCATAGTTGGGGGGAGGACGTCCTCAGGGGGAGCTTGGGCTGTAGCCACTTGCACCTGTTAACACGAACACTTGTATATGACCATCTTTGCTTTCACCATGGCTACAAGAATCAAGAGGTCACCCTCTTCAGATAGAGGTATTTGAAAATACAAAATTATAAGGAGTGTTAAAATTAATAATGCTCTAGGTACAATATTTGCTTCACATTAAATATTTGACCAATGTAAATGGAAAGAAGCTGGTAAGCTAACAATTAATAGTTTAATTTGAAAATTGTAGTCATAGTCATAAAAGAAGCATTGCTGAAGAAGCTTTACTGTAGGAAATATTGAACATGCAAATTTCCTGGTGACTTTGGATTAAGAGACATCATTTTTTCTTTGTATATTCCTCATTTGGATAAAGAGGAAATTGTTTTTTGGATAGGCAATTTCTTTATTATTATTATTATTTATTATTATTATATGATATTTATATAGTGCACATATCCAGGCAACTAGTGCTTGCTCAAGGCGATAATATTTTTTTCCCACGCTCATTGGATGTCAATCTCAATGGCACATCGTATTATCAACCTTAACTCCCTGGGGAGTATACAACTCTTGCAGCCACTAGGTGCACCGAGTTATTGTGGCTTTCTCATCCTAACGAGGTACCCATTCACAGCTGGGTGGACTGGGACATATAGTCACAGTATTTTGTCCAAGTTCACTGCACGTTGCTGTACCCGCAACTAGGTGTTTGCACGTATTCATGTGGCCACCATCTGGTCATATACCAACGGATTCGTGGGTTCTTTTCAGTGCACAGGGATGTGTACTGTACACTAGGGGTTGTGACAACACTGAAAGAGTCTGCACACAAAGTTGACTCCAAGGTTTTTACACCCGGTCACAGGTGGGCTCGATCCCGACACCTCAACCTGGCTGGATCACTAGCCTTAGCCAGCTCGCCCACCACCCCCAATAAATGAGATGTTTCAGTAAAGATGCTTACACCATTATCAAGCAAGTGATGTTATCAGTGTTAGCATCTACACCAAAACATAAAATTTATTGCAATAAAGATGTTGTCACTCTAAAAATTGTCCTCTTCATCATACTAGCTTCTAAACAGCACTTAAAGAAGTAATTTGGATACATGAAACATTTCCTAGTAATATCAGCCACTTACGATGTTGCTGTCCGTGCAGCCGGCCTGGGTACAGGCGGAGAGGATGTAGGAATACGTCCTGTATGGAAGCACAGAGTTGTCATCTGTGTACTTCATATCCAGGCCTCGGTACAACTCAATACCGTCCCGCCTCAAGATGTAGCGGCTGATCACACCTGCAAAACAGTTGAATGACGACACTGACGTATGTATTGTCACAAACACGGCCTCATTCCAACAAAAATCTTAGTGCTACGACTATCATACGTCGACGTTGAAGTATGGGAGTTATGATCACCTTAGCGCTACGACTATCATACGTCGATGTTGAAGTATGGGAGTTATGATCACCTTAGTGCTACGACTATCATAAGTCGATGTTGAAGTATGGGAGTTATGATCACCTTAGTGCTACGACTATCATAAGTCGATGTTGAAGTATGGGAGTTATGATCACCTTAGTGCTACGACTATCATAAGTCGATGTTGAAGTATGGGAGTTATGATCACCTTAGTGCTACGACTATCATAAGTCGATGTTGAAGTATGGGAGTTATGATCACCTTAGTGCTACGACTATCATAAGTCGATGTTGAAGTATGGGAGTTATGATCACCTTAGTGCTACGACTATCATAAGTCGATGTTGAAGTATGGGAGTTATGATCACCTTAGTGCTACGACTATCATAAGTCGATGTTGAAGTATGGGAGTTATGATCACCTTAGTGCTACGACTATCATAAGTCGATGTTGAAGTATGGGAGTTATGATCACCTTAGTGCTACGACTATCATAAGTCGATGTTGAAGTATGGAAGTTAAAGAGGAAGTATGGAACAAAAGGTTTAGGTCAGGTAAAATGGATTTTAAAGTCATGTTCAAGATAACTGCACTTATGTAGCAATGTGCATGCATGTGTGTTGTTGCTTGTATCAAGTCTGGATTAATGTAGGTTTTACAGTACTTAATAAGTGACTGACTGAGTTTAGTTTTACTCCGCTTTTAGCAATATTCCAGCAACATCACGGCTGGGGACAACTGAAATGGGCTTCACACATTGTACCCATGTGGGGATTCGAACCTGGGTCTTCAGCGTGACGAGCGGACGCTTTAACCACTAGGCTACCCCACCGCCCCACTTAATAAGTGAACTGAGCGACCATGCCGCAGGTGAACACAGTATAGACTCTGAACCTACTCATCCTTGTTTTATCTCCTTAATTCCTAGTGCCAGAAAGGGTAACAACCAGGGTCCCGTTCCTCAAAACAATCGTAGCGCTACGATGATCGTAACTTCCATACTTTAACATAGACTTACGACTGTCGTTGCGCTACAATCGCTTTGAGGAACGGGGCCCTGAACCAAATTTTGACATCGTTTGGTGTGATGCAGCCAGGGACTGGAACACCCTATGCTCTCTGGGCAGACACCCTGTCCACTAGACCATGAGGGTATAGAGTTCTTGAAAGACATTTGGAAGTTGGACGAACATGAATACATGACACGTGTTACGGATGAAGGAGCAAAATTTATCTCTGAAACGTGTAAAGACCCTAGGGAACAAATTTCAGGGCGAACCTGGATTTGAACCCACAATCTTAGGTTCCTGTCATGCATTAAGGGAATTTAGGAGCCATTAACAAATAGGCGGTGTGTGCCCTCTGGTACAATCTGCTGATCACTGGTGATGATTCAGAAATCTAAATATTTTAACCCAGCAGTGAATGGGTACCTGGTAGGACAAGATGGGGATATGACAATAAACCTTCTCATATCACAGCTACCAACTGAATATAGTTTTCTGAGTGGTACATATTTTTCATTTAAACAAATTCATATTAGAATGACGATCAGAGTCTTCTTGTAAATAGTGACATAGGTTATGGCATTTCAAGAAACGAGTTCCTATTAGTGAATCGTTTGAAAGTTGTTAATCAAATACACGTAAGGTTTCTGTTACTGAATCATTGGAAAGTTGTTAATCAAACAGACAACAGGTTTGTATTTAGCCAAGTTTGGCTACGTGAACTCACCATTAGGTTTTCCTGGACTGTCCCACGTGAGGTAGATGATGTACAGCTGCTCTGGGTTGACCCGCGTGACCGGGGCCTTGACCTCCCCAGGGGCAGCCTGCAGCGTCTGTACACCGACGTAGTTGCTGCTGCTGCTGCCAGCGCTGTTCACCACCGCCACAGAGTACTCATAGTCAGAGTATGGGGAGAGACCAGTGTCTGTGACAAACAACATTGTTAGTAGGTGGACATTGCCATCCTTCACTACAGTGGACGATATCAACATGGGGGTGGAAATTGAAAAACACACTGGCTTATCTCTAGGCAGAAAAATAAATATACCTGAAACGTTTAAAACTATCCCCAACTCGTTCAGATAAATCTCACATATACAATGTTTCACCCTTCCTAAATGTCATTGTGTATTCATACTTTCAGCAATGGAAGCTGTGGCAATTTACACTTGTCACAGGGGTATGCGAAGTAGGTGACCTACACTACCAGTTGTTCCATTTCCATTTTTTGTGGAGGCTGCAGTGGCCAAGTGGGTTAGATATCTCACTTTGTATGCTGATTATTAGGTGGCTCACTCTGAGATTTTGGGTTTGAATCCCAGACAAAACTCAACACCAAAATGGCACTAGAATCTGTACTGAATAAGTGTATAGGTACCAAACACAACATAAGACAAACAGAGATTGAAATACAGTAGCTCATGATGGGTCTAAGGGAGACGCACACTCCGGCACAGCGATGACTTAACATAACATCACTGCCACAGGCTAATTTGCATATCACGTGACCGGACTTTTCTCTTGTTTGTAATCAAACGCGCATATTCATAATAAGAAGAGACTGGTCTTACGAAAGCTTTTCGGCGCTCTCTTCATAATGTTTTACATTGTTACATATATATTCTTCCACAACTGTGACAGTTAGGTCTTTGACAGTACATATATAGATATCAAACTGGCTGCATCGTTTGCTCTCCGTCGGCTTCGATGACAGCACGTGGAGCCGTACAACCTATGTAAACAAAGGATCGCTACGCAAATCGAAATAGTGTTACATGTTTTTTGGATATTTTCTCAGTGAAACTAATTCATTCTATTAAAGATGTTTAGTTAGATGTGTAGACTCGTCAAAAATAAAAGAGTAAAAGAAATCTGTACATTATACTGAATGGACGGTGCAAGATGTGACGAATTGTCACATTTTTCTGGCCTGTGGCAGAGGTACTATGCTGGCTTGCCGCATGGAACTCTGGGTAGGAGAGTGAACAGACTGATGTTTTTCACAATTCCGTTCCCACCCTTTCGGATTCTCAGACCACTGTGTCAGTGAAGTTGTACCTGTATAGGTCAAGTTGAGACTGGACGACACCTTGTCCACAGCTGTACTGCATGACACTGCCGGGGTGGTTGAGGTTGTCATGGAAACACGGTAACCACTGACCGAGCCACATGATGATGTTGAACGATCGAAGTCACATCGGTCACAGAAGGCTGTGTTCTGTTGGTTGATTGAACATACTGTTCCCATACCACAACCTGAAACAATGTACATTGCCAACACTGCTATATTTATATGTCCAGCAACATTTCATGTATATTAATACTGTGCTATATCTCTTCCAGCAACATTGAATTGATATTTGTAATACAGTGATATCAGACATGCAATATTGGATGTACCTACCGTATATGACCGACTATAAGTCGGGCCCCTTTCTCAACCCTCTAAATTCTTGCCAAAACCATGTAACTCAAGAATAAGTCAGCCCCTTTCCCCGTACGTATCGGTATTGGGTATATCAATGTCGTGACTGTTCAACACTGTAACATGACGAACGTAAACACGTGTTTGTTTTGTTTTGATATTTACTGTTTCATACTAGCGGAACACTTTGAATATGGCATAATAAAACATCCAATATAAATTGTTGGCTTACTGTGTTTGTTATCTTTTGTAACAGCGTGTTCTTTTGCCAGCTTGGCGAACGGGCAGTTCAAGATACCTTAAACTTGTTTATTTTGAGAGCAGATTTCTGATTGGCTAATGATAAAATGAAAGGCCAATCAACAGTAGTCATGTTTACATAGTCTGTTTACAGTGTCAACAGTGTTACATGAACCATCATTAAACTTACACCTTACTAGTGGTGGTCCGATTAATTGAAATAATCGAAGATTGATCGCAGTGACCAAACAACCAAGCAATCGATCACGTTTTCTCATAATCGAACATAAACGATTTTGGAACTACTGTTTTAGTCTTTCAAATACTTGACAATGGAACATATCGTTGAAGTTGTCAGGGCATGAAAACGTGTTTAATTCTTAGAAAACTCACTTCACTAACTGAAAAGCCATGACTGAATACTTCTTGAATACTCCGGGAAGTTTATGTTCATGATATATTAGTCATCACTCTAAAGTAGCAAGTTGCTTCATGTCATTCATATCTGCAATAACAACCTGGATAGGAAAATCTGAAAAATGACGCTAACCAATTTTTTTCGATGATTGTTCGTTGGTAATGAAATAATTATCAGTTGTGAGATTTCAACCAATTCCCAACACTACGCCTCACACTGAGACCTGAGGCTAGTGGCTGTACCTGCTACAGCCAGAACCACGTGTCATACAGTGTCTGTTCCTGTAGGGAAAGTGTCCGTTTGTTCCTCTTTCTCCAGGGGAATATACTCCTATGGAACAGTTTTATTAGGAAGGTCTTCCCAAGACTGGGTTGTTCCCCAACAATGCTAGATTAGTTTTAGGTCTGGAAATTGTGAAAATAGTGTTTCTTTGATGTTTTACACAGCAGTGTAAAAATAGTGAAAATTTCCCGAAATTCGAACCCTAACATTGATGTATAAATGTCGTTGTCAGGCAAAACAGAATCACAGAACATTTATGGCACATGTGTGTGCTATTTCCACTGGGTAAATAACATTTGCTTTGGCAATATTTGTTCCATATGAAACTAATGCCATGTGGAAATAATCATCATTGGTACGTCCATGTTGCACGATATTGCCATGTGGAAATAATCGGTTCATTGGTTGTGTTGGATATGTCGGCACATGTCTGCGCGGTTGTAGCCATTATAAAAGGCACTAGACGGTCATGTCTGACGGTTGTAGCCATTACAAAAGACACTTACCAGCGGTTGTGTTGGATATGTCAGCACAGACCTGGGTCTGACGGTTGTAGCCATTACAAAAGACACTTACCAGCGGTTGTGTTGGATATGTCAGCACAGACCTGGGTCTGATGGTTGTAGCCATTACAAAAGACACTTACCAGCGGTCATGTTGGATATGTTGGCACAGACCTGGGTCTGACAGTTGTAGCCATTACAAAAGACACTTACCAGCGGTCATGTTGGACACGTCAGCACAGACCTGGGTCTGATGGTTGTAGCCATTACAAAAGACACTTACCAGCGGTCATGTTGGATATGTTGGCACAGACCTGGGTCTGACGGTTGTAGCCATTACAAAAGACACTTACCAGTGGTTGTGTTGGACATGTCAGCACAGACCTGGGTCTGACGGTTGTAGCCAACAAAGTTACAACAACCCAGGCCGTTGGATATCTTCTCCAAGCCACAACACATCTCATTGGCAGTCTGCCGTGCTACAGAGTCAGAATAGTAGTGAACCTGCAAGTAAATAGTCAACACAGGTCAGTTATTTTTACCTGGACTCAATCTGTGATCCTTAAACTATTGAAATAACGACAGCTTATCATTTATGTATGCTTGTACTAAACGTTACCTTCGCGTGTCCTGTATCACTGGAACAGCAGAGTGTTGTGTCCGAGTCGACGTACTGCGTACCGCAGCATGTCTTGAGTGGCTGTTCCAGATACACAGCTCCTACAGTGTTGTTCCCACAGCACACAGCACTATCAGTCACCACAGCACCCCCACAGCACTTGTGACCGAATCGTATAGACAGAGTTCCTAGAACACAGGGATACAAGGTTGGTTTACCTCACCAACATCAACTGATGTTTGTGTATTTACAAATTATTGTCTTTATCTTGTTCCTAATACACAAAAATATTATGATGCTTGCCAAGTTTCCATTGTTTTTTTAAATGATTAGAATTGTTAAGTCTATGCTTTTCTGTTGAATGTTTTGAGTGAGTATGGTTTTATGCTGCTTTTAGCAATATTCTAGACATATCATGGGTGGGGCAACAGAAATGGGCTTCACACATTGTACCCGTGTGGGTAATCAAACCCGGGTCCTCGGCGTAACAAGCGAACGCTTTAATCACTAGGCTACCCACCACCCCATTGAATTCTTTGAATGGCATTTAGAAGAGATGAATATACGTCAAAGAGTTTTTGGATATCATTTTCTGATGATGTTTCAGAGTTAATTCTTAAATGCAATAAAGAGCCTAATAAACAAGACATGTTTGAAATATAATATCCTTCTTGTACATGAATCTCAATATGTCCCAAAACGTTTTAAAAACTGTTTTGTTGATGGCTTTTTAGTATGGACATCTTCATCGTCAGACTTAAAATCACATTGACCCTCTTGCTTTTTGGGAATATTGGCCTTGTAAATCTCTGAGACAAGGCACGTCATCTGATCTAGTCATTAGAAAGAGAATCAAGGACATATTGAGGTGGGTCAGTGTAATGAATAGTTACCAGCACAGCAGATCTGGGCCCCTGTAGATGAGTAGGGTACTGGGCCACAGCACTGGTCACCCATGCCGATGGACACACGGTCTTCAGCGCTGTCTGGACAGCATACCTTCCCAGGGCCTACTGCCACGTATCTGAAACATCACATCCTTCACTAGAGATGCTTCTTGAGGGTTGACCACAGAATGGTTAATCACAGAGTGACTGAATATTGTTTAAAATTGCAGGAAGTACATACTCGTTTGATGAGCATTCTAAACGATGGTGAGTCAATAATGATGCATACGTTTGTTTGTTGTTTAACGCTGCACTCAGCAATATTCCAGTCATACAGCCACAGTCTGTAAATAATCAAGTCTGGACCAAACAATCCAGTGATCAAAAATGAAGCATACAACTTTATGGATGTACATTGCATAGAGCACTGTTTCAGTGTAGATTCTTACAAGGCTATCAAGCTGAAAGTAAGAATCTACACCGAAATGTTTCTCTATGTAATAAGCAAGAAGTTTTTATTCATAAAGTCATATGCTTCATTAAGTACATAATCAATTTTGTGTCCAGCAAACCAATGAATGCCAGCACGTTCAATGATCCACTTTAAAATAAGCATTGTGTGCTGTGTCTAACATGTCATTCTGTTACGCAGCTACTGTAGCTCACCTTGTCCCACAGCATCTGAAGCCTGTGACTGGTCCATAGAACTTGCCACCACAGCAAACAGCATCCAGGCTAGGCTGACTCAGGTAACCCTTGCCACAGCAGGCATACCCAGGCTTGATGTCATGCAGGACCCCATCACAGCAGGTCTACTCATAGAGAAACATGTGTTCTTCTTATCCTTGCATAAGTAGTAAATTGTCATGTATTTAACCTATTTTGAACATCCTAATAATTTTTAGATAATTTGTCAAATAGACAGACCATTTTTTCAGCCATTTGGAAATATAACTTAATATTAAAACATGTTATAAATTTCGTAACTAAATATCACATTTTCGATATTGACTGATTTATATTGACATAATGATCATAAAAACATAGATGATATATTGAATATGATTTGTCCACACTTGAGTTAAGAAAGCTTTGCAAGGAATGTCAGTGCTTTACCTTTGCCCCAGTGTAGCAAGTCCCCCCACAGATGTTCTCCAGCACGCCACACTGGACATAGGTACACTTGGTGAGTTCAGGGTCAGGGTTTGGTTGTGGACTAAAACATACCACAAAGCAAAATAGATAATATCAGCTGGTGGAATATACAAACACTACATTGCATAGAGACTCACCATGCTGGATATAGCAGTATTACTTTCCTTTAACATCACTACAGTCCAAGACACAACATAGCAAGCACTAAAATGGATACAAAAAGGACTAAAATACAAAAAAACTTGGTGTTGCATAAACACAGTGGCAAGCACTCTGGTCATCAGATGAAATTTACCAAAAGATATTTCTCCAACATACTTAATTTCAGGGTACAAATAAAACAAAAATGAATAATTATATAAAGGCAGAGAAGCCATTAGTTATGGGTTCATGGGTATCATTGAAGAAGAAACTGATAGGGTACAGGGTCACAATTCAGCTGATTTGGCTGATGTATGTTGTGACATCCCACTTGTGTACATCGATGCTCATGACGTCAGTCACTGGATTGCCTTGACTCAACAGCAGTAACACACCTTGAAATTTGCTGAGTGCAGCATTGAGTTTGCTTGTTGTTTAGCACTGCACTCAGCAATATTCCAGCTATATGGCAGCAGTCAGTAAAAAGCTGAGTCTGCACCAGACAATCCAGTGATCAAAAGGATTGCATCTACACAGTCGGGATACGAAGACATGTGTCAGCCAAGTCAGTGAGCCTGACCACATGATCCCGTTAGGCGCCTCTTACGAAGTTTGCTGAAGACCAATTCTAACCCGAATCTTCACAAGTGTGCAGCATTAAATAATTAATTACCACCTCGACATTCACTTACACATCAGAGCATTTCCTCATAGTTTTCCTCCAGACATCGTATCTGACTGTGATGCCGTTGGGCTGTGTTGGGGCTGTCCATGTCACCTGCACAGATGTCGCACCCAGAGCTTGTAGGGTGGGGTCGGACACTCCCTGGGGTAAGGCTTCAGCTGTGGTTCCCAGGGCAATTGGACTCTGGGTGCAGTTGAACTGTGTACATGCTTCAGTCTGGAAATCAGAACATCATGAGTGAGAAATAACTGTCACAGATAATGGCCATAATTTTTCACTCAAAACATGTTGTTGGTTAATCCTTCATGGTCTAGCAAAACATGACAGGTCCATGGTTAATCCTTTCTATGGTCTGGCTCAGCATTAAGAGGATAATATAAGGAAGCGTGTCAGTGTAAGGACCTCCTAAGTCATTGGACAGGTCCACCAAAAGACGTTTGATCCCTATCTGTGATATAGTACAAAAAGACTGTCGGGCTAGGAGTCAGTATAATGTGTCTGAGTGGGGTATTCATGCTGCGGCATGGTATCTCAGTGGGCTAGCATTAAAACCATAAGTCTATAAGGAAACGTTTCGCTCTCATTGTATATGAGCGAAATATTCTGTACCGATGTAAAACCCAAAGTCATTGCTATAAATTAATAGTCAGATTGTAAACAGATTGTAATGGCCTCATTTCACTCAACCTAATCCCTAGTTAATCACACATAATCAAAAGCTAGAGATATTTTTTAATAACCAACTTCAATAAAACTAACTTTTCATAGTTGTATTTCCATTTTAACTCTACTTCAAAAGATGGTTGGGAGAACTGAAACAAACAGATGTCCAACCCCACGGTGCAGTGAGGTGGTCCACTCACCCAGATCCGATATACGGTGTAGGGTTGTAGTCCAGGGACAACAATGGATCCAGCAGTGGTTTGGTTGGTGGGGATCTTCGTCCGTCAATGAAGACATTGTAGGCTGTGATGTCACCATTAGGTGTCTGTGGATCCACCCAGGAGATCCGCAGAGTCTGGCTGCTGATGATGGCCAGCGTGGGAGTCAATAGTCCTGATGGTGCTGAAGATGGAGTGAGTGAGTGGGTGAGTGAACACTGTTTTGGGCCACAGTATTCCAAGAAACAATCAAGTCTGGGTAAAACAGTGCTTGATAATATGAACAATAATACACAGTGTTGACGTATACACTCCAAATTACAGGGAAAATTCAGCTGTTTGATACCCATCTGTGTTGCACTGAAAGCCATTAAAAAATCCCTGCCTGGTCTCAGCATTAGAACAGGGTCTAGGTGCTCAGAGACTGCACACCCATACACATACACAATACTTGTCCAATAAATGTGCAGTAATCATGAGTGCAATGCTAAGTCACTATTCAACTCAGCCCATCCTCATTGAATCAATTCTCACAAAAAAGAGCACACAATGTCATTGGGTTAAGTAATCTCATCAACACAAATGCATCCTGTCTTTCCAAGATTCTATTTGACACGTCTGGGATTCTTACTGGCTAACTAATTGTCTGACATACATTCTTACAAGTGTGTTAAGGATTCCAGTTTGCACTAATGGATTCTGTTTGACAGATTCTACGTGTCCTCATTCATACCTCCATCCTCTGTACGAGCCGTCTTGGCCTCACTTGTTATTGAAGCACCACCATATATGGTCAGAGTGAGCGTCACTGTATAGTCTGTATTGGGGCTCAGATTCTGCAGCAGGGTGGAGTTATCTCCCCCTGGCACCATGCGGCTGAATGGCCTGACTGTACTGGTGACGTCAACCTTGAAGATCTGTACCTCGCCCTGCAGCTCCTCAGGACCTGTAAACATCATCAAGCATCATCATATATCATAATGGACATTCCTGGAACTCTTCTGCAGCAGGGTTTCAGTCTTGTGAAAATGGGCGTCAGGACAACTCACCACAAATTTGGGGGTTGGGGGTTGTCTTTTTTTAATTTGGGGGTCATGATTTTTTAACCAAGACTATTTTGGACTGGCCAGGACCTGCTTGTTTGGTGTCAGATACACTAAGACTGCAGTAAGCAGTGAGTGAGGTTAGGTTTACACCTCTTTTAGCAATATTCCAGCAATATCACTGCGGGGGACACCAGAAATGGGCTTTACATATTGTACCCATGTGGGAAATCGAACCTGGGTCTTCAGCATGACGAACGAACACTTTAACCGATAGGCTACCCCACCGCCCCGAGACCGCATCTGTCGTGTAGTGGTTAGAGCATGTGCACAGAGAGCAGAAGGTCATGGGTTCGATCCCTAGCCACATCAAACCAAAAAGACGCGTTAAAATATGGTATTTATTGGTCCCTGCCTTGCTTCGGCATAAATGGGTACAACAAGGACTGGTTGGCCCGAGTCAATATAATGTGTCTGGGTGGGGTATTCATGCTTAATTCGGCATGGTATCTCAGTGAGCTAGCACTATAAAACCAGCTATAAGTCTGGGCTAGAACAAGCAGCCAAACATACACACGCATGCACGTCATCATATGAGCGAAATATTCTCAAGTACAACGTTAAACCCCATTTCACCTCACCCACTGCCCCGCAGTAAGTAGTAACAATTGAAGTGTAATCCCAAATATAAAATGTGTTATATTGACCACTTTTGAAGTGGCAGGCATTGTGTATTCATAACAACTGATTCACTTGTGTATAGTCATGCAAGTTACAGTTTGACGCAGTGAGCTATATATAGACAATGGAAGTTCTAAGTGTCTATTTCATGAAAAAAAATTCAGTCTCATAAATTTCAAGTTTGTAGATTTGTTTCAGAGAGAGCATTGTTTTCCCTCATAAAAAAAACTAAGCATATTGTGAGGCGACTGTGACTATAGTAACTGGTCTTACTCGGAACAGTCCACTGTACAAGGATAGACAGATGGTCCACGACACGCAGGGTCAAATTGGCCGCTCGGCGTGGGAAGCCACCAAACGTGGTGACCTCTGTAGATGCATTGCTCGTCTTCTGTCCAATATCGTTGAACACCGTGACCCGATAGACATACGTTGTGAACATGGGCAGCCCTCTGTCCTCGTAGAACAACCCTGTACCGGAGTATAGACTCTGCCACACGCCGACATCACTGATCGTGTCTGAAACAGGAACACTGATGCAGAACTTCTGCTGTTTTGTAGGACTAGAAACAAAAACTATTTTAAAGTGCATGTTCTACCAATAATTTTAGGTAGAACTTTTGTTTTATGGCAGCAGACATAGATCGTGATAAACAGCTTTCACGAAATATGTATCGCCCATTTAACATCTTATTCAGTATCGTCAGAAATCAGAAGTTCTCCGTACAACGTTTCATCAAATAGCTGTAGATGTAGGCATGATGCATACGAAAACCTTCTTAAAAGTGTGTGCCAGATACTGTATCTTTTTGCTTATAAAGCAATATTTTTTGTACCTATTATTGCAGGGATTTTAGTCCATATGATATTTTTGCAATGCCAACCGGCGTCTGATAGCCACTGATGTTTGACAATTGCCCAGCAATGTCATGGCAGGGGACGCCAGAAATGGGCTTCACACATTGTACCGATGTGGGGAATCGGGGTGTCTTCAGGGTGACGAGGGAATAATTTAACCTGTAGGCTACCCCACTGCCCTGGTCAAATAGAGGTATCCCAACACCCAGCTCTGATTGAAACATCAATGTTAATGGTGAGATCACTGCTAAAATGCTCTGTTCAAAATTAATTACCTAATTCAAGGTCACACATACTACAGTTTGGTTCATCTACTTGATAAATCACTAATGACTGTTTTATCTTCTATCTCAAAACGAGGAGTCACTATTAATAGAATTTTGAAATTTGTCAAATTTTCTGCCTACATGCTACTATTGACCAAAATGACTCACTGTCCAATGGCTGTCTAATCTTCTGTCTGGCCAGTTCATATGTGAGAGTTGGTCCGTTGGGCCGAGTGGGTCTCTGCCAGAGGATGGAGATCATGGACTGGGAGACAGCTGTTGGTGTCGGAGGCTGCTGACCGTCAGGGATATCAGGACTCGTCATCTTCGTCACATCGACACTTTCTGTGCAACCACCCGCTGTAGACAAAAACCAAACTTGTGTTATTCATATGATTCCATTGTAGTCTTGATATATAATTTGATAAAGTATTTCAGAGATGTTATTAATACTGTCACAGTTGTTCCCTTGCCTCACTAAGGGCAGGATTACACAGTATGCTGCACAGTTCACAAGCTTCCTTGTCCATCTTATATATGGTCAGTCTTTACTAATGAAGCTGTTGGCTGTACAATGTTTGTCTGTTGTTTAACACAATACACAGCAATATTCCAGCTGTATGGCGGCGGTCTGTAAATAATCGAGTCTGGACTAGAGATTTCAGTGATCAACAACGTGAGCATCGATCTACTTAATTTGGATACAATGATATGTGTCAATCAAGTCAGCAAGTCTGACCTCCCGATCCTGGTAATCACCTCTTACGACAAGCATGGTTTACTGAAGACAAATTCTAATCGGATCTTCACGGGTCTGTATCAATTAGTGCCATAGTAGAAGTGAAGTAAGGGCACATGGTTACATAAATCATAACGAACAACACCAAGATTAATCTGAATTCATACATTTTTCCTATGTGGAGAATCAAACTTTTGTCGCCCAATTTGCCCTAAAAGTGTTATGATTAGTGGTGTGACGATTCATTGATCCATCGGCCGCCGATACAGTGAATCGATGCAAAGTTTTACATTGTCGTATATCCCGATACGATACTTCAAATGGGCTACGGATACATCGATGTTTTACTTTGAATATTGCTGAATCGCGATATCTGTCACTTTTGTTTGATGATTAAGATATATGCATACTTATTTTCCCTTCATAAGTTTCTCAGAAATTCTTGCATCAGGAACTGTGTCAAACATAGCGCTCGCATTTTATTAACATTCACAAAGTCTATGAAAAAAATTAATTATCTCATTTCCGAATAAAACACTGAAAAACGCTGGTGGAATAATAATTTAAAATAGTTTTGTTTTGTATCTTAATGTGTTTTATAGTTGGTGTTAGAATTAAAGATTTTAGTATCGTGATACGTATCATATCACCATCCTTGTATTGGGATTCATATCGTATCACAGCTTAAGTGCAGGATACTTTGCCAATATTTCGTCGTGACTAAAATTTTAGTATCGTGATGTATTGTATCGTAGGTTGTATGTCAATACCAGCACTAGTTATGATGTTACCTTGGTACAGATGATGGTAGTATCCTCCGCTACTGGGTGTGTCTACTTACATGTACATGCTGTTAGGGTGACAACATACTCCGTGTAAGGTGTGAGGCCAGTAACGATGATGCTCATCTGGGTGACGTTGCGAACTTCCATGCGAGGTTCTGGCAGACGGATGATGTAGAACTCCAGTTTGCCATTGAGCTGTAGTGGCGTCTGCCAGGTGACGTTGATGGCAGTGGAGTTGAGTACTGTCACTTCCGGCGGGTTCACTCCGGCTGGACCTGGGGAGACATGATGGTCAGAATCAATACCCGGCAACTTCAAACATGGTGGGCAGGTAGCTTGATAACGGTGCAAGAATCACATGGGCCAGGTGCAATCAAACAGCAACTTCAACATGGTGGGCAGGTCAATACATGGCAACTTCAACATGGTGAGCAGGTAAATATCCTGACAACTTCATGGCAAGGTCAACATGGTGGGCAGGTCAATACATTACAACTTCAACATGGTGAGCAGGGGCAGGTCAATACATGACAACTCTCAACATGGTGGGCAGGTAAATACATGACAACTTCAACATGGTGAGCAGGTCAATACATGACAACTTCAAACACATGGTCAAGAAAAGACATGACAGGTCAACATACAGGTCAATACATGACAACTTCAACATGGTGGGCAGGTCAATACATGACAACTTCAACATGGTGGGCAGGTGCTATCTGGGTACAATGGTGGGCAGGTCAATACATGACAACTTCAACATGGTGGGCAGGTCAATACATGACAACTTCAACATGGTGGGCAGGTCAATACATGACAACTTCAACATGGTGGGCAGGTCAATACATGACAACTTCAACATGGTGGGCAGGTCAATACATGACAACTTCAACATGGTGAGCAGGTCAATACATGACAACTTCAACATGGTGGGCAGGTCAATACATGACAACTTCAACATGGTGGGCAGGTCAATACATGACAACTTCAACATAGGTCAATACATGACAACTTCAACATGGTGGGCAGGTCAATACATGACAACTTCAACATGGTGGGCAGGTCAATACATGGGCAGGTCACACACAACTTCAACATGGTGGGCAGGTCAATCCAACATGGGACAAACTTCAACATGGTGGGCAGGTCAATACATTCAACACAACTTCAACAATACATGACAACTTCAAGATGGTGGGCAGGTCAATACATGACAACATGGTGCAGGTCAACTTACAACTTCAAGATGGTGGGCAGGTCAATACATGACAACTTCAACATGGTGGGCAGGTCAATACATGACAACTTCAACATGGTGGGCAGGTCAATACAAGACAACTTCAACATGGTGGGCAGGTCAATACATTACAACTTCAACATGGTGGGCAGGTCAATACATGACAACTTCATCAGTTTCCACATGATGGGGACTATCGTAATAAGTCTGACACGAAGTCTGCCTTTGCTTTCAAGGCCCTGCAAAGCCTACACACATTTGAACACTGCCACTCATATATATTACAGGGTTATAAACTCAGGAGAGATTTAGATTTTTTCACCCATATCCTTCACACATTTGAACACTGCCACTCATACATTTCATAAATTGTCAAATTTCATAAATTGTCAAATGTAAAATACTTTTGGTATTTAAAAGGAATGTTACTTTGACTGATGATTTTTTTCCCTCCTGCCTTTAGGATTTCTGAGGACAAAATTCTGTAAAAAGAATTGGTCTGGCCTTATGGCAGAAATGTGAATTGTCATATCACATCATTCCTGTCCTGTCACATCTGTCTGTCTATCTAAAAAACAAAATGACTAAATGATTCATTAAATACAGCCTCATCAAACATTTTCATTTGGTTTGTATTTTCCCTTACGTGATGATTTGGTGGTGATGGTGGCCCAGGGACCGCTTCCCTCCCCGGCAGAGTTGATGACACGTATGCGGTACTGGTAGACCGTGAGCGGGGACAACACGGGAGATGCATCTACATGGGCAGGGTCGGCAGTTGCAGGTACGGTGACCACAAGGGATGAGCTGTCTGTGCCGTTCAGCCGTCTCTCCACGATGTACTGTTGCAGTAATCCGTTCGGGTTGGAAGGTGGAGTCCACGTTATCTGCACTGTCGTTGGTGACAGCGCTGTGAGGTTCGGGGCCAAGATGCCATCAGGGACTGAAAGCCAAGAAAGGCACAAATGAAAATACAGACATATGAACATTAAGTCAAACAGTGCTGTGTCAAACTTTGATGTGATATACATACATTTGTCTCAAAGTAAAAGAAGGCACCTTACATATTCCTTATTTTTCAATTGTGTCGAAGCTCCAAGTATTTATGTAAATGCCTTCAAGTTTGATCCAACAGTGTTTATGCATAGATCATGCCGATACCCTTAACTTTTCAATATATACCAGTAAAAAAAAGTAGGGGATATTGGATTTACAAGATTGATAAAATGCAAATGATGTAGGCAAGGAGGAAACAGATGATGTAGAGAAATTAAGGGAAAATGTTACAATTTATTCCATTCGTTTGGAAATATTTCATCTGTATGGATATATATTACTTGGCATTGGCATTGGCTAGCGGCATGCTCGCAAAACTGAATATCCCCTACTTTTTTTTAAAGGGTATATCTGGATCCCGTTGCAGAAGCCGTCATAGCAACAATGTGATTATAATTCCCAAACTTTAACAGAGGCTTATAACAGGCATAGCATGAAGATCACTTTGTGCATTGAGGCAGTGATACAAATACACGTCTTGGTTGGAGTAAAATTATGTTAAATGGTGATATGATTAAGAATTCAGTGTATATTACCCAAAGAAGTTAAAAAACACTTAATTTTCTTATAAAACGTTAGTTCACGAAATATAGTAATATGAAAACAAAGGGTGTTCTTTAATTCCTTTTGGGCATTTTAAGTTCTAATGCCTGGGAAATATACTAAGCAGCAAAAGAAACATCAGTTTGGAATTTTCCTTCACAGAAATGGATAACTGTAAACTCATTTAATGTTTTGATTGTATATTGTTGACAACATCTCCAACTTTACCTGAGCAAAGACATTCCTTCCCATACTCAGAATGGAACCCAGGAAATGGTCTCAAAAACGCAACCTGATCTCGAAGATGGTACAGTGTTCTCCATGTTTTTCATGCAACTCATGCTGCACGTGCTGTTCACAAGGACCAGCCCTATAAAATGCACCCCCAAACCTGGTTGAAACATTCACATTACAACGTCAGCAGGATGCCGCGACTCACGACAGCTCAGAGGAACCAGGCGCTAGGAAGACTTGAAGCTGGCCACACTGCACAAGCCGTTGCCAATCACTTCCAGGTCAACGTTCGGACCATCTACAGGCTGCAGCAACGTTTCTGGGCCACCAACACCACAAATGATCGCCCCCGTGGTGGCAGACCAAGGGTGACCACAAGACGACAAGACCGCCATGTTGTGTGACAGTATGTACAGAATCCCTTCATGCAGGCATCCGAAACAGCACGCCAGACAGTGGGAAGACACGGAAAACCAATCAGTACTGATACAGTACGCTGACATCTTATGAGTGGGAACTTCCATTTCAGTAGACCTATCCTCACCTCTCGTCATCGGCGTGAATGTCTACAGTTTGCCCTACAACACCAAAACTGGCGATACAGGCAATGGAGAACTGTTCTGTTCACAGATGAGAGTCGTACTGTGTATCAACTGCAGATGGCAGAACAAGAATATGGCGACGACGTGGCCAGCATTACTCAGACCAATGTGTTATGGAAGGAGACTCATGGGGAGGTGCAAGCATCATGGTATGGGGTGGAATAGGCCTGAACAAGAGAGTGGGTCCTGTGGTGTTCCAGAACCTTGGTCCAGGGAGAGGGAGGCGGCATCACAGCGGTGCGCTACATCGAGCAAGCACTCAGACCCCCCATGTCATACCACATTTCGCACGTCACCGGAACAACATTTTCCAGCATGATAACGCCCGGGCTCATACTGCAAGAGCTACACGGGACTTCCTACAGCAGAACGGTGTCAACATTATGCAGTGGTCAGCCCTTAGTCCTGATTTAACCCCAATTGAACATCTTTGGGATGACATTCAGAGGAGACTGAATAATGTCATACCAAGGTCGAACACAGCCGATTTATTGCGCCAGGCCTTTCTCAGAGTGTGGTTCCAGGTGCCATTGGCCTTCATCAATCGATTGGTGCACTCCATGCATAGACGCTGTGCTGCAGTTATTGTCGCTCGTGGTGGTCACACTAGATACTGAAGTCAAGAGTCTGAATGGACTGCAAACGTTCATGTAGTTCTTCATTGATGTCAAGATATCAATTTCTGTATTGATTTGAAAAAAATGTTTTGATCCGTTTGTTTTTATTATGTCAATTTCTGTAATGATTTGATTACAGTGCCTATCTAATTTTTAATTCGTATGATGTTTGTTTTGTTGCTGAATATACTGTAGGATTACAAGGGCCCATCATTCATGATATAAGGGAGAACCAGTTACAGTCAGAGAGTGAGTGAGTTTAGTTTTGTTGCTCAGTAATATTCCAATTCATATAAGGGAGTCTGTAAATCATCAGTCTGACCAGACAATCCAGTGATCAACAGCATGAGCATCGATCGAACTCTGGGAACCGCATGAGTGCACAACTGGGAACTAAGCCAATGAGCCTGACCACCCGATCCTGTTAGTCGCCTCTTACGTACAGATCAGAGATCTGTAGTTGTAGTTCTCTTGTAGTGCTCAAGATTATATATTATCCATCATTTTCATTGACATTGTACAAACCAATCCAACATGGAGATCTTGAGAAAGGAAGTAGGTGAAAGAGGACTTGCCATTGCAAGTTTGAATGGACAAGAAGAAATCCTTTCATCAAAAAGAGTTTTGAGGGATTGCACTGCCGACTCTATCAAAAGGACTGACTGTTATCTTGATATTTACTGACCCAAAACTGATACTGGTTTGTAACAAGAACTTTTATTGGTTCATAGTCTGAGTAGTGTTGCAATTCAAATCGGCTCATGAAAATCAAAGAAAGGAGACACTGAGATCATTAGAGTTATAGGAACCAAGGGTTAGTGTCTGTTCACCAAAATGCATGCCTTGAGATACAGAGGACGTTCCTGTATCAGGCTCCCTGTGTCCTGACTGCCTGCCCAGTGAGTCTGACATTTACCTGCTTGAAGCGTCCTCACTTGATTTGACTCAGCACTCTTGGTACACCCACCAATGGTGCATGCTTCAATACTGTACATGTAATACGTGAAAGGGATGAGATTGTTTGCTTGGAATGAAGTCTGGTTGCCAGGTAACTAGAAAGAAGAAAGAAAATGCAATAAGGCCAGACCAATTTTATTTCTTGTTTTACAGATTTTTCTCCTCAGAAATCCTAAAGGCACTAGGAAAAAATATAATAAAAATCACCAGTCAAAGTAATATTCCTTTTGAATACCAAAAGTATTTTACACTTGACAATTTATGAAATGCATATGGGGGAAAAAACAATGTAAAAACATTTTCTTGCACATTTACAGTTTTGGCCAATAGAATTTATTATTAAAATTTTATTTTTTTTTGAGCAGGGAAAATTATTATTTTCTTTCTTCTTAATCTTGAAAAATATGACCAGCGGATCCGTAAAAAAAAAGAAATAAAATTGGTCTGGCCTAAAGAAGTTGTCTATCCATAAAAGTGTTCCACTTCAATATTTTGCTCAGAAAAAATTGTCCTTTAAAATTTGAACCACATTCTGCATTTACAAACAGGGTTACATATATTGTCAAACCCAATTATCTCAAAGCCTGGTTCCTGGAATGGACCAACGCCTCAAATCTATTCTCAAGTCTTGATTGCCTCTCTGGTTATATATAAGAGAGTGGGTTCGAATCTCGGACCAGACTCAACACAACAAAAGTACTAGGATCTGTACATGTGCTACATCTCTGGTTATAGACTGCCAAATTAATTTTAGCTCACTGACTTACTCAGTTATGTTGAAATTGATTCAAATTATAGTAATCATATTTGCAAACATCAAAACGTATCCCTTGACCATGACAGAAACCAAATTCTGAAACTTCCTGGAACACTAACCTATATTGTGTATATAAATAATGTTACCATAAAAACATACTCTTTGAATGGTACTTAGAAGTCATACGCATAAAGTAGGGACTTCTGTTGGAATATCAGATGAAGGCACAAGAATGTACTCTGAAATGTACGTCACGATTTAAGGGGGAGATAACTCTTTAAGGGGTAGGGCATACTACCAGGGGAACTATGACTTTGGGATCGTTTTTTCTTTTCCATTTTTTTCTGTGTCTGTGGTAACCCCAGAAATAAGGCAACAATAATCCAGAGGGAATGTTTACGCCTAAATTGCATAAAATAGGGACTTCTGTTGGAATATCAGATGAAGGCACAAGAATGTACTCTGAAATGTTAGGGGCAGCATCGGCACGTGGGTACAATGTGTGAAGCCCATTTCTGGGATATTGTGGAATATCGCTAACAGTGACGTGAAACCCATCTCACTCACTAACTGAAACGTCATGTTCCTCATACATTGTATTACAGAAGGTGACATCCATAAAATGTCCCCTTTATCATTACAATTTTCACATTTACCGGTATGTTCATGACAACACTCAGGATGTTGTAGCAACTGATGGAATGTCTAACAGGAAACCTTTTTCACAAGTGTTCAAGAAAGTTATAAAAATTGGTTTCTATGTTGGTACAGAAAAGTAAGAAATAAGACACACAGGACAAAGGTCCCAGCCAAATGTCACGAACTCCCTTGTACTTACAGTGAGCCTGACTTGTCCGTTTTGGTAGAGTCTATATTCTCGGATGATGCCATTAGGGTTGAGGGGGTGTATCCAGGTGAGACTGATGTACCGAGCTTGGACTGCAGCAACTGAGGGTGGGTCGAGGCCGACTGGACCTGTACACCAGGTTACACAGATCAACTATTAGCACAACATAAGGAAGATGGTAAAACAGGAGCAGAGATGCCAACCCTGAATCTAAGGAAAACAGAGTCATGACTGGCTGAAATCCAGGCCTGGGCACCAAAGGTGCGAGTTGGGGATGAGCATGTGGTCTGCTCTGCCATTTTGTTTCACTTTCATACAGACTATGACATGCATTTGGAAAAACTTTGTGAAACTTCATCATCAGCAACACGAAATATACACAATTGACACCCAAAGGATCACACACTAAGCTTCTGAATGCTTGTACCAGTGTTCACTCAAATAAATCACCAGTGAAATTGTATACCGTGAAAATAAATTCAGAATTTTTTCTCAAAAATCGGAGAGCAGATTTTGCATTTGAAAATCAGAGTGGTTGGCATCTAAGGAAGATGGTATTTGTAAAACAGGAAGATAGGCTTGTTAAATCAAAGGCAAATACTGTCGTCCACTGGGTGGTAATTATTTTGGTCGGTTGGAGTACATTTATATGCTGATAAAGCAATTTTAATGTGTACAGTTTATAAAGGCGTACACATGAAGCTCTCATAGTTTGTGAAACTATTCAGCATGATAGGCCTTAAACAACAGACACTTTACTGCTTGAACTGTACAGTTTGTATGAAATTATATGCCACAAACGTAATTGAGAGTCTTGGAACTTGAGAATTTGCCTGTGCTGTAAAATAGATTGGGAACTTTTGCCACCACTTCATCAGGATATTAATAATACTGTCACATCTAAAAATCTAAAAGAGATTATATGTTATATCCTGATATAGTACTGGTAATTATCTCTGCCGGTTCCACAGATTGATGTAAAGCAGACAAATGTCTGCCATTTATGGATTTCAGTTCATTTCTTCAGATTTCTGTTTGATGGTTCAGTAATTTGGATCAGTAATTTCAGGTATTTCAAATGTTTGTGTCAAAAGGTTAAATGAATTGTCAGGTAAGCAGCATCAGTAATCATATCTCGTCAGTTGTACAGTGCTACCTGTACACTGGGGCTTTTCAGATCCATTTCTTTCAATTTTGATTTGAATAACAAAAAAGACCATATTTTCATTTTATTTTGTCATTTTGGTTTAACTTACGATCTTGTTTTGTGACTTGCGGAACCCAGTTGGAGAATGTGGATCCGAGACTGTTGAAGGCTTGGAGACGGAACTCGTACTCATTGAAGGGCAGCAGGTTCTGCTTCAGGTAGGTTAAGGTGATTGTTGGTCCAAACACACTGAACAGAAAACAATCAGACCAATAATAGACAATATTACTATCTGCAGTCAGCCTTGAATCCAAGGCATGACTTATGAAGTGGAGGTTGGAGTGAATTTTGCATTGTAATGTAAAAATGATTTTGATTACATTTAAATTTGGTAAAAGAATTTCAAATGTGTTTTGATTCCTGTTGATATTTTAGAGATCCAAATACAATAGAGTCTGAGTCTTTAGGTATCAACTTACTCTTGGATGATGGCAGTTGGTCTCTTTTCTCGGAACTGATTTTTTTCATGTTGATATCTTAGATATCCAAATACAATAGAGTCTGAGGCTTTAGATATCAACTTACTCTTGGATGATGGCAGTTGGTCTCTTTTCTCGGAACTGCAGGATATAGGCAGCATCTTCCTCCGCATTGACCCGTCCCACTGGCCGCCAGGTGGCCTTGATGGACGTGGAGGTCTCGGACACCAACACAGGGGGCTGGACACCATCAGGGGCTGTGGACAAACATGGAGGTTCAGTGTGCCGACCAACATGGTAGACCATTGTACTGGACAGTGTGCTGGCCTATGTAGGAGACCATTTTATCCAACAAACAGAGAGGTTCAGTGGACAATCTGAATTTTGTGACATTAGATATTTGTAAAAAGTAGTTTGGGCGATAGATAACTGGAGATGATATTTGTGTTCAATGTGTTGAAACATCAAATCACATCAAGCAATATCAATGAGCCCAAGGGGATTTGAACTTAAACTTGTAAGTTACAAAAATAATGTCAAGAAACAGACTGCATGGCCGCCTCAGCTGCTAACTCCTTGTGGGGAGGTCTGCCTATTCTACATTATAAGTTGTTCACTGGTCACGGTGGGGGACATGGGTTCATGTACCCTCTATGTTAATTTGTTTATGTTCTCTGAGCCTGAGAGGGTATATCAACCCATGGGGCCCATGGGACCAGTGAACAATATATTTATCTTACTGAACACCTCAGTGTTAATTTTCAACTGTTTGAAGCACGGGTATTGGATCATAACAAGGAGTACCGGAGTTAGGCAACAGCCCAAACACTATAAACACGAAGTACCAAACTAATTCCCACAGTTTGGCATTTCCAGCGGATAACATAGAAAATGTTACTCGCTGGTAAGCGGAGTACATTGATTGGCTCAGCCAATCAGAAAACGACATTCATGTGTGAGGTAAGATAAAATAATTAATAGCCAGTCTTGTTATGGAGATTGTGTGAGCTACTCACTTCCTGGTGGGAGGTCTGCCTGCGCGGTGGCGCTGAGGATGTAGCTGCGGGTGTTGGAGGCGTTGACCTGGACGGTGTAGCCGGACATGGGGATGAGCCCTGTGATGGTCACCAGCTGATACACCGTGGTGTCTCGATACAGGCTGCGACGTTCCCGCACTGTGCTGTAGTCCCAGTTTTCTGCCACAAAATATTAACCATTTCTCAGCTTGGTCAGTGAAAATATTACATGAATTCCCTTTAAAAATAATGTTCATTAGGCCAAAGATTAATCTTGTAACAGCTAAATGTTTTCAGAAAGAATACAGACCAGCCAGATGAGGTGAGGTGAAATTGGGTTTAACGTCGTGCTTGAGAATATTTCGCTCATATGACGACGTGCATGCGTGTGTATGTGCGGCTGCTTGTACTAGCCCAGACTGAAGCTGGTTTTATAGTGCTAGCCCACTGAGATAACATGCCGCAGTGAAACATGAATACCCCACCCAGACACATTATACTGACTCCGAGCCAACCAGTCCTTGTTGTACCCATTAATACTGAGCGCCAGGCAGGGACCAACAAGTACTATATTTTAACGTCTTTTGGTATGACCAGCCAGTTGATGAGCATCATGCAGTATGAACTACAGCATGTTTCCAGACAAATATTGAAACATAAAATTTGAGCTACACAAACACAAGTATGATATATACATTTATTATCAGATCAAATTCTAAACCACAGACTTTAATCTGTTCATGATTAGGAGGCAATTTGATATTGAAAGATGAAAGATCAGACATGGCTTGAAAAGGGACTACTGGAAAAGACAAGCTTTGAATAAAGTGATACCCTTTTACAATACACTGAGCTAGTTTGACTTAAAATTTCACATTGAATGTTTGGTTCCAAATTCAATTTAACACAGGGGTGGAAATAACTTTAAAATTGCTAGTGTACTCCGGTACAGTGGCACATGTAAAGTCACTTGCCCTGATAATGTTTCCTCTATACCGGCCGTTTTCTTGTTGATTTTTTAAATAAACAACATAATTAACATTGGAATATCAACTGGACACCGGTACAGTGTGATATACAAATTTGCATGCCCGACAGAAAAAAACACTGGACTCGGGCATCGGGCAATGGGTTATTTCCACCCCTGTAACAATGTGTAATCTCCAGGTAATTTTGCTCTATATTGAAAACACAGCATCTTTATCCCATAATTACCATGGGGTTTTAGATTTTTACCTGGATCCTTGTAGAAAAGCCCTTCAAAGAATACATCATAATACAACTTCCCATTCGGACTGGCAGGGGCTGTCCAGCTAGCGTTGACTGAGCGAGAATCAGCGACGATGACGTCCAGGAGCACTGTGCCAGCTGGTGGCGACTCCTGTGTCCGAGCTTGGACCTCCTCACTGAAGCCACAGCCGATGTTGGTGCAGGCAGCCACTTGGAATATATGGAGGCTGTATGGTTGGAGGCTACCAACACGGAACTCTCGAACCAGGGTGTTGGAAACTATGATGCCGTTCTGGTAGAGGTCATAGCGCACTATGGCACCTAGAAACAAACAGCAGTCCTTACCAGAATCATCAGGAGGTTGGAGCATGATGATCACCATACTTCAGGGTGGTTTCTGCTAACAATAGTTGTGTCCATTTCCACTAGCAAATCATTGGGTAATGTTAAACGTACCTACAGATCAACATCATCCTCAGGGTTAATTACATTTGTAAACAGCACTGTCACTGTGCCAACTATTTTGGCAGCCACAGACAGCAGTGAGCAATTTTAGTTCAGCCAATATGAAGTTGCGTATAGTGAGAAAGTACCGTTAGGCAGTGTATGAAATAAAGCCCGCCCGACCACCCGAGCTGGGTTAGATTTCACACGGACGGTCTAGATTTACACCTAGCCAGCCCGATGGTCTGGTAAAATATTTAAAGGTCACATAAACCCTAGGGGGTACAAATACATAAATCACTAACTGGCATCGTTATAAATGAAACCCCGTCATTAAAACTACTCATTTCGACCTTTAATTGACTTAAATCGACCTTTTTTACAACAGTGCACAATTCTCACCCGCGAACGAAATTTCAACCAATCAGAGCGTCGCGCCTCTGTGTCGTCATATGAGGAATAGCTTTGAGGGCCGATGCAGAATTCATCTACATTTTAGGGGTTAAATTATCTTGTTTACAGGCTTGTATAAACCTGAAATCGTGACAATTGTTGTGGAAAATAAAAGCTATATGTTCTCACAATCTACTGTCATTTAATTTTGTCTCCTGCTTTGCCTAGTTTCCGAGTTACAACTTGTTTTCATAGACGATTCTGTCAAAATCGATTGGTGTCGTTAGGCCCTATTTGTATAATGACTGATCCAAATCGATCCCATTTCTGTGTTTCTTTACCTCGTTATTTAATCATGTCATGTAAAAATCTGTTTGTATTCTCAAAACAGTGTTGGCCCATAAGTTTTCACATGCAATACAGCAATTAATACTCCCTTGTTGTAACCCGTGTTAGGTGGTATAAACCTACACATGTTATTTGTCATCATTCACTTGATGGTCAGTTAATGAATTTATAACAGGTATAATTAGTGGTAACACACTTAGATTACCCGACAAAGGTTCCCATTTGGCATTTCTTGTGTCTGGAGTAAATATTCAACATTATAAACATCGATCAAAGGATTAACCGATAACACGCTGATTGATTAATTACTTATATCTTACACAGCGGAATTGTCAAAAGGTAGTGTTTATGTATGTAGATTTACTAATCTACACTGAATACACTCTGTCGTGTGTCGGTGTCTGCGTAAAAACAACGTCCTTCTTTCAAAGGATTAACCGGCAATACATTGATTGATTGCCCATTATTGGCTAACTAAATTACTGTTTTTAAAGAAAGGCGGACATTACGCAATTAGTTGCCAGGTGTGCTATCTTGGGTGACCAGTGAGACTATACACCAATACCTGAAAAGATTTATCACTTTTTAAGTAAAATTAAACTGTTAAAAGACACATCATTTGGAACAGTTTTGTGGATATTGATGGATACATTCCTCGAACAAGGTAATGGCCTGATATTGTTCCTATAACTTTAATCTGTTTTAATTTTAATATTTGCTTTTTGATTTTATTCATTTGTCGTAGCATTCAACAGAATCATTGTTTTCGCCTTGAAGTGTAATGAGTCAGACAACATGCACTAGGGTGTGTGTGCGAATTATGATTCACATTGGCAAACTATAAAATGTCTAGATATTACAGTTCTATTATAAATCCACTATAAGTATCAGCAGATCGTCTGCTTTTTATTTAGTTTCAAAATGCATACAAGTATGATAATAAACTAATTAGGAATATAAGACCAAATATAAAGACGCACATTGACTAGTATCTACATACTGGTGAACGGACATTAACCATGGGAATGTAGCAAGAAATTTATCGTAGCAGTATTGTGACTTCGACCCCATCTGCGGCTTCTGTGGAAGAAATCGTTATGTTATAAGTTGTGTCATGCAAAATCAGTTTGGTTATGATTCCAATACATATTTAACTACGAGTAGAAAGTAGTCTTGATTATCTAACTTGATGAAACAAACTATAATCTCATTAATTCTAACAGATTTTTTATTTTTAAAATGGCGGCCCTATCGGGAACATCCGCCAGTCTGAGGATAAATGGTATTTAGGTTTGTTTTCACGAGTTACTAAATCAAAACTACTTTCTACTGGTAATAAAATATGTATTTTATTGATGGCCAATAGGATTTTGCATGACATAGCGTATAACATAACAATTCTCTCGTGGCAGAGGTGGGTGTCAATATAATACTACTTACAATATTATTGTTAGCCGACCACAACCTCACTTCGAGGAAGAAATCGTTATGTTACAAGTTGTGTCATAGAAAATCTTTATGGTCATCAATCATATACATATTTTACAACAACTAGTAAGTAGTTTTGATTCTTTAACTTCAGTGAAGCGATCTGAACACAAGTAAGATATCGTTTCAGGCTTCCACAACGCTCAACCGCACTCACAAACATAACCGATTTAGCACGAACTGCGGGGTCCTGTGGAAATCTGTGCATGGGGACACCATCGCCCGACCCCTAGGAGCAATTGACGACAAAGCAACGATTGGCATGTCATCGTTGATGTCGAGAAATCATCAAAATGATGAGCGTGCTACACATTTTCTATACAACTAACTGAAAATCGTTCCTCATATGACGTCACTGCAGTGCTCTGGCGACAGAGTTACGTAACCTGTCTGTGGTTTTAAGTTGGCGGGCGAGAGGGAAGCAGGCGCCTTTTTTGCCACTTTTAATCGCTCGGTATTAATTAACCTCAAGTTTTTAAAGAATAAATTTGGTGTTCCACATACGACTAACCACGAATCTTTCATATGTAATGGTTAAAAGAGTAACAAAAAACAAAGTTTAGTGGTTCTTTAAGATGTTATATACATCTGAGTCATATCTTGGTGTCTGGTCTGGTTAAATCCATTTTGGACTGGTAACATTTTGAAGTTACCAGTCCTGATGTCTGGCTGGGGTTCGGGCTTATTTCATACACTGCTTTAGGAAAATATTTAAAAGCAATTGCTGCACAAGTTAAACTTGTTAGAGAAACTAATTTCTTCATTTCTTTTAACCTTACTCCCATCAATGAAAGAAGTCAAAGTGCTCAGTTCCAAATTAAATTAACAGGTTGAAAACAGTTTCCAAGTAACCAAACCTTATTTAAGAGGCCTGTATCATGACCATAGGCCTATACATAAGTAGAGAATGATTAAAGTTCCCACAACTCACCATTTGGCTGCTGGGGTACAGCCCATGTGACAGAGAGTTCGGAGGGACTTGGGGAGGTGACTACGGGGACTGGGACGCCATCAGGGGCACTCTCTTCTGTGGTGACACTGCTGGGGTCACTCTGACGACACCCACCCCCTGTACAAGCCTGCAAGGACATAGTGTCATACAGTGTCATACTCATACACGGGGTGAATAGGATGGGCATTTGGAATGGTTATACTGCCTGACTTATTCTATGGCTTTTTGCAAAATATCCTGAATGGTACATAAAGAAGAAATAACATAGACATTATATTATGTTTTTTTTATGGTCAATGGAATCTGTAAACTAACTGACAGAAAGTTCTTGCTTTAGATGTCAACTGATTCCCTGTCAAACTATTGCCTTTCCTCCTAATTCTCTACTTTGGGGAAAGGTCGTCCTGTGATTTGTAGCTTCTGTTTGACTTGAAAAGAAATGAGTTATTTCCCATTTGATTCCCTTACTATCCACCCATGAAGTATACTGGACCCAGGAAGATTTGGGTTAGAAATGGTCTTCAGCAACCCATGCTTGTCTTAAGAGGCAACTAATGAGACAAGGTGGTCAGACTCACTGACTTGGTTGACACATGTCATTGTATATTAATTGCATAGATTGATGCTCATGCTGTTGATCACCTGGTTGTCTGGTCCAGATTTGATTATTTACAGACCACTGCCATATAGCTGGAATATTGTTGAGTGTGGTGTTTAACAACCAAAGACACCCATACTATCAATTGATTTGCTTGTCCTATTTCTCTACTGGGGCCAAGGCTGTTTGCCTTGTTAGTCAACAATTCACTGACTAATCAGAATTAAGCTATTTCCAAACTTCCTGGTAGAATTCCTACTGAACATCTCACAAATGTACAGTAATTATCACACATACGACGGGGAGTCAAAACAAAATAAAGCCAAGGGAGGCAACTCTGGAGTGCTATCAAAAAGGCGTACCACTAAAAATAGTATTGCCATTCAACATATCTGAGATGTGAGCCAAAACCCACACTCAAAACTTTAAACATTGTGACCCATAATAACTATTACCTAATCAATGATATGACAAATTACAAAAAGCACACTCTCATAACAATGTACAGTAATTATCTATGTGCCTGCTGTGGATGTTCCTTACCGCGAGTCTGATGTAGTAGGTGGTCCCTGCCGTCAGGTTGGTGATGATGTAGGAGGTGAAGGCATCAGAGTTGTTGTACACTTCCTGTCCGGGAGAACCTGCGTCCAGAGACAGGTACAGAATATATCTCTCCAGCATTCCGTTGATCTGCTCCGGTTTGCTCCACTTCACATCCACTCTATTTGTTCCTGGAACAGTCATTCGAGTGAGTCAGTGAATTTAGTTTTACATTGCTTTTACCAATATTTCAGCAATATAATGGCGGCAGGACGCAAGAAATGGGCTTCACACATTGTACATATGTGGGGAATCAAACCCGGGTCTTTGGCATGATGAATGAATGAATTCTTTAACCACTAGGTTACCCCACTGTCTTAACAACAGTTATTTGAAGACCACTGTCCATCAAACATGGAACTTCAGGTCCAGTCTTATATATTGGGTGGGTCAGTCTGAGAGAATGATAATGATAATAATAAGGCCACTTATATAGCGCTGAACTTCACGCTGCATGCTCTAAGTACATACAACATGCTGGACATTATTACCCTGGATAACCCAAGCTGACTGTGAGGCGCTAGAAGGTTAAACGTCATATGACTTATAGCACTGGGTACCCATTTTCTGTTGGGTGAGCAGAGGAAATTTTGAACAAACTCACTTGCCTAAGGTGAGAGCACATGTGTTTTGTTGTGGGGCAGGACAAAAGTCCTAGAAACTTTCAGGAGTCAAGCTACACAAACACATTCATCAAGTAATCTCTGTGACCAACAGAATCTGAGAGTTCCACCCAAAATAGGACAGTATCTTGTGAAGGGACATAAAAATAATACACATATTTGTGGAAGGTCATGAAAAATGAAAATTTATACCATTGATAAAATAAAATGAGTTTGCATTTTATCCTTGCCGACTGACCCACCTAGAGCAAGTAGTCGCGGTCTGCTGACAGCAGAAGGTGGTAGCTGGGCTGTACTGAGGACGACAGATGGACTCTCCATGCAGCCTGCCGCTGTGCAAGCTTTGATGTACAGAGAGTAGCCAGTGAAGACACGTAGGTTGGTTACGTTGAACTCCTTCCTGCCCCCGGTGTAGATGATCCTGTTGTCCATGTAGAGGAAGTAGCCTGTGATGAGACCGTTGGGCTTGGACGGTGGACCCCACTTCACAAGCAGGTATGTTGGTCCTGCCTCAGCAGCAGGGGCCTGAACGTTCTCAGGAGCTGAAAATGAAATGGTGGAAGTGCACAAGCCTCAGTAGCTCAATTTCATTTCTATGAATATACAGATTGAACATAAACTATTTACTTTAGATTATAAGGTTTCAGCATGAAAACATCACTAAAATGGAGTACATTTGATACGACATTAATTCATCAATAAGGAGCAGAATCTTCGTCTTTTGACTTCACTGCGATACATCAGCCAAACGGTTTCAGAGGAGATGAGTGTCAAAGACAAATCTTGTAAAAATATTTTATGGAGACAGTTGCTTGTTTCTAGTTTACCTTCTTCATCTGTGCGGATAGGAGCACCATCCCTACTCTCGGTGCAGCCCCCTGATGTACAGGCTGTGATCTTCATCAGGTAGTTGGTGTAGGGGATCACACCGGACATATTGGCTGGAATAGTAGAACACAACTGAAGACACTTATCTGCCTCATTCAACAGACGACAACCGAAGACACTCATCTGACTTAGTCAGGAGAAGACAACTGAAGACACTCATCTGACTTAGTCAGGAGAAGACAACTGAAGACTCTTATCTGACTTAGTCAGGAGAAGACAACTGAAGACACTCATCTGACTTAGTCAGCAGAACACAACTGAATTCATTAAGTTGTCTTTGTCAACAGGCGCCAACTGAAGACACTCACCTGTCTTAATCAACACTTGTGTCATTCTGTATTGATCAACCCAAAACACAAACATCAGTGTTTGTAGACATCACCATACCCATGCTTATATCCTGCATGATACCTTAGTGGTAAATATCTGCAGCCTCAGCCAACAGCTTTGTCATAGCCACACAAACATGCCAACTAGTCCATCATCATTCACACTTACTTCTAAGCACTGCTCATGTAAGTTTGTTTGTTTGTTTGTTTGTTGTTTAATGCCATACCCAGCAATATTCCCGCTATATGGCAGCGGTTTGTTAATAATCGAGTTTGGACCAGACAATCTAGTTATCAACAGCATGAGCATTGATCTACGCAACTGGGATACGATGACATGTGTCAACCAAGTCAGAGAGCCTGACCACCCGATCCTCATTAGTCGCCTCTTACAACAAGCATGGGTTACTGAAGATCAATCCTAACCTGGATCTTCACAGGTGGTTCGTGCAAGTATGATGTTGGGTACTGACCTCCTCTGGTCTCAGCATCGGTGAACTCCATGAAGACAGGCGCTACATTTTGGTCATCCTGGTTGTAGGCTGTCAGCACATACTTGGTCAACAGACCCGATGTACTGGTCGGCTTCAGCCAGAAGGCCTCAATGATATAGCCTGACAGGGCTCGAACCCTGGTGGGAGCTACCACACCCACTGGCGCTGAAATAACACACAACAGCACATAATAAACACAGTTAAGTTTTACATTGTCAGTAAACATATCCAGTTAAGGGAACATTTGTTTTATGATGTCAGTATTTCAGTGTTCTGTGATATATCTGTGATAACACTGTGACCAATCAAAATGTCTTCACTAATTAACTTCTTTTGTGGTAAATATTGAGAAATATTTTATTTGTTTTAATTTGGATAGCACCAAAATACAGCCAATCCGCTGCTCGATGAAGTTTCTTACACCGTTTTCAGCTTATCTGCATGGAAACATTCCTCTTTACAATAAACTAAAAGGTATTATCCACAGAGTTGTGGTGGTGTGTGGTCCTGTGCACAGAGCGCAGGTCACGAATCAGTTGAAGTTAAGCAACGGCAAGCTCAAACAGTCCTTGGATGGGTGACTGTGTTTGACAGCTTGACTCCTGAGAGTTTCCGACCTGCCCCACAACGAAGCACATGTGATCTCACCTTAGGCAAGTGAGTTTGTTCAAAATTGCCTCTGTTCACCCAGCAGAAAATGGGTACCCGGTTGGATAAAGTCATGTGACTATAACCTTCTAGCGCCTAACAGGCAGCTTGGGTTATCCGGGGTAATAATAATCAGGGTGTTAGCACCTTGAGCATGCTTTGTTTAGCGAAAATTTAACCAAACCTGCAGAGGTTTTCAATTCTTTGAAGAGAGTCAGTCCTTGGGGTACATATTATGCATTTTCCGGCTGAAAAATGTCCTGTGACAGTTGTATCAATGTTTTTGAATTTTCGGCTGAAAAATGTCCTGTGACAGTTGTATCAATGTTTTTGAATAAAAGATTGTACAATAAATAAACTCTTTTATTTATTATCACGGACCCTACCTCACGGAGTTACCTCCCTTAAGCATGCGCACCAACTGGGTAGGCTCCTAGACCATTATCATCATTCCTTCTGCTGAATTCTTATCAGTGAACAGAATTGCGGGGAGGTGGGAGGCCCTACCCAAGGGCGACTCTCTTCAAAGAATTGAAAACCTCTGCAGGTTTGGTTAATTCTTTTCAGAGAGATCGTCCTTGGGGTACATATTATGCATAAACACAGACTCCCAAAGACCGGAGGCCAGGGAGGAGGAATTCTGTCCAAGCACACTCAAAATATAGCGATCATTATCATGGAAAAAAATTGAACAGGCGCCATAACACTCACCTGTCACTTTCGACCCAGTTTAAGCTTCGAGAGGCATTATGGGAGGGAACTGACAGGGAGGATTTGTGCTCAAAGGCGACCTCTAGCATAATGAGACATTTGCGTAGTGCGAATATCAGTGAAATCCGACCCACTAAGTGGCTTCTTTCATGAGAGCACCGTGGGGAAAACAAAATACCACTCACTAGCGATACAGTAACTCCGTAGAGAGAATCGAAGGGGTACAGGTTCTCTGAGTGAGCTCACATTAACAGACATGTCAATAATGGAATCTTATTGTACAGTAGCGTCAAAACAAACCAATAAACCAAGACTCACTTTCGGTCAGGGTGGCAGGACACTGTCCACTGGAGAGAACAATGCGACCAAAGTTTGCCGCGATTACGGGAATGCGTGTCGAGCTGATAATGGCGTATAAGCGTGCTTGGCGGCTCCAAATAGCGGCAGAGCAGATCTCTTCAATGGGGAGTGCCGATGCAAAAGCTTTTGATGCGGCTACTGCCCTGACCGAGTGAGCCTTCAACCCCTCAGGGGAGGCTTGCCCTTAGCCTGATAAAGCGGCACAAATACGATACTAGCCAGCGAGACAAAGTCTGCTTGCTGGCTGGCAGACCAGCCTTCCCGCCACCGTAACAACAGAACAGCTGGGTACCCGTACGGATCCCCTGCGTTAGTTTGATATAGACTTTGGCGTCTTCACGGACATCCAGCGGGTGAGTGCTGCGTAGGAGTGGTCCCGATGTGGAAGGCTGGGTAAGAGTAGGAAGTTCGATAGGAGCTGTCACATGGAAGCGTGATCGACCCCGATTCGGTAAAAAAGTATCTGGGAGGCGAATACTGACACGATCCGTGTGAAACACAGTCAGCGCCGAGGTCGGACGACATAGCATGTAAATCGCCGACTCTTCGACCAGATGTTACGCCACCAGAAAAACAACTTTCCAGGTCAACAACTGAATGGAAATAGCCGATAGGGTGTGAAAGTGGGACGGACAGCCAATCGAACACGATCGACAAATCCCAAGGTGGACTGGTTAAGCCTGAGAGCAGGTCGAATCCGTTCAGCGCCAGCTGGCGCTATGCGAGGGTGCTGCCCCAGAAGAGCACCATCGACAGGGGTGTGAAAAGTGGAAATAGCGGTGGAGTAGCAGCGAATGGTGAAGCCGCCAGGCCTTCTTCCAAGCGAGCTTGCAAAAACTCCAATACTCGGACTAAATCCGCCCAGAAAAGGGATCTGCAATCCCCTTATCTGAACACCAGCGGCGCGCAAGCGGGACCACCTATCCTCGTACTGAGCGTTTGTCGAATCCGCCTCGAAGCCAGAATTGTGTCTGCAACTGCTGCAGGAATTCAGCGTGCCTCGAGGTTAGACCTGACAGAGGCCAAGCCACCCACTGAATCCGTGGATTTGGGTGGAAGCTCCGTTCTGAGTGAGAATGTCGGTCGCCAAAGGTAATAGAACAGGAGGCTGAGCCAGAAACCTGAAATTACGGAAACCAGCTCTGTGGCGGCCAAAGCGGTGCCAGTAGCACAAGTAGCCGAGCTGGCTGGGTGGACAGCTAATGAAAGGACCACGGGGAATGAGTGGTATGGCGGGGAGCCCAGAGCACTTTGCCCGTCCAATCCAGCAGGAAGGCGTCGGCAGCCAGCGCCCTCTGGTCGGTATCCGAGAGCAGAACACGGGTGTCTGATCGTCCCGCCCGGGCGCAAACAGATCCACCTCGAGCGACCCGTACAACTGGGAGATTACTGTGAATATCTGCCTGTCGAGCATCCACTCGTCGCGGGGCCAGGATCCGGCGAAGGCGCATCTGCTCGCCGTTCTCCAGCCCGGGGAGATAAACAGGGAGTACCTGACAATGCGTACTGAGTGGCTCCAGAGGAGAAAGTCCCACGCTTCCCGGGCGCTGGGGACACCGTGCCTCCCTGCTTCAGGATGTATGCGACATGGCCGTCTGGTTGTCTAACTGAAGGCGGACTACCTGGCCCGCGGACATGCTCTCTGAAGCTTTCGAATACCAACCGCACAGCTCTCAGTTCCAACACGTTGATGTGAAGGTGAGCCGACTTCGGACCAGAGTCCGGAAGCCGACGAACTGCCAAGCGCCCCAGCCCGTGAGGGGCGCATCTGTCTGAACTGTGAGAGCTGGCGTCGGGATTTCCAAGGGAACCCCTGGTGAGATTCCCGACATTTGTCCACCACTGAAGGTGAGGTGTCAACCACTTTCGGGGACTGTGAGACTGCGCTCCAGATCCTCCGTGTGAGTCCACAGCCGAGCCAAAGCTTGCTGTATGGGGCGCATCCTCAAGCAGCGCCGCCACACTACAGAGATCGTCGCCGCCATATGGCCCAGTAGGCGGAGCCAAGTCGTGCTGGTGCCTGGGGCTGGGAGAGGAATGAAGATACCATCTCGAACTCTGGTGACCCGGTCGGGCGACAAGAAAGCGAGATCCTTGTTCGCGTTTGGAATCGCTCCAAGAAAAACCAAGTCCTGGGTGGGTACCAGGTCGGATTTCTTGAGGTTGATGATCCACCCCAGTCGAGTTAGAATGTCTATCACTGTGTGAGTAGCATCTTGACTTCGCTGGCTGTGTTAGTGCTCGAGCAACCAGTCGTCTAGGTAAGGGTAACAAGCGCCTTCCTTGCGCGGCGAGCTAGGGTAGCTGGGACTAACATGAGCTTGGTGAACACCCTTGGGGCAGTCGATATGCGAAGGGAGCACCCTGAATTGGTAATACATCCCGTCGTAAAGAGAGAGCGAAGGTACTGCTTGAGCGAGGGATGTATGGGGGTATCTGAATCGCATCCTTTAGGTCGATTGGCGTGAGCCAATCGCCGGGCTGGTAGATGAGATCACCGGCGCAGTGTCTCCATCTTGAAGGATGGTACCGAGCATCGCGATTCAACCCCTTGAGGTTGAGAATCGGACGGAACCCGCCGTCTTTCTTCGGGACGAGGAAGTGCGTGGAAGTAAAATCCCGCCTGTTCCTCTCCGGTGGAATGCATTTCGATTGCGGACTTGTCCAGCAGAGCCTGAACCGTCGGCGCAATATGTCGCCCTGGCTGGCATGGCGGCACGGAGTGCGCGTATGCGGTGAAGTCGAGGCGGACCTCGCTTCCACAGTGGGAGATGGCCTATGCTGACCGTGGCCAGCACCCAAAGCGTTGTTGGTAGCCTTCTCCCATTCCGGCAGGAATAGAGAAGGCGACCTCCCACTGGGATATGGGGTAGGAGGCGTCGTGTGGACCCTAGTAGCGGAGCTGACTGGGTGTGACACGCGGCTTGGCGGCAGCCTGATGGGTTAAGCGGGGAGGTGGGGCAGACCTCCAGCGCGCAGCGAAAAGGCTGGGAGCTAGTCGAGGACTGCTCCTTGCCCCCTACCCTTGGCGGACCTGTTCCTCCGCCTACCCTACCAGCGGCGAAGCCAGCCCGGCGGACTTCGGGTGTAGGCTGCACCCGGCGGAGGAAGGTGGCGCGGGCGGGGCGAGACACCCAGCGGGTGCTCCAACAAGGCCTTAGAATCCTTGAAGGAGGTAGCTGCAGCGGCAGCCTCCCGTATGACCTGCTGGGCCCGGGGAAGAGGGCGGCTCCCAGGCGGAAGGGAGAGCCAGCAAGGTCTGCTGTGTTGCTGCCGGTACCTAGGCGTCGACAGCCACAGCCGGCGCATCCCCATGACTGCGCACATCACCGTCGGCGCAGCAGACCGCCAAAGAAGTCGGCGAGGTGAGCCTGCACTTCCAGCTGGCGAGTAGCATACGACATCGCGGCGACGCGTCGCCAGCATGCCCCTCCGCCTCCAGGGCCGACCTCTGAACCGAGGTGAGGTAGGCCTCATGGACCACCACCGCACCTGCTGCATCGGCGTTCCGGTAGACCTCCTCGTAGGTCGATGCAGCGTGCGCAGAAGCGCCAGCGAGGCAAAGGTGGAGTTAAGCCCTTGCCGAGCAGCGGGCTGCTCGGAGGAAGCCGAGCCTCCCCAGAGGCGGCGGAAGTGAAAACACGATGCGTCAACAATCGGTACAACGAACAGGGAATCCTCCCCAAGCTGGTAGCGCCCGCCGCGAGTTCAGGTAAGTCAAACCTTACTTTCGGGCACCAGACAGAAGGGGATCGACCCGTCCGAGACCAGCGATGGCAGAATCGCGGAGCTGCGTCTGTGAGGGTTGCCTAGGGGCAAGCGCCTCGCCAGGCAAAGCGGAACTCAGTCGAGTCCGCGCTACCAGCAGGCACAGCGGCCTGGGGTAGGCCCTCGGCAATTCTCTGCGGACCTCCCGCCAAGGCGAAGCAAAGCGGAAGCGCCCGTCATGCTCCTCGACCTCCCCAAGCTCCATTGCCTCGGCGTCCGAGGCCGAGTCAGAGGCTGGGTCTCCTCCGTAAGAGGACCCTAACCCGACCCGGTGGACTGCCTAGCGCTAGGAACCACAGGAAGGGAAGAACAGACAGACTGCTCCCCGTCAGCGCCAGCGGCGTCGTGGACCCGGTCCCGAGGCGGCTGGAGGCAGGCCAGGCAGAACTGGTGCCTCGGCTCTCATCAGGGGCGGGTGTGCGCAGGACGGAATACCAGGAATACTCAGCGGCCCTCGCGCGAGCTCGAGAGGGACTGGGAGCCCCTCCCTCTCCGAGGCAGCAGCCGGCGTCGGATCGAAGCCAGAGGCAGCGGATCTACAGGCGCCTCAAGGCCGAGGATCGAGCGAGCCAGCGATCCCACCCCGGACTCTCCGCCCCGTCCGGAGTGGGTGAGGAACTCCTCCTGCGGAGACCTCCAACCCGACTCCACGAGCGAAGGACTTCGCCGAGTCCATCTGCTGCTGAAACATAGACTCCATCAGTGACATGTCAAAACCACTTTCGAAGTGGCAGGGAGGGGAAGGGCCCCGGGATTTTTTCCCTTTTTGACACTGCGTTTGGACTTAGGCGGGGAACCTGCGTCAGGTCCCCTCCGCCTCCGCATTTAGCGATAGAACAAGGTGTCGGCAGCCCGCCTCTTCTGGGCCGGGGAAAAGGCCAGACAAATAGGACAGGAGTCAGCCTCATGGCCTGTCTTCTCCAGACAGGCCCGCGCCAGCTTCGTATGACTGTCGGCCCGGGGATACTCCCCTCACAGACCGAACAGCATGAAAAGGCCTGAAACAAACGCATAAGCGTGTTTAGTGAGCGGCGACCAGCAGCATATAAACCGTAGAAAACATTGAAAACTTCGTGAAGGTTACCCGCGGAAAGTAATAGTTGGTTTTATCGCCAATATTACGACCACATGCGCGCTAAACTTCCCGCCATGGCAGAGCAACACGTCGCGTAACCAGGGAAAGTTCAGCGTATTTAGTATTAATACAAAGTCACAATTATGAAACAACCAACTGTAAAGCTTTACTGTTCTTGTTTTAGACAAATAAAGACCATACATACAGGTGGTGTCTCAGACATATCGTTTAACAGCGCCGTGCGGCTCATGAATGGGTTATCAAACCGTCTGTTCCGCGGCCGTGACAGCAGAAGGAATGATGATCACGGGTCTAGGAGGCCTACCCAGTTGAATGCGCATGCGCTAAGGGAGGTAACTCCGTGAGGTAGGGGTCCGTATAATAAATAAAAAGAGTTTATTTATTGTACAATCTTTTTATTCAAAAACATTGATACAACTGTCACAGGACATTTTCAGCGGAAAATGCATAATATGTACCCCAAGGGCGATCTCTCTGAAAAACGCTGATCGAAAACCGGTATTTTGACATGCATTCAAAAACTTCGTAACACTCTTCGGATATTTCCGTTTGTTGAATTGTTCTTTTCCCTGTTTCATTAGTGCCAAATGTTACTTACATTTTTATTTTGTCATGATTAAAAGTTTTTATTAAAGGTTATCAATCTTAGTGATTTTGTTGTGTTTTTGCTTTATAATCAAGCAAAACTCGATTATAAGTAGTTTTTGTTATACATATCACAATATATGCTTCCGCATCGCAATATATCGCAATATGAAAATTCTCTGCAATACCCACCCCTATGGATAGGGTCCCTGATAATTTATAACAGGGGCAGGGTCGGGAATGGCTGTCTCACAGGTTTTGCTGCACCAATGTACTGGAAGTAATGACCTTCCCCAAATGCTTGTTTCTCCACATGTTGTACTTTTTTTACTCCTCTTTGTGTGACAAATTTCAAGCATTATATATGTTAATACAAAATGTTCAATCATTTTCTTACCTTCTCCAAATATTTCTATTTTTTTATTATAACACTTCCCTAAGACTGTAATATTTTTTGTTGACCCTCCAATTATTGCATTTGACAAGTAATAATAAATGAGCAGGTCCAAATATTGTGAAATAAATAAGCCATGATTAAATTATAACTTACATGCACTGCACACACTTAAGCTAGAAAATTTGATTATCTAGAGAGCAAGACGATCCGACAAAGCATGAGGCACATAATGAATGAGGGTCAGATTCAGCCATTTGTTTTGCGACATTATTATAAGTCCTAATGGTGGGAAAATCTAACTCCTCACAAGTAAAGCAATTGCAAAATATACTACAATATAATGCGATGGCTAGAACACACCAAATGTGATTCCACTAACCGATACACTTGATATTCTCACTTGTAAAGACTTTCATATATATTTCTCTTCCACTTCTGAAACGTCGGCACGTGAACCATACAGACACAATTATGAGGGCTTGGGGAAAACAATGCTGTGACACCACGGCTAGGGGAGATAACTGCATCACTCTTTAGGCATACCACTAAGAATAAGTATGACTTAGTTTTTTGAAGAGAACTTTTTTCTCTTTCATTTCTGTATGTCACTGTGATACCACAGGAAACTGGCCAACCATAATCCAGACAGAACGTTTACGACATAGTTTTATAACTTACACTTACATGCACTGCACACATCTCGACTAGAAAATTGGAATCATCTCCATGACAAAACTAAAACATAAGCCACTCAAAAGAAGTTAAGGACATCTGATTCTTTCATATTACTATAGTTGAATCAGGTGGTCCTTCTCTTGAATGATATAGTGGTCTGAGTGGTCCAATCACCTGTGTATGGCTGTAATCCTGAGTCGTATGTGACATTGTCCATGCCCTGATACAACGTCGTCACCAGTTTCTCTTCACATGGCTGGTCCGGCTGGCTGAACGGAGGACACCCATCCATGTTGATGTTCATTACGTCAATGGCCTTCAGAAAGTCATAGGGATAGATGCCTACCTTGAAGTCCGCAATACACCCTCCAAATGCTAAAAAATTATTCAAAGTTTTGCACTAAACTCAGGTCTTACATCAACATTAGGGTAGTTTTCAGCATTTGAAAGTTGGATTCAAATTGTTCAAATATTTCAACGTCTTCTAATTCCATTCTTGTGACAGATAACAACAAAATGTGATGACGCTAAAATTACACAGACACGTTAGATACACAAGGAGACTTATGATTTGAAGAATCAGGTTATTTCAGTTTTAGGCATATTTGTATAAAAACTTCAATACTCACTATATGCCTGAGTACTGCATATGTATTTAAGTGTATAGAAACATGTACTGAACATTTCCCAAACATTTACCTAAATAAAATGATTCATTAATTGCTGTTTTATAAAGCAATGCTCATGGCAAATGAAAAACTAGCAAATGTGTTTTATGTCAATTGTTACTTCTGTCATAGAAGAAATATTAGTCATATCATATTCTAATTAGGCCAGACCAAATTTATTTCTTGTTTTACATATTTTTGTCCTCATAAAACCTAAAGGCAGGAGAGAAAGAAAATAAACATAAAATCACCAGTCAAAGTAATATTCCTTCTAAATACTAAAAGTATTTTACTTTTAGCAATTTATGAAATGTATATGGGGCAAAAAACAATCTTAAAAATATTGTCTTTCAAGTTTACATTTTTGGCCAATAAAAACATTAGGATTGTATTTTTTGAGCAGTGAAAATTAATTTTTATTTATTTGTTCTTATTCTTGAAAATATACGACAGCAAGATCCAGAAAGCAAACAATAAATTTGGTGTAGCCTTAAGTTGATGTACTTTTATAACATGCCAAATGACATCCCTACTACTACTACTACTACTACTACTACTTACGTTCTGTGGGTAGTGGGAAGTTGTTCTGTTTGATGAAAGTCTCTTCTTCTGATCCAGACTTAATTCCACCTAATGATATGGGAGACGTAATTGGCACAGGAAGCGATGCATCAGGGTCCCCACGGATTATGTTGGTACCATCCGAAAATGTCACGTTGGCTTGAAGTCCAGTTTTTCTGAAAACCACATTCGTCCAGCTGCCGTCACAAAGGTTGATGGTGTTACTGTCAAAGAGGACAGTTGTTGTTCTCTGGCCATCACTGAACTCGAAGCGAAGTACACCTTGTATAAGCCCAGCATACACATAGATCCCAGTACCGCCATGCACAAAGAACAGCAGGCCAGTGTGCATGGCTGTTCGAAAGGACAGGGACACTGTGAAGCTGTCAGCCCGTGATGGCGAAGTTGAAGAACTGATTTATTCTCGCATAGCCTAGAAAAGATAGAACATTCAAGATGTAGCACAATATTTAATAACTAGACTATTTTGCATAAGTCTCATGGATAAATATCACCTTTGCTTTGTTGTTCACAGTCAACTGGTAATTTTGATAGTTCTCAAAAATATATTTCTGTGATATTGTATATGTCTTGTTAAGAAACCTTGGTGACGTCATCGCCCATTGATGTTGGATTACTGATGTTGTCTTGTTCAAGATTGTCCTCTATGAGATAATTTAGCAGATATATGAAAACATTTATCTATTCTGTCCTGAAACCCTTAAAGACAATCTGAAGATACACTCTCAATATCATTCACGCCACTATAATAAATGAACATCAATTTCAGATTCCTGTATTGTTGCTAACAGGTATAAAATTTCATTCACCTTTGCTGTTGTTTTTCCTACCTTTGCCCATGAAGTGAACACCTTTATCCAGATTGATGGGGCATCCCTCCCAGTTGAGGAAGGCGAGATCATTGGCTACAGCATCCTCCCACTTCAGCTTATGCCAAACCTCCTCTGGGAACTCCTGTTGCAGGATCTCAATGTCCTTCAGACAACCCTGGAAGCCTGTGGTGACAATCTGCAGATACAATATAACATGTCAGTGTCCTTCAGACAACCCTGGAAGCCTGTGGTGACAATCTGCAGATACAATATAACATGTCAGTGTCCTTCAGACAACCCTGGAAGCCTGTGGTGACAATCTGCCGATACAATATAACATGTCAGTGTCCTTCAGACAACCCTGGAAGCCTGTGGTGACAATATAATGCAGATACATGTCAATATAACATGTCAGTGTCCTTCAGACAGTCCCCTGGAAGCCTGTGGTGACAATCTGCAGATACATATAACATGTCAGTGTCCTTCAGACAGCCCTGGAAGCCTGTGGTGACAATCTGCAGATACAATATAACATGTCAGTGTCCTTCAGACAACCCTGGAAGCCTGTGGTGACAATCTGCAGATACAATATAACATGTCAGTGTCCTTCAGACAACCCTGGAAGCCTGTGGTGACAATCTGCAGATACAATATAACATGTCAGTGTCCTTCAGACAACCCTGGAAGCCTGTGGTGACAATCTGCAGATACAATATAACATGTCAGTGTCCTTCAGACAACCCTGGAAGCCTGTGGTGACAATCTGCAGATACAATATAACATGTCAGTGTCCTTCAGACAACCCTGGAAGCCTGTGGTGACAATCTGCAGATACAATATAACATGTCAGTGTCCTTCAGACAACCCTGGAAGCCTGTGCTGACAATCTGCAGATACAATATAACATGTCAGTGTCCTTCACACAGCCCTGGAAGCCTGTGCTGACAATCTGCAGATACAACATAACATGTCAGTGTCCTTCACACAGATACAAGATAACACATCAGTGTCCTTCACACACTGGAATGCTGACAATCTGCAGATACAAGATAACACATGTCAGTGTCCTTCAGTGACAACCCTGGAAGCCTGTGCTGACAATCTGCAGATACAATATAACATGTCAGTGTCCTTCACACAACCCTGGAAGCCTGCTGACAATCTGGAACACAGCCCTGGAAGCCCGTGCTGACAATCTGCAGATACAATATAACATGTCAGTGTCCTTCAGACAACCCTGGAAGCCTGTGCTGACAATCTGCAGATACAAGATAACATGTCAATGTCCTTCAGACAACCCTGGAAGCCTGTGCTGACAATCTGCAGATACAAGATAACATGTCAATGTCCTTCAGACAGCACTGAGGCCTGTGCTGTCAATCTGCAGACACAGAATAACATGTCAACATCCTGCAACAGCTCTTGATATTTAATTTCAAACTAAAGATTTTCTTGACAAAAATGTCCAGGGCAATATGAACATATACACACACTAAATCTTACCCCAGCATTTCTGTCGTTCAGTTTGAGAAGCTGGAAGTCTGCAGGGAGGCCTCCCACATATACCCCAGTTGTCTGCCCGATGATGGAAGTGTTCTTACAGTTCTTGTCCCTGACAGGGCTGTTACCTAGGCGACGGATAGATACAAGGATGAAACAATACAACCATGAGTACTATGGCATTAGAATATTTACAGCAAAGAAGGAAAGTTAAAATCATTAAATTAACCCAGATATTTAAAAATTCATTACAAGAATCAGCAGTACATGTGCTTCAGGAGGGAAACCAGAATTATCATTTACATATGAGAAGGTAAATAATTAAAATTGGAAAGTACTAGGTATGAAAGAATGAAACAAGTAGTGAGGTATAAAAATATTTTCATGGATGTATTTATAATCCTCCATATTTGTTATACAATGTAAAACAAGCTAATACAATGTCTACTGAATTTCAAAAGAAACGCGAAAATAAGGCATGAATTAGGGGTGAAGTGATGCCAGTATTGCCACCTCCCAAGACTCTGAAATGACATTACCAAATGGAGCAATATAGTGATGTCTTTTTGACTTTATCACAAAACATATCTGGTAAGGAATAAGTGTATTTATTCACCACTATATCACAGTTTTACGTGATTCACGTTTCTTTTGGAACTGAGTATATGTACAACGATACAACAGAAAATATGTCCCTATATCATATAGAAGATATGGAGCATTAAACATTTACAAATTTCACATAAAACATTACTATATATACCATATATACATGAACAGGATTAAAAGCTGAGATGCAGGTGACAGTGAAGCTGATGCAAGCTTCAAAATGATGGGTGTCGGCTAGGCAATCGCAATGAGACAGGTGTTAGAGAGACGGGAATAGAAAATGACATGTTACAGTCAGAGAGGTAATAGTGAGACAGGTAACTGTAGGATAGTTAACAGTGAGACAGGTAACAGTGATATAGTTAACAGTGAGACAGGTAACAGTGAGACAGGTTACAGTGATATAGCTAACAGTCAGACAGGTAACAGTGAGACAGGTAGCAGTAAGACAGGTAACAGTGAGACAGGTAACAGTGAGACAGGTAACAGTAAGACAGGTAACAGTGATATAATTAACAGTGAGACAGGTAACAGTGAGACAGGTAACAGTAAGACAGGTAACAGTGATATAATTAACAGTGAGACAGGTAACAGTAAGACAGGTAACAGTAAGACAGGTAACAGTGAGACAGGTAACAGTGATATAGTTAACAGTGAGACAGGTAACAGTAAGACAGGTAACAGTGAGACAGGTAACAGTAAGACAGGTAACAGTAAGACAGGTAACAGTAAGACAGGTAACAGTGATATAATTAACAGTGAGACAGGTAACAGTGAGACAGGTAACAGTGAGACAGGTAACAGTAAGACAGGTAACAGTGATATAATTAACAGTGAGACAGGTAACAGTGAGACAGGTAACAGTAAGACAGGTAACAGTGATATAATTAACAGTGAGACAGGTAACAGTGAGACAGGTAACAGTAAGACAGGTAACAGTGAGACAGGTAACAGTGAGACAGGTAACAGTAAGACAGGTAACAGTGATATAATTAACAGTGAGACAGGTAACAGTGAGACAGGTAACAGTGAGACAGGTAACAGTAAGACAGGTAACAGTGATATAATTAACAGTGAGACAGGTAACAGTGAGACAGGTAACAGTAAGACAGGTAACAGTGAGACAGGTAACAGTGATATAATTAACAGTGAGACAGGTAACAGTGAGACAGGTAACAGTAAGACAGGTAACAGTAAGACAGGTAACAGTGATATAATTAACAGTGAGACAGGTAACAGTAAGACAGGTAACAGTAAGACAGGTTACAGTGAGACAGGTAACAGTCCGATAGTCAACAGTGAGACAGGTAACAGTGAGACAGGTTACAGTGAGACAAGTAACAGTGAGACTGGTAATAATGAGACAAGTAACAGTCCGATAGTCAACAGTGAGACAGGTAACAGTGAGACAGGTTACAGTGAGACAAGTAACAGTCTGATAGTCAACAGTGAGACAGGTAACAGTGAGACAGGTTACAGTGAGAGAGGTATATGTAAGACAGTTAACAGCGGGACAAGTTACAGTGAGACAAGTAACAGTGAAACTGGTAATGAGACAGGCACCATTCAACAAGTGCAACCATTTAGTAATTTAATTGACACAGCGAGGTTACGTTCAGGTGTAACAAGGAACAACGAGTGGTTTGACACAGGGTCAACTGCTGTAGGCAGAAAAGGATACCTTTCCAGCTCTCGTCAACAGTGACAGTTCCAACAGTTGCTGAACGCTTGGCAACAAAGTCGTGCCACTTTTGGTCATGATAACTCAGACCTTCATCATTGGTTGTTGTCACCTTACCCACACGTTGGCAGCCTTGAGGAGATTTAAAGCAAGAGGATAGAGTTCAGAGTTAGAGCATACATGGACAGAATATAGACGTGTAATCTCCAAAGGAACAGCCATTTTCAACATGGTACAGGTTGGTCAGAGATGTTTTGGATGTGTATCATCTCTTGGTGCAATTTCCACATCTCTGGCTATACCTAGCACACCTGGGCCTAGATTTTCGAAGCTCTCTTAAGCTAAGATAGTTGTAAGTTAATGTTAATGTATGGCACTTACGACTATCTTAGCGCTAAGAGAGCTTTGAAAATCTAGGTCCTGGCATAGTATCTCCAGAACTGAAGGTGCTGTGTCCATACCCTTGGATACCATTTTCCTAACACCTGGCACTTACACCATAACTCTGCATGAACACCAGCTCCAAACCCCTGGGTACCATCTCTCTATCCCTGGGAACCATTTCCTTACCCTGGGTACCATATCTGTACCATTGGGCATAGCGGATCAAGAGGGGAGATGTCGTGAAAATGAACTGTGCACCTTTGAGTGCCTTTTCTTGACCACTTTGTGCCAACTCTCTATCCCTTGGTACCATGTCTCTATCCCAGGGTACCATTTCCCTACCCTTGGATGCTATCTCTCTAGTAGGGGTACCCGTGGCATGATATCCATATACCATTTCCATATCTGCTGGTACTAAGGTGCTATCCTAATAGCAGTTTGTACCCACATCCCTGGGCAATATGGGCTATAAGGCAACAAAGCTATGGGGTCATATGGCTGAGGTCAGGAGATATTGACATGGTCAGGAGATATTGACAAAGCCAAGAAATACAGTAGGAGAGGTGAGAAGATATGTTTGAGATCAAAACACAGTTAGGGTCTGGAGACAGATGAGGTCAGGAAATCTGCAGTAAGTATATCATAGCTGAGGTCAGGGATATAGTGTGGTGAGGGGATAAAGGTGGGGTCAAAAGATATTTCATCTGAGGTCTGGAGATATTCAAGATGAGGTCAGAAGTTGCAGCTGCTAGAGCTACAGATGAGTCAAGAGATATAGCTGAGGTCAAGAGATATAGCTGAGGTCAAGAGCCACAAATGAGGTCATGTAATATACCTGAGGTCAAGAGCTACAAATGAGGTCAGGTAATATATCTGAGGTCAAGAGCTACAAATGAAGTCAGGTGATATAGATGAGGTCAAAAGATATACCTGAGGTCAAGAGCTACAAGTGAGGTCAGGTAAAATAGCTGAGGTCAAGAGATATACCTGAGGTCAAGAGCTACAAATGAGGTCAGGTAATATAGCTGAGGTCAGGTGACATAAAGGTGGTCAGGAAATACCGTAGAGGTCAAGGGTCAAGGAAGAAGCATCATGATGAGAACAGAAGCAGTTATACCGCTGATATCTGACCTTGAACTTGGTCTAATTTGATGCGACCTGCACCAGCTGATCTAACAGCAACAAAATTGTGCCAGACCACATCAGCATACGAAATGTTTCCATCAGTTGTTGAGTTTATTTCAGTGATTGTAAGGCAACCTGTTAAGTGAAGACATGTCTAAAATAATGTTGTATATCAAATGCATTGTAAACCATTTCAGTAACACTAAACAATCCCGAATCATTCTTAGGCAGGTCGACTGCCATTTTATCTACATCAATAATTTCATGTTTTACAGAGCGATTTGGTCAGTGTGTCAAGAAGTAGACAGCAAATTTACAAACAACAAAATGTTGTCAGGATTAAATAATAAATAAGGCTGAAGGCATCATTGTGAGCTCAGGTACTACAGATATGTACCCCAGGTACGTTTCTGTATAGAGAAATGTACCCTAAATACAGTGAAAATACAGAAAGGTACCTTAATCGACATATACTTATCAATCTAAAACTGAAACCATATGTAGTTGTTCCCATTTGCCTGATCGCGAGTGGTGTTGTGCATCACGAAATATTCGATACTGTGTATGCTTGTTTCTTATATAACGCAATCAAATGCATCTCATGCAACAGAACAGTTCTGATCAAGAAAACGGCACAATTCAGAATTGACTCGTCCAAGGGTATGTTTCTGTATTTTGACTTTGGCCAAGGTATGTTTCTATATACAAACACGTACCTGGGGTACATATCTGTAGTACCCGTGCCGACAATGACACCTTTAGCATAATGTAAATATTTTTAAAAAAAATGGAAAAATACGGAATTACCTTGAGTGTCAAATATAAGCCTAGGCCGGCCATTTGTAAACTGTACGACAAAGAATTCATCCTGTGAAGGTGTTGCTGTGAAGAACACAAGGCCATCTTGAGCTTTCATGCGAAACTTGAAGCGTATGCCTGAGGAAAAAAGTAAAAAACAAAACCGAAAATTGCTAATAGGTAAGAACTGGATTTCAGCAACATGTGCTTGTTTTAAGAGGGGTTGAGAAAAGATGGTCAGGTGAACCGACTTGGCTGATGTTGATGCCTGATCAGTGTTGATGATGTAAATCATTGGATTGTCTGGTCTGATTACTTACAGACTGTTGTCATATAGCTCAAATATTGTATTTCTGGTGTCCCTTGCTGGAATATTGCTAAAAGCAGCATAAAATCATACTCACTCACTCAAATATTGCCGAGTGTGACACTAAAAATCAAATACAACATACGACAAAAAAATGTTGACAATGGTTTACTGCGAGTGGTTCTATTTAACAGTGTGTGCATCCTAAATGATGGAAATAGTTCATATTTCATTTTTTTCTTCTGGCCAACATTAAATTGTTCGTAAGGCCAGACCAATTTTATTTTTTGTTTTACGGATCCGCCTGTTGTATTTTTTCAAGTTTTTATTGGCCAAAAATGTAAACTTAGAAGAAAAAATATTTTGTGATTGATTTTTGCCCCATATACACTTCATAAATTGCCAGAAGTAAAATACTTTGAGTATTTAGAAGGAATATTACTTTGACTGGTGATTTTATTTTTATTTAATTTCCCTCCTGCCTTTAGGTTTTCTGAGGACAAAAATGCGTAAAACAAGAAATAAAATTGATCTGACCTAAATTAGCTTTGAAATTTATGATTTGATATCAATTAGTACAATATTCATTAATATGTATGTCCATAGCATATCGTGCCCCTGTATCCTCTCAGTTATGTAAATAAAGACTACAGTTTCTGCTTAGTTAAAAAAAAATTAAAACTTTTCTGTCAATTTGTGTTTGGAATGTTTGTTCAATACTACTGACTAAGTTCTAGATGCATACACTGCTAAATTCAACGGCTCAAGGTCACCTCACTGCTGGTCCTCACACGGATTATAATCAAGTAATGGTTGTAATCAAAACTCAATTAACGATGAAAACATGAGTTTTTATTACTGTAGGTAGTCAGGACAATTCCCCTCCCTCACTGTAATTAGTTGTATTCAACCCGTGAGGATCTGGGTTAGAATTTGTCTTCAGCAACCATGCTTGTTGTAAGAGGCGACTAATACGATCGGGTGGTTTGACACATGTCATTGTATCACATTTGCCTAGTTCGATGCTCCTGATGTTGATCACTGGATTGTCTGGTCCAGATTCAATTATTTACAGGCCACCGCCATTTAGATGGAGCATTACTCAGAGCAACATTAAACAAAACAACAGACACTTCAATTAGTGAGGGTGTACCCAATCATCTTCTTAGAATGTTGAATCCCCAATACGATTTTACTTGCGTTCCACATACTATTGAGATATCAATACCAGTAAATAAACCTTGAACTTGTGTAACAAGGGGCTGTATAAGTGAGTGAGTATGGTCTTATGCCGCTTTTAGCAATATTCCAGCAATATCATGGCGGGGGACACAAGAGGGGCTGTATAAGTGAGTGAGTATGGTCTTATGCCGCTTTTAGCAATATTCCAGCAATATCATGGCGGGGGACACAAGAGGGGCTGTATAAGTGAGTGAGTATGGTCTTATGCCGCTTTTAGCAATATTCCAGCAATATCATGGCGGGGGACACAAGAGGGGCTGTATAAGTGAGTGAGTATGGTCTTATGCCGCTTTTAGCAATATTCCAGCAATATCATGGCGGGGGACACCAGAAATAGGCTTCAAACATTTTACCCACGTGCGGAATCGAACTCCGACCTTTGGCATAATGAACGCTTTAACCAACCACCCTGGCTGTATAAGTATAAATACACATGCATCTACCTTAATAATTAATAATTGCAATATTTCTTGGCTAAATTCTAAGTGGCAAGCACTATAGATTATACTGTGTAGTATAAGCTGCATAGCATCTTGTGGTCTGATGTAACATAACGATACATCAATACAGTATTGTATTGTGATATATGACGAATGACACAACACACTGATTTACAACCCGTGTCACATTACATACGACACATTCCATTACAAGTCAGATTGAATAAATAATAACAACCAGACAGTCATCAATATCCCCCGTAACAGCAAAATACTCTTTATGAATATGTCTACTAGTTATGATTATGTCAAATGTTTTGGATTTTATGCCGGTGTTGACAACTTGCTGGATTGGACAACTGCCGATTTTGACAGCTTCCACTGTATGCCTAATGACACAACACATTGATTTACAATCCGTGTCACATTACATACGACACATTCCATTACAAGTCATATTGAATAAATAACAACAACGGTTCAAGAACCAGCTTATGCAGTATCTCTAGCCTTTCTCGGTTGGCTATAAATAGCAGATTCTGTCTCCTAGCCATCATGTTTCCGCCCTACAATATGATATTCTGGCTTGCTGAAATAAAACAATGATTCACTGTTGTGATTCACCTTTACAAAGAGAGAGAATATGAAGTTATGAAACAGAAGTACTCTATCAGAATACAAATAAAATCCATTTTATAAGGATATGTGTTATATATTATGTATCGCAGTACCATCGTATCATTTCACCTCCAATGGTTTTACCTGTGAAGCCAACATTCTGAGGAATAACATTTGGCGGGAACTTGTAGTAGCCTCCTCCAGGAAATCTGGTTCCACTGACAACCTGTGCCGGCGATGACAGAGCTATGGATGTCTTCTCGATGGTGTAGACCGGGGGAGGTCCGTTCTGAAACGTTGGGGGGTCCCATGTGATCTTCATGACACTGGAGTTGAAGCCATCTACGAAGGGTTTTCTTACATCAACAGGTGCTGCAACAGTGTGTCAACATTAGCTAAATCTTCCCATAAATATGTACAACTTCATCATGTTACCTTACTGTGCCCAATCATAATTTTGTTGATACTATTCTGAAAAACAAACAAACCAATGTTAAAAATAAATACACATTTCTTAGGACTGCAATCCAAGTACTGTATTTCCTCTATTAAGCGCCGGACCTCTATTAAGTGCCAGACCTCTAATAACCGCCAGGGATAAAGCAGTGCTTTAAGAAATAAGCGCTGGACCTCTAATAAGTGCCGGGTCTCTAATAAGCACCGGGTATAGACCTTTGCATTTTTTTGCAAATGTATTCTCCGTTGGTCTAAAAATAAATATATTAAGGAATGATCCCTTAACTTATAACTTCATGTACTCATCCCCACTTTTCAACATACAGGGTATTTTAATAAGCGCTGGGCCTCTAATTAGCGCTGGGTCTGGAGGTCCGTTGAAAAAGTAAGCGCTGGGGGCGTTTATTAGAGGAAATATGGTAGTCTTTAAACATATTATGATTTTCACCACGGCTGTTCTGATTCAGTGAATCAAACTTATCCCGTCATGAATTGAATTAGTTATTTGCAATCACTGGAATGAAATATGAATGATGTTTTATAAAAGGATATTTCTTATTTGAATTTAGTGTTATTTAACAAAGCAAGACTGGAATGAAATATGAATGATGTTTTATAAAAGGATATTTCTTATTTGAATTTAGTTTTATTTTACAAAGCAAGATAAGCAAAATGGAATATATCCAAGTCAGGCAGGACAGTAGTAAACACTCTTATATATTTTATTTGACATTAATGTGGCCACTGGTCATTAAATTAAACCTGCCAACATGGTCAGAAAATGTCAACGAATATATTTCGCTATTATCTCACTGAATATCATGTATAACACATCAGCTGCTGACTTGTAATTGTATTTGTGACCCAGTATTCGTGATATTTGTCATATTCCCATCATGGTGGATTTGCTGCAGTTCCAGTAATCACAGGGGAGATGGGGTAGCCAAGTGGTTAAAGCATTCGCTCATCACGGCCAAGGTCCAGGTTCGATTCCCTGCATAGGTACAATCAGTGTATGAAATAAGGCCCGTCCGACCGCCTGAGACGGCCTAGATTTCTGACGGATGGTCTAAATTTACAGCTAGCCAGCCCGATGGTCTGGTAAAATTTCAGATGTTCCATACATCTGAGTAAATTCACCATAATTGGTCTGGTTAAATCCATTTTGGGCTGGTAACAGTTTGAAGTTACCAGCCCTGATGTCTGGCTGGATTTAAGGCTAATTTCATACACTGGTACAATGTCTGAAGCCCAACCCACTCACTCTCGTAACCACATACCTGCAAGGAGAGTTTTCCCTGTTCCCGCTGTGCTGTTGACGCAGGCAATGCTGTTGCAGGCTTCTATCTGAAACTGGTGTTCTGAGAATGGCGTGAAGCCTTGCACCACTTTGTGGAACTCATTTCCAGGAGACTCATGGATTTTCTGGAACACGCACGAAGAGCTGATGTTACAGAGAACATTGGCAAACAACATCAGGCCTTCCACTCACTCAACATTGTTGCATGTATGCACAAAACTAGCCCATAATAAGAAGGTAAGGACATTGTTCAACTTCATAACATCCTGACTCAAAGAGAAACAAATGATACAACGGTTCACTGTTATGGGTACATACCACCCAGACCATTGGCGGCGCGAAGGGGTCGGTCAGAGTGTCTGTTCGGCTGTACTGATAGACTCTGTATGAGATGATGACGCCGCGAGCTACATCATCTTGAGGCTGCTTCCAGGTGACATTCAGCTCGGTGCTACTCAAACCTTTGATGACTGGAGGTGGGGTGAAGATGGGAGCTGAAATATCAAACATTTGACTTGCAGGCAGAAATAAACAGAGGGATGAATGATTAGATAGCTGACTGAAGAAACAGAATTTGGACAGACAGACAAATGAAGAAACAGAGGGATGAATGATTAGATAGCTGACTGAATAAACAGAATTATGAACAGACAGACAAATGAAGAAACAGAGGGATGAATGATTAGATAGCTGACTGAATAAACAGAATTATGGACAGACAGACAAATGAAGGAACAGAGGGATGAATGATTAGATAGCTGACTGAATAAATAGAATTATGAACAGACAGACAAATGAAGAAACAGAGGGATGAATAAACATGGCCCTTTTGTACAAAGCAACTATGAGGACGCAAAGTGTGCCCCTAGGAACTATTTACAGTGGTTAACAAAGCGCTCTGTGGGTCACTGTAAGGAATACCACTGATTAGCTCATCCTGAAATTTGTCATTCTGGATGATTTATACGAGCAATGGTTGCATCCTGATAATCAGAATTTCACTGTAAACTTCAGACTGTTTCTTGCAAGGGCTCACCTGCCTCCCATGTGCGTCCAACTGTCCATGGACTCGCAGCCTTCCCGGCATCATTCTGAGCAAGAACCTGCAATACCAACAGTTCCATTCCATTCTCAAAACACCGAACACTGAGGGTTAAAGAAAACAGCCAGTTCATCATAGATGTCAATGTGAAACAGAGAGGTAGAAAACATTAGGTGCTCAAATTTGGTATGCAAGTTTGGCTTGTTCAGAGCAGAAAAACAAAATTGAACAATGTATTATACCTAATATCAACCAAATGCAGCATCACATCTACATCAGCGATATTCATTTAAAGTTAGTCTACCATGTCTTTACAAATATAGCAGAAACTATTCGGCAAGGTATCATTACTTACAAAAATATTCATTACTTTCTAATACTTTTTACTTGTTGTAAGAAGCGACTAATGGGATCGCGTGGTCAGGCTCTCTGACTGGGTTGACACATGTCATCGTATCCTAATTGCGTAGATCGATTTTCATGCTGTTGATCCCTAGATTGTCTGGTCCAGACTCGATTATTTACAGACCGTCGCCATATAGCTGGAATATTGCTGAGTGCGGCGTAAAACTAAACTCACTCACTCACTCTAAGACTTTTATGTAGTTATGTAATTTCCTCTTCAGCTACTCCATGATTGATTGCAATAAACTATTTCTCGAAGCTAAAGAGTCTTATAAACATTATCACTAAACATATCTGTAATTTCATTTTTAATCACTAAATCATGGGATAAATTGTATCAAACTATTTTAAAGGTCAATGACGTTTTTTTACAAATATAAATTTCTTTAAAATTTCACATTTGGCTTTTAAGTAATGGGGTAATTATGGTGGGGTGATGGAATGATCTTTAATTTATTATTAACAGCATTCCACCAAATATAACTCCCTAGATTACGCCAACTTCTAAATAACTGTGTTAAAGTCACCTAAAGGCGAATGGTGAAAATTTATGATATTGTTAATAGTTAAAGCTGTATCATGTGGGGAATATATTGCATTATGAATCCCATGTTAGGTCTTATACCATAAGCCGCCTTTGTCTTCCCGGATGGAAAAATGGGGTTTGTTCTGAAATCCAGCATTCTGTTTTCTTCATGAAGGGTTTTATTCTCCCACTCAAACACTTGTTTCCCTCCCAGATGTTTGTTGTTTAACACTACACTCAGCAATATTACAGCAATATGGTAGCGGTCTGTAAATAATTGAGTCTATACCAGACAATCCAGTGATCAACAGCTTGAGCATTAATCTACACATTTTGGATACGATGACATGTGTCAACCAAGTCAGTGAATCTGAGCACACGGTCCACTTGGTCGCCTGATGACAACCATGGTTTGCTGAAGACCAATTCTAACCCAGTGAGTGAGTGAGTGAGTGAGTTTAGTTTTACTCCGCACTCAGCAATATTCCAGCTATATGGCGGCGGTCTGTAAATAATCGAGTCTGGACCAGACAATCCAGTGATCAACAGCATGAGCATCGATCTGCGCAATTGGGAACCGATGACATGTGTCAACCAAATCAGCGAAACTGACCACCCGATCCCGTTAGTCGCCTCTTACGACAAGATAGTCGCTTTTTATGGCAAGCACATGGGTTGCTGAAGACCTATTCTACCCCGGATCTTCACGGGTCAATTCTAACCCAGTGTAACAGGCCAGAGTATACCCCTGTCCCAGACTATACCCGGGGTTAAACTGCGCTAGCCCAGACTATACCCCAGGTATAATCTGGGCTAGCCTAGTTTATACCCTTGGGTATATTCTAGACTAGGCTAGTTTATACCCCGGGTATATTCTGGGCTAGCCTAGTTTAAAACCCCGGGGTATATTCTGGGCTAGCCTAGTTTATACCCTGGGGTATATTCTGAACTAGGCCATAGTATACCTGGTGATGGGTTATTCTGGGCTGCTACAATGGATCTTCACGGGTAGTACCAGGTTTCAGGTTATATAGTAATCAAGATCATGAGAACCAATCAGGTCACAGCAATTATCAAGCACCACAGGTCTTATTCTGAACATTGAAACACTGGTAACTTGCCTGAAACTCGTAAACAGTGAATGGTTCCAAGCCATGTACTGTGAAGTTAGTGGTCGGAGGTGGCAGGGCATTGTTCTGGTTGGTGCTGACCGGCCGGGGGTTGTACTGTCCACTAGACGTGAAGATGCGGCGGAGGGGAGGGTTGCGGGTGCCGTTGATCCCCGGTACACCTTGCATCCACAGCTCATAGAAGATTATGATACCTGGAAAACATGTGAACGATGACAGAACCGGGCTCAACACTTGGAACTCATTCCAAAATGACATGTGACTAGTCATCACTCGCCATAAAGCGTGTCTTGGGGTCCATGGATGATCCCCCACGTAAACTATATCACTAGTTTACAACATGATTAACCTGAGCACAACCACAGATTTGTTGATAGACTACTTCCAATGATGTTAAGACGTGTGATCGCTGGGGAACATATTTTTATGGGAGCCACAGATTACCCTGCGGTTTAACCGAAACCATAGTATCGCAAAGAGTGTTATTGTGAATGATGACTGTATATTGACTGTGTAAAGTCTGTGGTTATGAGATATGAGAGTTGTGCTAAATGTATGGAATCCTAGAAGGGATATTGTCACATTGTTACTCTCACAGAAACAACCCCAAAGTGTCAAAATCAACCTAAGCTCTACAATGAGTCAATACAAAAGTTTGGCCTTTTGCCAGATCTCCGTGGTGTAGTGGTTAGAGCGTCCGCCCGGAGAGCGGAAGGTCGCGGGTTCGATCCCCGACCGCGTCATACCAAAAGACGTTAAAATATGGTACTTGTTGGTCCCTGCCTGGCGCTCGACATTAATGGGTACAACAAGGACTGGTTGGCTCGGAGTCAGTATAATGTGTCTGAGTGGGGTATTCATGCTTCACTGCGGCATGGTATCTCAGTGGGCTAGCACTATAAAACCAGCTTCAGTCTGGGCTAGTACAAGCAGCCGCACACACACATACACACGCATGCACGTCGTCATATGAGCGAAATATTCTCAAGCACGACGTTAAACCCAATTTCACCTCACCTTTTGCCAGATTGTCATGCTCTGGTTAGTTGACAGTTTTTGTTTGTTTTTCTCAGGGTGACAATGTCCCTTCTAATATTCCATATCAATGAGACAAAGTATAGGGCCTTCTCTTATGTGCATTATGTAAGGTGGGTTGTTTATTTTGTCTTTCATACAATGAGAGTTTGAATTGTGAGTGTGTAAGTTTGGTTTAACACTGATTTGAACAATATTCCCATCATAGAATTTTTTGGGAGATGAACCCAAAGTATGCAGGCGACCTTGATCAGATGGGGTTTGACATGGGCATGACATGAAAAAAAGTAATGACATGATACTAATTGATAAGCTGAACTCCATTGACATGCTCTATAGTGCGTTTGGCTCAAAAGCGGACCGATGAATTACAATCCAACTCGAAAACTAATAAACATATAATACAATCCTGATCATAATCTAAACATCAGACCAACTCTGTGATTTGTTTGCTCTTAAAATTAAAATAGTTGCTATTATTAACATATTGACACAGTTCACTATTAGTTACTGAGGGAAGAATGGACAAGTGTTAGAGAAGCATGTCCAAGACATAAAGAAAACCTCACAAGGTTGGTCTGACGTTTTGATTATGAGTGTTGCATTGAGTATTTTATGTTTATTAGTTTTCGAGTTAGATTGCAATTCATGCTAGAAGGTTAATAGACATATGACTTAACCCTTGGTACCCATTTTCGCTGGGTGAACAGAGGCAATTTTGAACAAACTCACTTGTCAGACCACATAGGTGACCACAGTAATGATCCCTATGTATTGTTTACCATTTGGTTTACTTGGATGGTCCCACTTGATAAAGAGCTGCGTGCTGCTGATAGGTGTGATTCTTGGCGATGCCTGACCTTCCGGTACTGACGATAGAGTTGTGATCATGACGACGTCACTGGAGGAACAGTCACCTGTTGTGCAGGTGCGGACGGAGAAGTTGTAGCTGGTGAAGGGGATGAGGTTGGTGAGGACAGCGCTCAGTTCTGTCCCCTCCCAGTGGGTCATGTGCGCGGCAGGTTGACCAGGGGTTCGTGACACCAGCATGAACTTGTCCAAAGGGCCATTCATTACAGTGGGATAGGTCCATGAAAACGCTGCACTGTGAGACCCGACATTTCTGACGGTGAGGATGCTGTCATTGCTGGGCATGCCGGCGAGGGTCCGGAAGATAACAGTTGTGCTTCTTACACTCCCAAAAGCGTTCACTGCCTCAATGTTGTAGGCATAGTTGGTGAAAGGGAGAAGGTCAACGTCCACATACTTCAGCTCTGAAATACAAGGGAGATAACTGGATGAGAGAACAGATGTGTCTTCTGACTCTTTCTCAAACATTGCTAGAATGTGAACATTGAAATCCTCAATGAAGCTTTCAAATTGTTTTATGGTAGACATGTTGATGATATTTCCAAATTTGATGCTCCATGACCAAAATGATGTCTGTTGTGATTCCCTACTTTGACTTCTTATCATATGTCCCACCTGTATTCTCAGGTGCATGTGTTTGTAAAAAGTACCACTGGTAGGGAAGGATACCTTCGACAGGGCTCCAGATAAAGACTGCATCAGCGTATGTACAGGTAACAAATATGCAAGATACAGTAGGAAATAATTTAGAAAACGTAGGAGATACGCACCACAGCAATGGTGTACAGTCTTAAAATCATTTACAAATGTATTTACTAGTGGTGTAACGATTCATCGATAGTATCGATGTTTATATCGTCAACTACGCGATATGAGTGCCTCAATACAAAACACATTTAGGCAATATATCAGGATATTTATATCGCAAGGGTCCACGATACATCGATGTATCGCCACAAGAGATATATCCCGATACAACTTCAATACTACTTAAAGTTGTAAGGAGTATTGCATTAGGAATAGGAAAGGAGTCTCTTCTGAATTTTAAAAACAAATTGAACCTTTTAGGAATTTGTTTGTGTCTGTTATCTTGTTACATGGACAAAGGAGTTGGTGTATAAGTGAAAGAGTGTGAACATTTTTCAAACTCTGTGGACTGTAGAATACTTGTCTTTAAGTAATTGAAAATAATGTTTGACAAATAACACCATTTATTAACAACTATGAACGATGTCTAAGCTTTGTTAAGAAAGAGAACAAATAGAAGATACAATTTAGAAAGCATACTTAAGAGCTTTCTCTTCCCACAGAGGTTACTTGTCATATCTTCCTACGTACCTCTGTTCTAATACGGCCATATTTCACGGTTCTCGTAAAATCCCCTAGCGGCAAAAGATCGCAACACGAATTATCTCCCTTCTTTCTATCCAATCAGAAAACGTGTTACATCGACTTAGATTCAACTTGACTAACACCAGCAAATGTGAGGCCACAAATATCCCCCATCTGCCGGGGACTTGTGTTGATGTTACACACAAGACGTTTAATGGCTAGCTTGTCCGTTGTCAACGAGGGCGATGGAAACGCCACTGATCCGCCATAACATGACTGAGTTCTGTCTAGAAGAAACGTTTGCGCATCGCGCAGGGGAAGAGGTTTAGTTTTCTCGAAGTATACGGAAATTACCGAGGCCTTGCGAATGATCACTTTTGAAACAACTTCGCTGATTGCACAACTAAATCACGAGTCTTGAACGCTCACACCATGAAAGGGCCGTATTAGAACAGAGGTTCGTAGGAAGATATGACAAGTAACCTCTGTGGGAAGAGAATGGCTTAAGAGTTATTTTCAGTGATTTTGAATTCTGATATAAATTACATTCAATTGTTTGTGAAACCATCGGTGCAGAAACACATCTACCCAAAGGAAACTTCGGTTTCAAACTTATATATGTTAGATCAAAGTATACTGAATATGTTTGACTGTATGTTAAAAGCATTAAATGCTGAACCTGTATTAAATGAACAGCTTTTTAAGTGTGTGTGAATGTAACACAAGATCTGCTGCATAACAAATAAAGATTCAGTCATTTTATCTATCATATATGTTCTGCTATTAGAAATTGTAAAGTATCGGGATACGTATCGTATCGCCACCATCGTGATGATAATTGTCTCGCAGGTTCCTTGCCAATACTTTCATGATATATCGTCTCGCCTCGTTAAACTGGTATCGGGATATATCGTCTCACCACTTAGACCACGATACACAGCTCAAGTATTTACATAGAACATATCTGTTATCTGATTTCAAGCAGTGTCCCATATTTGAATTTACGTGATAGCAACCCTTTGGAATTTCCCTTGTGTTTTGGAATTCCCTGTTGCTAAGGAAACTACGTACCACAGCGAATCATCTCGGTTAAATTTGATTGGTCAAAATTGTGCACATATGTGAACATGGCAGCACAGAAATAAGACTGTGCCGCGATGACTTGTAAACGGTCAAGTAATCAAATTGCTGCACGAATAATGAACGAACAGCTTACTAGTATCACTCGTTCGTCTTGTTGTAGTCACACTCCATTAATTCCATTCAGTACTCTAAATGTATCTTAAGGTTTTCCAGTACTCCTATATTGAAAAAATAAGGAGTACGTACTCCTGATGTTGAAAAATTATCTGGAGCCCTGCTTCGACTTTTTTCCAACACCAGGTATCATCCCTATTTGACAGAAACACATGCTCATGGTATAGTCAGTACAGTACAACTGTCTCTGCTTATAGTGGAGATATATTATGAATATGGACTGACTGAGTTTGGTTTTACGCTGCTTTTAGCAATATTCCAGCAACATCACGGCGGGGGACACCAGTTATGGGCTTCACACATAGTACCCATGTGGGGATTCGAACTTGGGTCTTCAGCGTGATGAGACAACGCTTTAACCACTAGGCTACCCCACCGCCCCATTATGAATATGGAACAGGTGTTGTTGCTTTTATTAAAATATACTGGACAAAAACAGTTAGGGATATATGTAAATTTTGAAATTATGAATAATGATCTATTTATTCATTGACACACTGATAAAATATCAATCATAAAAATACCAATATCCCTAACTTATTTTGTCCATGGAATATGAAATTGATTGATGGATGGTTATGGAGGATAGAAAGCTGAATCAAGGGAGATAGATGGCAAGAATGAAACAAGACAGTGATTGGTTTATATCTTACCATAGCATGTCACTTTAGAGGAAAGCATGGGGTGACTGCACTGAGTTCCTGATGACCTTGTATTCCAGTACATCACTTACCACTACTGCCACTGATGGTTGCAACGGTGGAAGAGTTCCTGATGACCTTGTATTCCAGTACATCACTTACCACTACTGCCACTGATGGTTGCAATGGTGGAAGAGTTCCTGATGACCCTGTATTCCAGTACATCACTTACCACTACTGCCACTGATGGTTGCAATGGTGGAAGAGCTCCTGATGACCTTGTATTCCAGTACATCACTTACCACTACTGCCACTGATGGTTGCAATGGTGGAAGAGTTCCTGATGACCTTGTATTCCAGTACATCACTTACCACTACTGCCACTGATGGTTGCAATGGTGGAAGAGTTCCTGATGACCTTGTATTCCAGTACATCACTTACCACTACTGCCACTGATGGCTGCAAGAGCTGAAGATTTTCTGATGACCCTGTATTCCAGTACATCACTTACCACTACTGCCACTGATGGTTGCAACGGCGGAAGAGTTCCTGATGACGTTGTATTCCAGTACATCACTTACCACTACTGCCACTGATGGTTGCAACGGCTGAAGAGTTCCTGATGACCCTGTATTCCAGTACATCACTTACCACTACTGCCACTGATGGTTGCAACGGCGGAAGAGTTCCTGATGACCCTGTATTCCAGTACATCACTTACCACTACTGCCACTGATGGTTGCAACGGTGGAAGAGTTCCTGATGACCTTGTATTCCAGTACATCACTTACCACTACTGCCATTGATGGTTGCAACGGCGGAAGAGTTCCTGATGACCCTGTATTCCTGTATGACACCATTAGGGTAGTCTGGGGGTGCCCATGTGAGCACCATGGACCTGGTACTGGGGTTGTGTGTTGGCGGCGGTTGCTGGGATGGCTCTGGAAGATTATACACATTGTTCTTGATTTGCAGTATTTGAAATGAGTGGCTCTTTGAAGAATAAGTACCACTGTTTGCTGGTTGCAAGACCTGATATCTTAACTTTGTTTTAAATTTGAATTTGTTTTGCTTGTTGTTTAATGATACTCTCAGCAGTATTTCAGCTTTATTACCCACGTGGTCAACGTATGGGTAGTTGCATACTAATCCTGTACGTCACACGAGTGTCGTATCGCGTTGACCTGTGTCGTAACGACTTGACCTGAGATTCTAACGATTTGATTCATTCTACAACTTAAATGCATTGTGGGAATGTAAACATTGTGAACGTTTGCCGTGTCGCTGTTTAATTGTGAGTCGAACTGAGACATTATATCCGTCGAAAAACATAAACGCAATGTTTCCACCAGTGATGTTAGCCGAATGAAGCAACTGCAAACCAAGAAACGGGGTGCTACGGAGTAGTTTACTGTAGGTGGCTGTATGAGGCGATGACAACTGACATGCATCGTGACGTCATTACAGTGTGACGTCATTCAAATATTGTACTACAGTACAAAACTCTTCCGCAACCTCTTTATGAAACCGGTTTCGGTTTGAAACCATAAAAATAACAAAAATACGCTATTTTGTCAATTTAATGCATGTAAGACGTTGGTAATAAATAAAATACCACACACGAAACTCGTGACCTTCCTATGGTATCTGACCTCGCTTTCGCTTGGTCAGATACCATAGAAAGGACACTTGTTTCGTATAATTCGTATGTAATGAGACCGAGTGTAGTATTCTCTATATATGACACTGGCTGCTTTACTTGGGGTAAGTGTTGGTCAGTCTCTGGTAATAGGCAATTCCCGAACAGTTGAAGGTACAACACCTCATGGGCTGGTAGTTTATCTTAAGGGTGTGTGGATGGGATTGATCTTAGGATTAGATCATATTTTGTTCACTAACACATTCACCCCATCCATCTCACATGATTGGAAATAGTCAAATTAGAAAATGTACTGTGTACTATTTTCATGCACCCTCCCGATGCCCCACCCTCTATAACTGATAAATTTTAGTGACCCTCTTTCACTACATCAGGGTCTAATGACAAGCCACCCCAGTAATCTCATCTAAAATAACTGACCAGCCCTGTTAGTGTATGCAATTACTCTAGTATGGGTAAATTACAGAATAACCTATCGTCAACTGTGGACTACAAATTATCCAAATAAATGCTGAAAGTTATATTGATGGAATTCAGCATGGTTAAATCTATAGGTAACCTGTTGGTCAATCAGACTTATCAGATCACAATAGCCACCACTAATTGAAGCAGCTGATAGAATCTTTCTGAAGATTTTGAAGCAGCTTTCTGAATCGAATTCAGATTCGTTAAATCTACAGGTAACCTATTTGTCAATCACAGGTATCAAATCACAATAGCCACCTCTGATTGATGGAGCTGATGGATGGATGTGTTTCTTTTTCAATTCAATTCAGCATGGATAAATCTACAGGTAACCTATTGGTCAATCAGAGGTATCAAATCACAATCACTTTGCTCTAATGTGCTCTTTACTAGGACTATGTATGCGTCAGCTGGTGTCCTCACCTTTACTGCAGCCGAAGGGGTTGTTGGGGTCGAGGTTGCTGGCTCCAGCTACACATTCCTGGCAGGTCAGGCTGGTCACAAACTGTTTACAGAAACACTGACCGCTCACAGAGTTACAGGTGTTGTTGAGGCTTCCGGCCGGCAGGCAACCACATTCCGTACACCTAGAGACAATTGGTACACACAGAATCTCATTACACCTGGAGACAATTGGTACACACAGAATCTCATTACACCTAGAGACAATTGGTACACACAGAATCTCATTACACCTGAGAGACAATTGGTACACACAGAATCTCATTACACCTAGAGACAATTGGTACACACAGAATCTCATTACACCTGGAGACAATTGGTACACACAGAATCTCATTACACCTGGAGACAATTGGTACACACAGAATCTCATTACACCTGGAGACAATTGGTACACACAGAATCTCATTACACCTGGAGACAATTGGTACACACAGAATCTCATTACACCTAGAGACAATTGGTACATACAGAATCTCATTACACCTAGAGACAATTGGTACACACAGAATCTCATTACACCTAGAGACAATTGGTACACACAGAATCTCATTACACCTAGAGACAATTGGTACACACAGAATCTAATTACACCTGGAGACAATTGGTACACACAGAATCTCATTACACCTGGTGACAATTGGTACACACAGAATCTCATTACACCTGAAGACAATTGGTGCACAGAAGAATCTCATTACACCTGGAGACAATTGGTACACAGAATCTCATAACACCTGGAGACAATTGGTACACACAGTATCTCATTACACCTGGAGACAATTTGGTACAGACAGGAATCTCATAACACCTGGAGACAATTGGTACATACAGAATCTCATTACACCTGGGAGACAGTTGGTACAGACAGAATCTCATAACACCACCTGGAGACAATTTGGTACACACAGAATCTCATTACACCTGGAGACAATTGGTTACACACAGAATCTCATTACACCTAGAGACAATTGGGTACATACAGAATCTCATTACACCTAGAGACAATTGGTACACAGAATCTCATAACACCTGGAGACAATTGGTACACACAGAATCTCATTACACCTGGAGACAATTGGTACAGACAGAATCTCATTACACCTGGAGACAATTGGGTACACACAGAATCTCATTACACCTGGAGACAATTGGTACACACAGAATCTCATTACACCTAGAGACAATTGGTACACACAGAATCTCATTACACCTGGAGACAATTGGTACACACAGAATCTCATTACACCTGGAGACAATTGGTACACACAGAATCTCATTACACCTGGAGACAATTGGTACACACAGAATCTCATTACACCTGGAGACAATTGGTACAGACAGAATCTCATTACACCTGGAGACAATTGTTACACACAGTATCTAATTACACCTGGAGACAATTGGTACAGACAGAATCTCATTACACCTGGAGACAATTGGGTACACACAGTATCTAATTACACCTGGAGACAATTGGTACACACAGAATCTAATTACACCTGGAGACAATTGGTACACACAGAATCTCATTACACCTGGAGACAATTGTTACACACAGAATCTCATTACACCTGGAGACAATTGGTACACACAGAATCTCATTACACCTGGAGACAATTGGTACACACAGAATCTCATTACACCTGGAGACAATTGGTACATACAGAATCTCATTACACCTGAGAGAATTGGTACATACAGAATCTCATTACACCTAGAGACAATTGGTACACACAGAATCTAATTACACCTAGGACAATCTGGTACACACAGAATCTCATTACACCTGGAGACAATTGGTACATACAGAATCTCATTACACCTAGAGACAATTGGTACACACAGAATCTCATTACACCTAGAGACAATTGGTACACACAGAATCTCATTACACCTGGAGACAATTGGTACACACAGAATCTCATTACACCTAGAGACAATTGGTACACACAGAATCTCATAACACCTGGAGACAATTGGGTACACACAGAATCTCATTACACCTAGAGACAATTGGTACACACAGAATCTCATTACACCTGGAGACAATTGTTACACACAGTATCTCATTACACATGGTGACAATTGTTACACACAGTATCTAATTACACCTGAGACAATTGTTACACACAGAATCTCATTACACCTGGAGACAATTGGTACACACAGAATCTCATTACACCTGGAGACAATTGGTACACACAGAATCTCATTACACCTGGAGACAATTGTACACACAGAATCTCATTACACCTGGAGACAATTGGGTACACACAGTATCTCATTACACATGGTGACAATTGTTACACAGTATCTCATTACACCTGGAGACAATTGGTACAGACAGAATCTCATTACACATGGCGACAATTGTTACACACAGTATCTCATTACACCTGGAGACAACTGGTACACACAGAATCTCAAGGCAATAATATTAACATGAGTTTTACTTGACTGGTTTGTTGTTGTTTAACGACACACTCAGCAATACTCCATCTATGTGGCGGTGGTCTGTAAATGATCAAGTCTGGACCAGACAACCCATTTATCAACCGCATGAGCATTGTTCTACATAATTGTGATACGATGATATGTGTCAACCAAGTCAGCGAACTTGACCACCCGATACCGTTAGTCGCCTCATACGACTACTACATTATGGATTACTGAAGACCAATTCTACCCCGGATCTTCAGGGGTACATGAATGACAATGTATCCTGTTTGCACATGCATGAAAGATCATTGAAGATCCAGGTTAGAATTGGTTAGACAACCAATGCTTGTCATAAGAGGGGACTAACAAGATAAGTGGTCAGACTTGCTGACTTGGTTGTATCCAAATTGCATAGATGTTCATGATGTCAATCACTGGATTGTCTAGTCCAGGATCGATTGTTTACCGACTGCCGCCATATAACTGGAAAACTGCTGAGAGTGGCGTTAAACATCAACTAGACTGCACATAAAATGAGTGAGTGAATGAGTTTTGTTTACGCCGCTTTTAGCAATATTCCAATAACATCATGGTGGGTAGACTAACCACTAGTCTCTGAAATGAACATATTTTACAGAAAAGAAAGTTCATAGTAAAAAGATAAAATACAATGAAAAGGAGCCCTGAGACTTTCTTCATTTTCTGACTTACGTGGGATATCTTGGATATGTTTGCTTCAGGGTCTGTATGACAGACTACATGGCGGGGAGCATGCACATAAAAGGTTGGAGAATGACAAAGTTGTGTTTCTATATTCCAACAAACTTCAACATTCTGCAGCACAAAACCAAATCTACTTACGTTCCAAAGCGTTGATTAAAGCTGTAGTATGTTCCCAAGCATTCTGCACATGAGCGACCTGTGACCCCAGCTGATCCACCTTTGCACTCACACTGTCCCGTCTGTGTGTTGCAGTTTGTACCTCCCAGCGTCCCCATGAGATTACAGTCACAGGGCCTACATCCTCCACCAGGTGACCGATCAACAAAGTACCCTAAAGACGAAGAAATAGAATTAAAAAGAAGAACCCCCTGTGTAATCACCCCTAGAATGGCTGGAATGTGTGTGACGTGACCTACAACTACCACCAGGCGATGATCAACAAAGTACCCTAAAGACTAGACTAATGCTTAGTCTCTGAATATATATAATTTTGATATCTATGACAATAACAAACAAGCCCATTTAAATTGAAAAGGAGCCCTAGGGAGACCAGAGAGGAAATCTAGACTTGCTTTATTTAGGGCTTTAGCACTGCAGAGAGGGCTAGGCAGTAGGGAAAATAATGTGGTTCAGGGACTGTGAGACAGACATCCTAAAGACGAAAAAATAGAATTGACTTCCACCGCAGACATCCAATCAATGAAGTACCTGATTACGAAGAAACTGAATAAAAAAAAAAAAAGAAGAAAAACAAAAACAAACTAAAAATCCCCCCAAAGCATGGCTCAAGTGTGGATAACATAAACCACCAAGTACATAAATGAAGTACCTTGATGAAAAGAAATAGAATTAATACAGCGAGGAAAAATACACAGCAAGAAATCACAAAATAATCCTACAAAAGAATGGCTAGATTGTGTATGCAGGATTGTACTTTTGGTGTGCTGTATAATCAATGGTATTCCGATGAAACTATAAAAGTTAGAATTTTAGGCCATACAATCCTCTTTAAAGAACCACTAAACTTTGTTTTTGTTACTCTTTTAACCATTACATATGAAGATTTGTGGTTAGTCTTATCGCGGAACACCAAATTTATTCTTTAAAACTTAATTAATAATTAATTAATACCGAAGCGATTAAAAGTGGCCAAAAGTCGCCTGCTTCCCTCTCGCCCCAGCTGAAACCACAGACAGGTTACGTAACTCTGTCGCCAGAGCACTGCAGTGACGTCATATGAGGAGCGATTTTCAGTTAGTTGTATAGAAAATGTGTAGCACGCTCATCATTTTTGATGATTTCTCGACATGAACGGCGACATGCCGAATCGTTGCTTTGTCGTCAATTGCTCCTAGAGTCGGGCGATGGTGTCCCCATGCACAGATTTCCACAGGACCCGCGCAGTTAGGTGCTAAATGGGTTATGTTTGTGTGTGCTGAAGCGAAGCGTTGTGGAAGCCCTGAAGCGATATCTTACTTGTGTTCAGATCGCTTCACGGAAGTTAAAGAATCAAAACTACTTACTAGTTGTAGTAAAATATGCATATGATTGATGACCATAAAGATTTTCTATGACACAACTTGTAACATAACGATTTCTTCCTCGGAAGTGAGGTTGTGGTCGAAGTAACAATAATATTGTAAGTAGTATTATATTGACACCCACCTCGCTGCCACGAGAGAAATTGTTATGATATACGCTATGTCATGCAAAATCCTATTGGCCATCAATAAAATACATATTTTACTACCAGTAGAAAGTAGTTTTGATTTTGTAACTCGGTGAAAACAAACCTAAATACAATTTATCCTCAGACTGGCGGATGTTCCCGACAGGGTAGCCGCCATTTTAAAAATAAAACAATCAGTTAGAATTAATGAGATTATAGTTTGTTTTCATCAAGTTAGAAAATCAAGACTACTTTCTACTCGTTGTTAAATATGTATTGGAATCATAACCAAACGGATTTTGCATGACACAACTTATAACATAACGATTTCTTCCACGGAAGCGAGGTGGGGGTCGAAGTCACAATACTGCGCGATAACTTTCTTGCTACATTCCATGGTTAATGTCCACTCACCAGTATGTAGATACTAGTCAATGTGCGTCTTTATATTTGGTCTTATAATCCTAATTAGTTTATTATCACACTTGTATGCATTTTGAAACTAGATAAAAGCAGACGATCCGGGCTGATACTTATAGTGAATTTATAACAGAACTGTAATATCTAGACATTTGATAGTTTGCCAATGTGAATCATAATTCGCACACACACCCTAGTGCATGTTGTCTGTCTCATTACACTTCACGGCGAAAACAATGATTCTGTTGAATGCTACGACAAATGAATAAAAACAAAATGCAAATATTAAAATTAAAACAGATTAAAGTTATAGGAACAATATCAGGCCATTACCTTGTTCGAGGAATGTATCCATCAATATCCACAAAACTGTTCCAAATGATGTGTCTTTTAACAGTTTAATATACGAAAAAGTGATAAATCTTTTCAGGTATTGGTGTATAGTCTCATTGGTCACCCAAGATAGCACACCTGGCAACTAATTGCATAATGTCCGCCTTTCTTTAAAAAACAGTAATTTAGTTAGCCAATATTGAGCAATCAATCACTGTATTGCCGGTTAATCCTTTGAAAGAAGGACGTTGTTTTTACGCAGACACCGACACTACAGAGTGTATTCAGTATAGATTAGTAAATCTACATACAAAAACACTACCTTTTGACAATTCCGCTGTGTAAGATAAAAGTAATTAATCAATCAGCGTGTTATCGGTTAATCCTTTGATCGATGTTTATAATGTTGAGTATTTACTCCAGACACAAGAAATGCCAAATGGGAACCTTTGTCGAGGTAATCTAAGTGTGTTACCACTAATTATACCTGTTATAAATTCATTAACTGACCATCAAGTGAATGATGACAAATAACATGTGTAGGTTTATACCACCTAACACGGGTTACAACGAGGGAGTATTCATTGCTGTATTGCATGTGAAAACTTATGGGCCGACACTGTTTTAGAATACAAACAGATTTTTACATGACATGATTAAATATCGAGGTAAAACAACACAGAAATGGGATCAATTTGGATCAGTCATTATACAAATAGGGCCTAACGACACCAATCGATTTTGACAGAATCGTCTATGAAAACAAGTTGTAACTCGGAAACTAGGCAAAGCAGGAGACAAAATTAAATGACAGTAGATTGTGAGAACATATAGCTTTCATTTTCCACAACAATTGTCACGATTTCAGGTTTATACAAGCCTGTAAACACGATAATTTACCCCCTAAAATGCAGATGAATTCTGCATCGGCTCTCAAAGCTATTCCTCATATGGCGTCACAGAGGCGGCACGCTCTGATTGGTTGAAATTTGGATTCGCGGGTGAGAATTGTGCACTGTTGTCAAAAGGTCGATTTAAGTCAATTAAAGGTCGAAATGAGTAGTTTTAATGACGGGGTTTCATTTATAACGATGCCAGTTAGTGATTTATGTATTTGTACCCCTAGGGTTTATGTGACCTTTAAAGGTGCAAGATAAGGTGTGTATAATTTCTATTGACTATATATATATTTATATGTTGTTTCTAGACAGATTGCAGCTCTGTTAAAAACAATTTTGACAGAAACATACCGGTAATTAAATTGGAAAGGAGCACCAGTGATCTGGAAAATTCAGATTCTGAGAAAAATCTCTATCATCCAAAACTGTGTTTCACAGGAGATATTGCTTGTGTGAGATCATACAATATCTCCTAGGAGATATAGCTTGGACAGTAGATTTTGTACAATGCCCTGACAATGCTATGACGTCATGAACTTGGTGACGTCACAATGCTATGACATCGCTGCACTGCAAGTCTAATGGTAGTTCAGTGTTCAGAGATTATATTTTACATTGAAAACTAATGAAGAATGATTTTTGATGATAAATAGAATCTCACCCTCGTGTCTACTGATATCAATTATATCAACACTCGTTGATTAAAGTAAAAATATCCTCAGCAAGCCTCGGATATTTGGTAACTTTATCAACTCGTGTTGATATAATTGATATCAGTAGACACTTGGGTGAGATTCTCTATATACTTGCTTCATATAGGTATTTTGGATCACAGAAAGGGTGTTTAGAAGAAAAGATAATATGGTTCAGGGACTTTAGGATAGATTAATCTTTTACATACTCTGTAACTTTGGTTTGCTTAAAAAATTGTTCAAGTTTTCCTATGACCTTGACCCTGTACATCTAATACTTACCAGGCTGACAGTCATCACATCTTCGACCATGTCGCTGTGGTAAACATGAGCAGACGCCAGTGTTCTGATCACAAGCCAGCTGCGTCACATTCTGCACGTCACCAGACATGGTGCCGGAAGGATCACAATCACACATCTTACATCCCAGCGGGTCCGAGATGTTCAGACCCCATGTGTTGCCTTGACACAAGTTACACCTTCGACCATTAACTCGCTCCTTACAGACACATGTCCCTGTTGCCTTGTCGCAGAGAGATATTCCATTCAGGGTTCCTTTTGGGTCACAGATGCAGGGTTCGCAGCCTAGAGCTGAAGATGATCCGAAGCTGTATGCTCCATCCTTGCACAGGTTACAGTTCTGACCCTCTGTGTTGCTCTTGCACACACACTGCCCTGTGGTCTTGTTGCACACTGTTCCGGGCTCTGTTCCAGAAGGTGCACACCCGCAGGGAATGCAGCCGACGGTGAAGTTGTAGTAGTTGTCCAGGCATTGATCACACTTCTTTCCAAACACACTAGCCTTGCATCGACAGTCGCCGGTGTTGGGCTCGCAGAACATGCTGGTGGAGCCAATGGGGTCACAGTTGCAGGCAGTGCATCCGTCAGGGTTGTTGACAGTCAGATTGAAGAAACCAAACTCACATTGATCACAGCGGTCACCTGTAGAAGTATGTGCAAGAATCATGTTTCTGTAATATCTGAGTGATATATAAGGTCAGCAACACAATATTCACAGTCGCTTCCCTTAGTAATACCAGGATCCACTACTCGATGGTTCAAACACATCAAACACAAATGTATTCCACTACGACCTACTGCATCAATTTTGGTTTTACTCATACATTAAATGTTCACATTTGAACCCCTTACTGACCCACTGCATCAAATTTAGCATCCCGTATTACGTGGAAACCCAAGGTTTTTGTGGTAAATAATTCACTATGAAATGTGACCACAGAAATCTTAAGCTGAATAGGTTGTTCAAAGGCAACATAAGCTTATAAACTTCAAAACTTCTTGGGGCGTTGGGGCAGCCTAGTGGTTAATGCACTTGCTCCTCACACTGAAGACCTGGGTTTTATTAGACACATGGCTACAATGTGTGAAGCCCATTTCTGGTGTCCCCCGCCGTGATGTTGCTGGAATATTGCTAAAAGTGGCATAAAACCAGACTCACTCACTGACTCAAAACTTCTTTGTCAGATATACAAACATTGCATCAGTTATTTTAGATGAGACATAAATATTTGCAGAATAGTAGTGTTTTGATAATCCATAAAATGCATATGAGATCCAGATATGGACCCTAAATGCATATGAGAATACCCTTGAAGCATTATATCTTACCTTGAACATGCCTCTTGCAGTTACATTTGCCAGTGAGGGCATCACATGTAGCCTCGCCACCCACTGTGCCATGAGAGTTACACTGGCAGGGGAGACAACCAGCTGGGTTGTCTGCCTGGAGGTTATAATAGCCTGGTTTACAGCGGTCACACTGTCTTCCCTCTACCAGCACCTTGCAGGTGCACTGACCATCAACCTACAGGAACAAACATGAGCATAATCAGAAACCTAAGGAGGACCACTGACATTCTGGATCAGAATCATCAGCTGACCATCATCAAACAAGAACATATGCCATCTGGATCATATTGTTCCCTGGAATTTTTATTCTTTTAGCATTAAGAAATTGTAAGTGTGACCCCCCTTTAACAACAGGTATGCACTAGCCCCACACTATATGTTGGCCATAGATGTACTAACCTTAGCGCAGTCCGTAGTGTCAACAACCCCTGATGTGTTGCAGAGGCAAGGAGTGCATACGTCAGGGGAGAACATGCTGACCCCGCAGGCCGGTAGAAGTACGGGAGACACGTGTCACACTTCTCGCCTGTCGTGTTGTGCTTGCAGTCAACGCACATGCCTCCGCCCCCTCTGTCATGGTCATTGGGGAAGGGATCAATGGTGATGTTGTACTGACAAGACTCTGCATGGTTGTAGCATTCACAGGGCTGGCAGTTGTAACTGTTGGTCTGGTCGCCACGGCGGAACGGCTTGTTGTTGTACAGGGTAGCACACTGGGAACACTGCAACACAAAACTGAGTGAGTGAGTGAGTGAGTGAGTGAGTGAGTGAGTGAGTGAGTGAGTGAGTGAGTGAGTGAGTGAGTGAGTGAGTGAGTGATAGAACTTAGGTTGTCGCGAATCCTGGTTACAATATAACAGAAGATAAACTGCACTGAAGGCTTGATGCACTTTTCCTGTCCAGAGAAAGTCTTCTGGCTAGTTGTAATGATAGTGTAGATAGTGAGTTGTAGTAATACCTGGTTTCCTAAAGTATGACTGTCCTCTGTACAGTTGCATCTGTAGGGCAGTGTCGATATATCACAATGCTCAGCATGGCCATGGCAGTCACATCTGAAACATAGAATTGATGGTATAGTCATATACCTCATAGTACTGGTATAGTCTATATCTCATAGTACTTGTATAGTCATATATCTCATAATACTGGTATAGTCATATATCTCATAGTACTTGTATAGTCATATATCTCATAATACTGGTATAGTCATATATCTCATAGTACTTGTATAGTCATATATCTCATAGTACTGATGCTACACTGACTGTGTAGGCACAATTATCTCATAGTACTGATGCTACACTGACTGTGTAGTCACATATTTTCCATAGTACTGACCTGGCACTGACTGTGTAGTCACATATATTCCATAGTACTGACCTGGCACTGACTGTGTAGTCACATATTTTCCATAGTACTGACCTGGCACTGACTGTGTAGTCACATATATTCCATAGTACTGACCAGGCACTGACTGTGTAGTCACATATTTTCCATAGTACTGACCTGGCACTGACTGTGTAGTCACATATTTTCCATAGTACTGACCTGGCACTGACTGTGTAGTCACATATATTCCATAGTACTGACCTGGCACTGACTGTGTAGTCACATATATTCCATAGTACTGACCTGGCACTGACTGTGTAGTCACATATATTCCATAGTACTGACCTGGCACTGACTGTGTAGTCACATATATTCCATAGTACTGACCTGGCACTGACTGTGTAGTCACATATATTCCATAGTACTGACCTGGCACTGACTGTGTAGTCACATATATTCCATAGTACTGACCTGGCACTAACTATGTAGTCACATATATTCCATAGTACTGACCTGGCACTGACTGTGTAGTCATATATCCCATAGTACTGGTGCCTTATTTCAGAATCCTGTCCTACATAATAATGGTCTCGGAAGTGGATACGTAATCTGCGGGCCCTCACAAACTCAAACAGCTCAGGCGTGTTGTAGAATTCGTTGTGACCTTGACGAGGTACCGGCTCTGGTGCCAAGATGTTGAAGGTGATATTGCCACGGGAATATGGGATTTGTTCACCTCCCCTGAAAATGACAAAACATACTTCTTTAAAGGCAGAGAAAATAATTGTAAAATCTTGAATTTCACAATTTTGCAATGCCAATCTCACCACCGCTAAACAACTATCTGTGGACATTACAGCTCATTTCAGAACAACCATTCACAAATTTGTCCAACCAATGAAATGACAAACATGAAGTCAACACAGGCCAATCAGAAAGAAGTCCTCTTGGTCTTTATGAAATGTTCTTGACTTCCATTCCAGACTTTACTTTGAAAATATAGATTCAAACTTTCAAAACCTGAAGAAAACATAATACTGGAATGCCTCACAGATGTCTGAGATTGTAATACAGCACTTCCTGTGGGCTATGGAAAGTGTCTTCCATTTTAAATGTTTACCAAATCTTGCTTACAACCCACAACCTATATCTACAATGTCACGGTTGCATGATGAGAATGCAAAATCTGACTTTTAATTTCTTGATCTTGTAAGCAGCTCTCCGATTGGTTGAATGAAAGGTCATTCTGATGTGACCCAATTAATGGCATGTCCTCAGCTGTTGCTTACTGATAGCAAGATACAACATGTGATTTTGATGATATTGTTGTAAGATTTTCTGTTAAGATCTGATAACCACTTGAAATTGTTCACTAAAATTATGTCCTATTTTTGAGCTTGACACCTCCACTTTATAGCATGGAAACCCATAGATGTTTTACCAATAGTCAACAGGACTATGAGGACCACTAAAAATCACTGGTTTTGCAATGGACTAAGAACATTTGGTCCATGGTCTAGAAATGTTTGGTCGTGTTCCCTGTATATGTGGCCTATAAGTCAATTTAATCTTTATTGTTCACTATGGTATCTGAATGTTTACCTTGATATGAACATATAATGCTAAATTATTATTATTATCATTATATGATATTTATATAGCGCACATATCCAGGCAACTAGTGCTTGCTCAAGGCGCTGGTATTTTTTCCCTCAATCATTGGATGTCAGTCTCAACGGCACATCGTGTTATCAATCTCAACTCCCTGGGGAGCATACAACTCTTGCAGCCACTAGGCGCACCGAGTTATTGTGGCCTTCTCATCCTAACGAGGTACCATTCACAGCTGGGTGGACTGGGACACATAGTCACAGTATTTTGTCCAAGTTCACTGCACGTTGCTGTACCCGCAACTTGGTGTCCGCACGTATTCATGTGGCCACCATCTGGTCATATACCAACGGATTCGTGGGTTCTTTTAAGTGCACACTTGATTTTTATGCACCACTTGATTCTTTACCAAAGTAACTATGTCATGGAATGACTAAAGAACACCTCGTTCCTTCATATGACTATAGTTAATCTCTCATGGCATGGTCAAGGAACAATACTATAGTTAAATTTAAGCATATCTTGTTATGATCTCAATGACAAAGTGTATGAAAGAATTTCCAAAAAATGTTTTTTCTGAGTGCATACCATCCAAACTGTATACAGTTGACTGAAGTCGGCAGGGGAAGGGGGCCATTGTTTGGTAGGCCAAAGTAAGACTGGCAATTGTCAGCATACAGCTGCCACAGCTCCCACTGATCTGATCCATTCCGCTGGCGCTCAATCACAACAGCTCGTGGTTGGGGGCTGTAGAACTGTATCACCACGTAGAACACCTACCACAAAACAAGGAATAACCATTATCAGCAATATATAATTCTTCTGATATCTTGCTATTACTCTTTCAGATTCTGCTTTCCTAGTCTTTGGCAACCCATGCTTGTCCACTGGGTGGTTAGGCTGGCTGACTTGGTTGACACATGTCATTGTATCCCAAATGTGTAGATCAATGATCATGCTTCTTTGAGTGGCATTTTAGAAGTGAAGGTGCTTGACAACAGTACAAGAATCTGTATCGAAACGCTGTACTCATGAAATAAAGAAGTTGTTATCCATAAAGTTTGTCAATGACGATGCTCATGCTGTACGGCATTGAAAAAAACCCAACCAAACCAATTCTAGTAAAGATTTTGTTGGAGAGCTTACCTGTGAAAGGACATGCTTACCCATTTAAAAAAAAAAGTGGCATCATCATTTTTTGGGATAAGGATAAGTATTGTGTGCTCTGTCCAGTTGATTTGATGACTGTGGTTCAAATGGGGTTCAAAAAGACATGCTTACCCATTAAAAAAAAAGTGGTATCATCATTTTTGAGGATAAGAATAAGTATTGTGTGCTCTGTCTAGTTGATTTGATGACTGGGGGTTCATCTGAATATGTTCAGAGACTGCTGACTTGTTGTTGGGTTTGTTTGTAGATGCCTGGTGTTCTTTATCTCTGGTGTTCATTGGTCTACATGTTTCCACAGTTACAGTTTACCAGGATTTTCTTGTTATTTTACTTTTGGCTAACATTTCTTATAATCGCCAGCGGCTGAAGGGATGGTGTAAATCCAACTAGGGTCCATGCAGGTAGCAAAAGTAATGTAAGTCCCCATGGCTCCTAGTATGGTGATCTACCTTCAGTTGTTGGCGATCTATAGCCCATTTTTATATTGTGTTGTCCCCTATAGTTAAAATGTTTTAGATTCAATTACTAGTTTTACATATATATCTGTGATATTCTAGTTGCTTTACTGTCCTTCGTTGGCAGGTTTATAATCTCTCTTTTATTCCATTTCAATGTCAAATGTTCTCATTTCACTTTTTATTGTATAAATAGTTTTCGTCACGATATGGCTGAAATATTGCTGATGTGACGTTAAATAATAACTCACTCACTCACTCCACAGTTACAGTAAATTTTGTAAATCACACCCATTGTTTAAACACAATGCCACACTGACCTGAAACTCATCCCCCAGATCAACGGTGATGTTCAACTGGCTGAAGAACAAGGAGATCCAGATGCTGTTACTGTCCCCATCATTAGCGTACTCCAGCGGGTGGGACTCCTCATTGATGCGGAGTCTGTCTTGACCGGCGTTGTCCGGGAGACCGTTGGGGATACAGTAATGTGTCTGTTGAGGTTTGACTCGAGGATGTGAGCCTGGACAACGGCACTCTGACTGGATCCGGACGGGCGGTAGAGTGCCCGTGTAGACTTCCTGTATTTCCCTGTAAAGGATTGGGCTTGTGTCTATATATGTGATATATTTTAACACAAAAAATGGACATTGCCAACTGATTGGCTGACTCAGATAAAAAAATTATTATATACACTTCCTATCCTAAAATGTACGCTAAAACATTTATTGTTATTTAGAGCCATTCACTACATACTCTAAAGAGAGTCTCAGCTTAGGCCAATCAGCAGACCAAGGGAGATTAATAAATATTTGAGTCACCATCTTGTCTGCTCGCATACCTAAATATATTAATCAATCCACAGATAACAAAGGCCATGTGCTTGTTTCACTCATGGTTTGTCTGTTGTATTCAAAATATTCAAGCTACAAGTATATTTTGTCACCGTGTAATTAATCGAGTATGACTAAACAATCCAGTGACCAACAATGTCAACAACCAATCACATTGTTGTTCCACGATATGCTATCAACGAAGTCATTGAACCTATCACCAAATGTGTTACACAGCAGACTGTGGATCATAGCCAATCTCTCACTCAAACTGTTTCTTATCACGTCTGAGTTGTGGAAACTTGAATTGTTACCTGTTGGAGAGTGTAGTGGAGTAGAAATGGAAATTCTGTAGTCTTCCAAGAAATTGCCCTGTGCCTGAAAACAATAAAAGAAAGTTATCACAGGTCTATATTGTGAAGAACAAGCATGAGAAATTCATAATTCCCTGCCAATATGCTCAAGTGAGAGTTGGTTGGCAACAGACTGAACTTATTAAAAGTTCCTGTACATAATTCAATCCAGTGATTGATATTGTAAATAACAGTCTATGACGTTAAGGAACAGATACACACAATCATACATTAAGCCTCATACCACTCGATTCATTTGGTCGCATCCATCACCTTGAATCTCCACAAGGTCACACCAAGCATAGGAACTATCCTGACCCTGAGTTCCCACAAGGACCCAGCATATCCTGACTCTGGAACCTCACAAGGTCATATCTACCATGGGACCTTCCTAACCTTAAATCCCCATGAGGTCACACCCATCATAGGACCTTCTTAACCCTAAATCCCCATGAAATCACACACAGCATAGGACCTCCCTGACCCTGAAACCACATGAGGTCACACCCAGCATAGGACCCTCCTGACCCTGAAACCCAATGAGGTCACATCCAGCATAGGACCTTCCTGACCCTGAAACCCAATGAGGTCACATCCAGCATAGGACCTTCCTGACCCTGAAACCCAATGAGGTCACATCCAGCATAGGACCTTCCTGACCCTGAAACCCAATGAGGTCACATCCAGCATAGGACCTTCCTGACCATGAAACTCCATGAGGTCACACCCAGCATAGGACCTTCTTGACCCTTAATCCCCACGAGGTCACACCCAACATCGAACTATCCGAACCCTGAGTTCCCATGAGTTTCCAGGGAGTGTAACACCCAAATCCATCAGCCCACAAACCACACGGAACTATTCCTAGACCATCAATGACAGTAATAAAAATACTGATCAACACGCTGCAAACTGATTAGTACCTGCAGCTGTCTCAGCTGGATGATGGCAGGATAAGAACATCACTACGAGCAGGGGTATGAGAGGTAATGAGATCTTTTCTATTGTTTATGTATGTAAGACAAAGAAATCCCCAAATGTTAAAGTCACAATTCAATGATATCCTTCATGGTGGATAACTAAATTGATCGAATCCAATATGGACACATTTCTCTACAATTCAAGATGGGAGATAAATAAATTTATCGAATCCTATATAGACCCATTCCTATAGACTGTGTTTGGCAGCTTGACTCCTGAAAGTTTCTAGGGCTTCAGTCCTGCCCCACACCGAAGCACATGTGATACATATGGTCTCACCTTATGCAAGTGAGTGTGTTCAAAATTGCCTCTGTTCACCCAGCTGAAAATTGGTACCCGGTTGGATAAAGTAATATTATGTGACCATAACCTTCTGTTGCCTAACAGGCAGCTTGGGCTATCTGGGGTAATAATAATCAGATTCTGATTACAGCGTCCAGTGAGCAACTAGTTAGATGGATACTAGGCGCTATATATAAATGAATTGTTATTGTATCTTTCAATTTGGGAGATATATACCTTGATCCAATCCTATATAGAACCATGGTGGAAGAACTCTAAGTTATTACATTTGTTTGTTTCTTTGTTGCTGAACACTGCACTCAGAAATATTCAAGTTATATGATGTTGATCTGTAAATAATATGTCTGGGACCTCTAAATCCAATCCTCAAGCATCAATGTATTCAGTTGTGTGTGAAGACATACCTCATCCAGTCTGCAAGCCAGAACACTAGATTCTGTACTTGCAGAAGACCCATCATTGTTGGCTATTTGATTTGATGCTATAGATGAAGACATACCTCATCCAGTCTGCAAGCCAGAACACTAGATTCTGTACTTGCAGAAGACCCATCATTGTTGGCTATTTGATTTGATGCTATAGATCCATCACTCAATACATAAAACATAAACCATGGTTAACAAATGTTGTTCTGATTCTACATATAACAAATTTATATCCAATAAACAATAAAGTATTGTCATTGTCATGACAGACTTATTTTTACAGGTCACTGGAGGTCATTCGAGGTCACTCACCATCAGACCTCTTGCCCATTCTGTATTGTCCAGACACATCTTGGATTTGACTGACGAGGGTGAAGGTTCGGACAGCTGAGAATCCTGGACCAAGGCCATTGAGGAAGAAGCTGGCTGCAGTGCTATACACCTGAAACAGAGCAGTTAGTAGATGAACAGGTGACAGGTCCCCAAAGAGATAAATAGCCAAGTGTGTTTCCATATCCCAACTATATGTTTGAAATAAAAATGGTATTATCAGAGTCCTTGGAGAACAAACGAATTTCCCCAAAATGATTTCTATATTTATTCATAAACTGAATAATGCATCCTTCAAAACACATTAATGAAAACATCTCAACTTTATGGCGGTAATTCATAATTTGGATAGAATGATGCCGACTTGAATGTTTATGATTCGTTGGGAGCATGAAGTGTGTGCCTTTTAATATGCTACCCCACCGCCCCTTTATAATATGAACCGCACATAATGATTATTTAGCTATGATGTGTTTTCAGATTAACAGTTTTGTTTAACTACAAATAATGCTTACTGAATGCAAGGGCAAGCTGGAAATCATTGCTTACACACCATGGGTGAGTGAGTGAGTTTAGTTTTCACCACTTTTAGCAATATTCCAGCAATATTAGGGTGGGGGACATGAGATATGGGCTTCACACATTGTACCCATGTGATGAATTGAACCCAGGTCTTTAACGTGACAAGTGAACTTACACACCATGGTGCCAAAAAAGTTGACCTTTCAATGTTCACCAACATACATCATTATCTCTTTTTGGAGATGTTATCATGAAAATCATATTTGGTTGATGCATCAACACAACCGGTTCCAAACTGCCACATTAACACCTAAGACATTTCCTGGGTTGGGACCAACAAGTGAGATTAGAACCAGTTAGAGCTAAAAAGAGAGCACATCTAGCACCAATGTCCAGTGATATCCCCAATGTAATGTATAATACAGAATACTATTATTTAACCCAAAGAAATATAACCTAGCATTGTGTAATTTTAATTACAGTTTTTGCTCTATAAATGTAAAATATATGTAATCAACACTAAGGCTATACAGATCCTCATGAACGTGGTAATCAGTTCGTGATTGTTGAATGGGGTAATAAGCAAGTCAGTTTGTTGCTACAATAAATATGATATTTAGAGAAACAAAATATATTATGCATTTCCTGTCAACTACACTTCGTTTCGATCCGTGAGTAGACGCAATATATGATTGTGAATTATTTGAATAATGTGGACCAAAGTTATAATTATTGGTAACTGCCAGTTGTCTGTGGTCTGTGTTTGCCGCGATTAGGACCAAGGGGTGTGAGAGAAACAGCACAGATAGAGCATATCTAGCACCAATGTCCAGTGATATCCCCAATGTAATTAGGCAAAGCAAGACTGGGACAGCCTACCGTTCACTGATGAGGTTTCATCTAGACAACAGTAATGCCATTTGTAGAAATGAATTAAGCAATGTCACGCTGCAGGAGGAAAATGTTGCATATGTTGTAACCAGTGTATAAAATGTAGCCCGTCCCAACGTCCTTGACGGTCTATATAGACAATGAAAAAATAGATTCAATACAGTCTAATCAAGTCTATGACATTCGGCAAGTCTAGATTAATGCAGTTTGAAAGTCTCTTGGCTCCTTTCTATTTTATTAAGATAATTCAAGGACTGTTTTTCCCTGAACATATCAGAGACAAGATGTTGGTCTGGGAAACTCCTAACTCAGCACATTGGGAATGTTCGTCAATAGTTATTGAGAAAGATTGATGCTTTGCATTGACATAGCTAACCTCATTTGCATATTTATCAGTAATGACAAATGTATTTGATAGGTTTACTGTATTGATAACATAATTTTGTCAAGGACGTCTATTAAATGAGTAAGAAGACCGTCCTCTTTTCGGGGGAAATATTTGAAAAAAAACCCCCAACTTAACTTGGTTTGAATGTTGAGTTTTAGTTTTTGGGACTGGCTGTGTTTGATGAGGACTGGTCACTTTTTTGGACAGCCAGTCCTTGGACAGGCCACATTTCAAAACTACTTTATACAATGCTGTAATATCATTTTTTTAGCCACCATGAGATTTGTATACTGCTTGATAATGGCAAGCTGTTTCTTCAGAGCTCGCCCACACATAACATCTTCAAGATGAGATGGAATGATGCCATTGACAGGTCCAGAACCAGCTTATAATGCCAGCTCAATTGGCCCAATCTTTGGTTGACATATGGGACAACATCCATAAGTTGTTTTTAATCAGCTGGTGTTTTCAACTATCCACATCTGCCTTGCCTGTTAAAATCAACACAAATGGTGGTCACGCCCTATATTGACGTTAAATGAGTTGTTACACTATCCCCCTTTCACGTGATCAGGTGCTGCTTGGTCACCTGTTACCAGGGATGGGTTTGGTCACCTGTTACCAGGTAGGGGTTTGGTCACGGATCTGTTGTGACAGAACATTGATCAGACGAATGAAAAAATATTATGGTGTTACTTACAATAACATATGCATCACACCACATGTTAAAGCAGTTCCCTTTTTTTCTTCCAGTATATATAATACTTATGTTATGGAAATCCACAAATGTTCTCATCATGAAATTTCATTCTGAAAATAATGGGTGTTTAAGATGTAACTTCACTAAGTAGCGTCAGAAACCCATCAATGAACGCAATTTTTGAGTGAATAGTGAGTGAGTGAGTGAGTTTAGTTCAAGGCCACACTCAACAATATTCCAGCTATATGGCGGCGGTGTGTAAATATTTGGGTCTGGACCAGACAATCCAGTGATCAACAGCATGAGCATCGATCTACACAACTGGGATATGATGACATGTGTCAACCAAGTCAGCGAGCCTGACCACCCGATCTCGTTAGTCGCCTCTTACAACAAGCATGAGTTATTGAAGACCAAATCTAACCTTCACCAAGTTTGTTGCCATGTTTTGACATCTCCTTGGGAAACACCTAGTCATACAGACAATGAAAAAATAGATTCAATACAGTCTAATCAAGTCCATAACATTCGGCAAGTCTAGATTACTGCAGTTTGAAGGAAGTCTCTGGGTTCCTTTCTATTTTATTAAGATAATTCAAGGACTGTTTTTCCCTGAACATATCAGAGACAAGATGTTGGTCTGGGAAACTCCTAACTCAGCATATTAGGAATGTTCATCAATAGTTATTGAGAAAGATTGATGCATTGCATTGACATAGCTAACCTCATTTGCATATTTATCAGTAATGACAAATGCATATGATAGGTTTACTGTATTCATAACACAATCCTGTTTATGATAAATTGGACTTAGTCATTGGACCTAAAAATAGTTCCAAGGCAAAACATTAAAAGAAACTGGTATCTTAGTTCTGCAGATTGTAAATTATCAAAGTTAAGAGAGAGAAAGAGAGAAAGAGTCTGTGTGTGCATGTGCATGTAATCATTAAATGAAGATTCGGGTTCGATTTAGTTTTTAGCAACCCATGATTGTCGTGAGAGGCAACTTGAGGGATCAGGTGGTCATGCTTGCTGGCTTGGTTGACACATGTCATCGCATCCCAGTTGCATAGATTGATGTTCATGATGTTGATCACTGGATTATCTGATCCAGACACAATTAGTTACATACCATCACCATATAGCTGGAATATTGCTGAGTGCGGCGTTAAACAACAAATAAACTAACAAACTACCGGTAATTGCCAATGGCTGTAGGTTTTCCTCACAGGCTTCAGAGTTTTAAATCAGTTCAATCTGTAATTCCTTGTTGAAGTCAAAATTACATGAATTATATGTCAAGAAAACTGTTGATGAATCCAGATGCTGAAATTAATACCAGACACCTATGAATTCATTCAACTGTAAACTGATTCGAAGCATCATTTGGAAAACTTAATAAGACTAATCTCAAGTTCTCTCTGTATTGCACCCTGGGATGGGACAATCCAAATACTTGTTTTAATGTTAACCATTTAGCCCACCAAATACTGAGCCTTAAGACAATTAGCACATCTTCATCTGATAGAAGGGTCTCATAACTAATACAGGTCATCTTGTTAACAGAAGGGTCGAATAACTGATACGAGGTCATCTTACTAACAGAAGGGTCCTAAAACTGATTAAAGGTCAAGTTACTAACAGAAGGGTCCCATAACTGAAATATGATCATGTTACTAAAGGGTCCCATAACTGAAATAAGGTCATGTTACTAACAGATGGGTCTCATAACTGAAATAAGGTCATGTTACTAACAGATGGGTCTCATAACTGAAATAAGGTCATGTTACTAACAGATGGGTCTCATAACTGAAATAAGGTCATATTACTAACAGATGGGTCTCATAACTGAAATAAGATCATGTTACTAACAGATGGGTCTCATAACTGAAATAAGGTCATATTACTAACAGATGGGTCTCATAACTGAAATAAGGTCATATTACTAACAGATGGGTCTCATAACTGAAATAAGGTCATATTACTAACAGATGGGTCTCATAACTGAAATAAGGTCATGTTACTAACAGATGGGTCTCATAACTGAAATAAGGTCATGTTACTAACAGATGGGTCTCATAACTGAAATAAGGTCATGTTACTAACAGATGGGTCTCATAACTGAAATAAGGTCATATTACTAACAGATGGGTCTCATAACTGATAAAAGGTCATATTACTAACAGAAGGGTCTCATAACTGAAATAAGGTCATCTTACTAACAGAAGGGTCTCATAACTGAAATATGATCATGTTACTAACAGATGGGTCCCATAACTGAAATAAGGTCCTGTTACTAACAGAAGGGTCCCATAACTGAAATAAGGTCCTGTTACTAACAGAAGGGTCCCATAACTGAAATAAGGTCCTGTTACTAACAGATGGGTCTCATAACTGATAAAAGGTCATGTTACTAACAGATGGGTCTCATAACTGAAATAAGGTCATATTACTAACAGATGGGTCTCGTAACTGAAATATGGTCCTGTTACTAACAGAAGGGTCCCATAGCTGAAATAAGGTCATCTTACTAACAGATGGGTCTCATAACTGAAAAAAGGTCATCTTACTAACAGATGGGTCTCATAACTGAAATAAGGTCCTGTTACTAACAGATGGGTCTCATAACTGATAAAAGGTCATCTTACCAACTGAAGGGTCACATTGCACAAAACAACAGGTCAGCTTAAGTATAAATATTCACCTGCTTATGTGCTAAGCTTAATAATCTGGCATCAAAACAGTGCCACGAACATACAAAAGATATTCTTGCTAAAAAATCATTGAAACGTGTCCCAAAATCAATGAAATGAATTACTGAAATCATTGAATTGCTGCAGTTTTTTCCCTCTATATTTATCGAAAGGCTGTATCAGTAAGGTGAAACGACAAAGAGGCAGGACAATAGCAGTGTCCAGAACGGGAGACAGCTGGCGGGAGTCGACTCATGCATGGCTTTAGGCCACACCTCAGACACCTACATATTGTGAATCAATCTCTGTCTGCTTTCCTGAGAATCAACGTCATTACGGAAATGAAGCATGTGCAGATGGATGGAATTGATTTAAGTGAATATGAAAATACCTAGTGTATGTGAAAAGCTTGCACATCTGTGTGGACACGCCCATCTGTTGACAGTTGGTGTCAATAACAGAAACGTGACTACTGCTTACTTTCCAAGTTGGATCAGCAGAGGGTCTTTACCTAGTGACTGGACCAGCAGACTAGGGTCAATAACACTGGCTAGATGGAGGAGCATGTTGGATTAAGAGCAGTGACTGGACAGCAGAAAGTCTTTAGCTAGTGACTGGACCAGGATAAGGGTCTTCACCTAGTGACTGGACTGCAGAGGGGTTTACACTAGTGACTGTTGAGACTTCCAGATGGAGAGGGTCTTTACCTAGTGACTGATGGACCAGCAGAGGGTACTGGTCAGGGTTATGACTGGATAGCAGAGGTCTTTACTTATTGACTGTTGCAGTGGTCTTTGAGAGAGTTGATGTTATGGATGGGATAAGGGTGGCTTGTTGACTGTTGTAGGTTGAGGTTATGGATGGGATGTGGCTTGATGAAGGGTGGTTTGTTGACTGGGGTAGCAGAGGGTTATAGTGATGGACCAGCAGAGGGTCTTTGCTGGTCTAATTGACTGCTGGTAGGTTGAGGGTTATGGATGGGATAAGGGTGGCTTGTTGACTGTGTGTAGGGATGGGTTATGGCTTGTTGATGGGATATGGGATGGCTTGTTGACTGTTGTAGGTTGAGGTTATGGATGGGATAAGGGTGGCTTGTTGACTGTGGTAGGTTGAGGTTATGGATGGGATAAGGGTGGCTTGTTGACTGTTGTAGGTTGAGGTTATGGATGGGATAAGGGTGGCTTGTTGACTGTTGTAGGTTGAGGTTATGGATGGGATAAGGGTGGCTTGTTGACTGTTGTAGGTCAGGGTTATGGATGGGATAAGGGTGGCTTGTTGACTGTGGTAGGTTGAGGTTATGGATGGGATAAGGGTGGCTTGTTGACTGTGGTAGGTTGAGGTTATGGATGGGATAAGGGTGGCTTGTTGACTGTTGTAGGTTGAGGTTATGGATGGGATAAGGGTGGCTTGTTGACTGTTGTAGGTTGAGGTTATGGATGGGATAAGGGTGGATGTGGACTTGTTGACTGTGGTAGGTTGAGGTTATGGATGGGATAAGGGTGACTTGTTGACTGTGGTAGGTTGAGGTTATGGATGGGATAAGGGTGACTTGTTGACTGTGGTAGGTTGAGGTTATGGATGGGATAAGGGTGGCTTGTTGACTGTGGTAGGTGAGGTTATGGATTGGGTAAAGCTGGCTTGTTGACTGTGGTAGGTTGAGGTTATGGATGGGATAAGGGTGGCTTGTTGACTGTTGTAGGTCGAGGTTATTGGTTAGATAAAGATGGCTTGCTTACTGATATAGTTTGAGGATATGGATGGGAAATGGTTGGCTTGCTGACTGTTGTCGGTCAGGGGTTATTGGTTAGATAAAGATGTTTGTTGAGTGATAAAGGTTGAGATTATGGATGGGATAAGGGAGGTTTGCTGACTGATGTCGGTCAGTGTTATTCATGGCAAATTGTTGTCTTTGAGACGGTTCTAAGTCAAGTTTCTGAATGGCATAGGGGTTGCCAGATCACGAGTGTAGGTCAATGTCATGGATGGCATAAGGGTACCATAAATGACAATTAAATTTATGGATTCAATACTGCAATAGGCTGAAAAGGTTTGACTCCAAATATTTTGATGTGAAAAGAAATGTAATGGAACTATCACACTTAAAGAGGCAAATATATTTAAAAAGCATTGCTGAACTACACTGTCCAGTGTTCCATATTCTCTTCCACCACGATCACAACAAACTAGTCATGATGTCTTCTAGGCCATTATGTACAAGCTATGCCGGGCTTGTTGTGTATCCATGGTTCAGACAAGATCATCAGCCTAGATTTTGTGGTCTGTTAATCAAACTGCTCCACCTTCGCCTGAATAATTTATTGTTGCTTAATTAAATATCTTGCTATCTCCTCAGGTCAGATCCTAGTGACTTCTATAACACTCACAGCCCACAGTAAACACTGTCTTACTGCTGCTATAGCTGCTTGGTCTCTGCAATAACAGGGACCACTTGTAATTAGAGGACAGACAGGGGATGAGGATTCAAAGAAAAAGTAAAGAATAGTATTGCTCCGCGTTTAAACCAAAATAATTACTCATTGCTGAATATCTTGAGAAAAATTATGTTTAAAATCATGATTTCACCATTTCGAGGTATACTTCTGGTAAGGATAGACTTTATTAGAAGTTGGTATACAAATCCACCAACTCCAAAATTGAAATGTTCAAAAAGTAATAATTATGAAAAGCATTAAATTGCTTTTTTCAGGTAGAGAACAGCCAATTTCAATTTTGGAGGGCAATTATTATAAGTCTCCGCTAAAAATGTTAATGCAGATTTATGTTCATCTAAAAAATGACCCAAATTGATATGTAAATCCCGGAAATCCGTGGAAAATTCTCAGGCCTGTTTTTTCAATCCATCAACCTGAAAATAGTAAAATGTTCAAAAATTCATCTGTTGCAATGAACAGCTATTCTCAAATAAATTGTAGGTGCCAGTATATGTAAATCAATATAATGACAAGTGGGAGGAGCACTGAGGAACCATGCTGAGGCCAAATTGTGGTTCCGATTACACCTCTTTAAAATTTTGGGTAGGTAGGTAGGATTTGTTTTTAAAGATTATTTTTAGAAGTAAAGTACAAACTAATAACACATTTATCAATGTATAATTGTTTATTCAATCAAGGTTTCGGCCATCATGTCCACTTTCTTTATCAGAATGACCGATGTCCGTCAGTGCCAGGAAAAACAATGCTATCTAAAAGCTTATTTCATTTATACCCCTTAAAATAATTAGGGTTGGCACCAGAATTCAAGGGTAGGTCGGGTAATCGAAACCACAACATTTTTTTTTTAGGTCTGAGAATAATTGACTCACCTGTAAGGCAAGGAAGACCCACTGCTGCTGGGGGATGGTTTCATCGAGGGTGATTGTTGCTGCAGTGGTTCCCTGGTAATAGAACCTCACCCCTGTCGGACTGACACCCAGTTCAAATATCACAGCGCCTGTATCAGCTCGGACCTTCTGTAGGAGTGGGCTTGAAGAAAACAGAAAGGACAACTGTAACATTGCTGTGTAAAAGCTAACAAAACTGATAAGAAAGAACACATCTATTTCAGATATCTGTGAAGGACATCTATTTAGGTATCTTTATAGATACCCATTAAGGATATCTATTTAGATATCTATTTAGGATATAATAATAACAATAACTTGTAAATCACATTTTTCACACATCAGTATGCTCAAAGCACTGGAAGATAAGAGAAAAAACAAAGTTCTTAGTGTGAAGGATAGGTGAGACGAAATTCTTTGAGTCTTTAATGCAGTCTTGAAAGATGAAAAATCATGGCATGTTTTCAGTTCTAAGGGCAGTTTGTTCCACTCAGTGGTAGCTGCATATGAGAATGATTTCCCTCTCTCTCTCTCTCTGTATACCTCTTTAGAAAATATCAAATGAGACATCTATTTAGATATCTATTTTGGATATTTTTGCAAATACCTAAAAGATTCTTGTGTCTTTATCTATGGAAAATATGCTAGTCCATCGGGATGGGACGATTCACCAATGCATCGTTACATCACGTTACATTTAAGTTTGATATAGCTATCGTATCGTCGACTGGTGTATTGATACACCCTTTTTTCAAAACAGTTTTATCTTAAACATGTTAAAGTACTTTATTTAGAGAAAAATACGGAAAAAAGTATGATAGAGTTACTTGCTTGTTTATTACAATAGTGTTATTGTTATACACAAATACCTTGAAATATATCATTTAAATCATTAATACTATGCCATTCTTTCAAGGTGTATGTATCGCAGGTAAAATATCGTGATACGTATCGTATCGTGACATAGTGTATCGTCCCAGCTCTACTAGTCCATAAATAGAACATATGAATAAACATTAAACTTTTGTATTTGTTTGTTTGTTGAATGCCACGCTCAGCAATTTTCCAGCTATATGACAGCTGTCTATAAATAATCGAGTCTGGACCAGACAATACAGTGACTGACATCATGAACATCATTCTAAGCAAATCGGAAATGATGACATCAGCAAGACTGTCCACCCAATCCACTTTTGTTGCCTCTAAGGACAAGTATAGGTTGTTGAAGACCAATTCTAACTCGAATCTTCGTGGCTGTACCTGCCGTGATGTTGCTGGAATATTGCAAAAAGCGGGGAAAACCAAACTCAGTCAGTCGTGGCTGTAAAATATTAAGCATTCTAAGAAACTGACCACATACTCAATGTATTGAAAAGTGACTTGACAGTCATCAAAGTATAAATAAATGTAAATGGCAACCAGTCTTATTTCCACTGACCCATTGCTTAAGGTGATTCGAACAGAGAAAATGAAGACATGATGATGTGTCTTTTTAATCATTTAACTGAAAGACATGTAAACAGGGCTCCAGATAATATTTCAACATTAGGAGTATGTACTATTATTTTTTCAATAAAGGAGTACTGGAAAAGTGTACATTTAGAGTACAGAATGGAATTTAATGGCGTATCAGTAATCTTGTGTTTCGTTTCATATTTACACCACAATGTTGCTACTCTTGTGTAAATAGGTCAATAAATAATAAAACAGTATTTTGTTATTTATGCTATCATGGTTTTGTTACAAAAGTGTTTATTCAAAATGTAACAGTGGCCAAAAGGTCAAAAGTTCTTTTAAGAGAATAGTTGCAGAAGTGTTCTGTATGTCACGTGTGTCCCATGGCAAATTCTGATAACCTGTGTCAAGAACATTTGCCTTTTGGAGTTTACTCAGTTTGCTGTTTTAAAATTATTTTCAGATGTCATTTCTTCTTTTGCTGCACAGTGCAAAATATTATTCTGTCACTTGCAGTAACCTCGTAATCCTTGTCATTCATTACCGTCAGTTTCATTTAATTCCTAGAAGAAGTACTTGCCCATGTATGTATACAGACTGTCTGACTTCGACAAAATGAAGGAGTGATGCTAGTAATCAGTTCATTCATTGTTTGTATCGCTATTTGATTACTTGACTGTTTACAAGTTGTTGAGTCACAGTCTTGTTTCTGAAAAAACTTGTGATTTGTTTCTGTGCCGCCATTTTACATGCATGTGTGCAATTTTGACCAATCAAAATTTAACGAGATTATTAGCTGGTATACACTTATTCCTTAGCAACTGGCAAGGCTCCAGATATATTTTTCAACATCAGGAGTGAGTTAATATTTTGCGCCTTATTTTTGCAATATAGGATTACTGGTAAATGGGAAAACTTAAGAGTACATTTAGAGTAATTGACTGGAATTTTGAGGATAGGTAATCTTGTGTTTCGTTTCATACATGCACCACAACATTGCTGCTCTTGTGTAAACATGTGTGGATCTATATTGATTGTGGTCTCCACATGCAAAGTGAATTGTATAAATTAAAGAGGGTTTTTAAAACAAAAATGATGACATCAGTAGGTTGCTATGAACTTGTAGTACTATCATCATGATGACATCAGTAGGTTGATATGAACTTGTAATACTATCATCATGATGACATCAGTAGGTTGATATGAACTTGTAGTACTATCATCATGATGATGTCAGTACAGGTTGGTATGAATATGTAATACAATCATATGATGTTGGTAGGTTGATATGAACATGTAGTACTATCATCATGATGATGTCAGTACAGGTTGGTATGAATATGTAATACAATCATATGATGGTGATGTCAGCAGGTTGATATGAACATGAAGTACCATCATTTGATATATCAACAATTACCAGAGATTATGATGACTTTAACAACAGGCAGAAATAACCACTAGAGATTATGATGACTTTAACAACAAGCAGCAAGTACCACTAGGGATTAAGATGACTTTAACAACAGGCAGCAATTAATTACCCTAGGGATTATGATGATTTTAACAACAGACAGCAAGTACCACTAGGGATTATGATGACTTTAACAACAGGCAGCAAGTATCACTAGGGATTATGATGACTTTAACAACAGGCAGCAAGTAACCGCTAGGATTATGATGACTTTAACAACACAGGTACCCTAGGGATTATGATGACTTTAACAACAGGCAGCAAGTACCACTAGGGATTATGATGACTTTAACAACAGACAGCAAGTACCACTAGAGATTATGATGACTTTAACAACAGACAGCAAGTACCACTAGGGATTATGATGACTTTAACAACAGGCAGCAAGAACCACTAGAGATTATGATGACTTTAACAACAGGCAGCAAGTACCACTAGGGATTAAGATGACTTTAACAACAGGCAGCAATTAACAACAGGCAGCAAATTACCCTAGGGATTATGATGATTTTAACAACAGACAGCAAGTACCACTAGGGATTATGATGACTTTAACAACAGGCAGAAATAACCAGTAGAGAGGGATATGATGACTTTAACAACAAGCAGCAAGTACCACTAGGGATTAAGATGACTTTAACAACAGGCAGCAATTAATTACCCTAGGGATTATGATGATTTTAACAACAGACAGCAAGTACCACTAGGGATTATGATGACTTTAACAACAGGCAGCAAGTACCGCTAGGGATTATGATGACTTTAACAACAGGCCGCAAGTACCACTAGGGATTATGATGACTTTAACAACAGACAGCAAGTACCACTAGGGATTATGATGACTTTAACAACAGGCAGCAAGTACCACTAGGGATTATGATGACTTTAACAACAGGCAGCAATTAATTACCCTAGGGATTATGATGATTTTAACAGCAGACAGCAATTACCACTAGGGATTATGATGACTTTAACAACAGGCAGCAAGTACCACTAGGAGATTATGATGACTTTTAGGGATTATGATGACTTTAACAACAGGCAGCAAGTACCACTAGGGATTATGATGACTTTAACAACAGACAGCAAGTACCACTAGGGATTATGATGACTTTAACAACAGGCAGCAAGTACCACTAGGGATTATGATGACTTTAACAACAGACAGCAAGTACCACTAGAGATTATGATGACTTTAACAACAGGCAGCAAGAACCACTAGAGATTATGATGACTTTAACAACAGGCAGCAAGTACCACTAGGGATTATGATGACTTAGGGATTATGATGACTTTAACAACAGACAGCAAGTACCACTAGAGATTATGATGACTTTAACAATACGCAGCTTTAACAAGTACCACTAGGGATTATGATGACTTTAACAACAGGCAGCAAGCACTAAGATTATGATACCACTAACAGGATTATGATGACTTTAACAACAGGCAGCAAGTACCACTAAGGATTATGATGACTTTAACAACAGGCAGCAAGTACCACTAGAGATTATGATGACTTTAACAACAGGCAAGTACCACTAGGATTAGTACCAGGCAGCTAGAGATTATGATGACTTTAACAACAGACAGCAAGTACCACTAGAGATTATGATGACTTTAACAACAGACAGCAAGTACCACTAGGGATTATGATGACTTTCACAACAGACAGCAAGTTCCACTAGAGATTATGATGACTTTAACAACAGGTACCAGCATTAGTACCAGCAAGTACCACTTGGTGTATGATACGTTTCACAATAAGTATCAGCTCCCATCACTGGTGTTGACTGTAAAGCCAAATTCATCCAAGTACTTCAGTTTGTGTTTTCGTGTTTTGGCAAATCTTAAATGAATCACTGAATAAACACAGCCCTAGTCATATACATGCGTATTGACTTCCACTTATGTGTTGATCAATAGAAGCTGAATGTACCTGGAGGGCCAATCAATACCTGTGTGCAGCCAGTGGGGGAGACTCTCGACAGTATTGACTTATACCAAGGGGATGACACAACAGGCTTATGGAAGTCAATCACAGTCACTAGAATCCAAAACAAAGTATACGATGCAACAGGTTTATGAAACTCACCCATAGTTACCAGAATCCCAGCAAAGTTTACGATGCAACAGGTTTATGAAACTCAACCAGTCACCAGAATCCCAGCAAAGTTTACGATGCAACAGGTTTATGAAACTCAACCAGTCAC